CTGCAGGTCCAAAAGGACCGCACAGGCATGTTTGTTAGCCGCGCGGCTAACTTCTCCTCTCAGGAGTCGCTGCATGCCTGTTTCTAGACAGGTGTTGCCCGGGGAGGCTTTATCCCATGGGAACTGCTCTGCAGTTTCTCGCATCCATTTCTTTACGACCTGCGCTCTGCAGAAGCACCAGAGCCGATAGGTGATGGATGTGAGGGTTATAGGCCAGCTGTAGAGAGGTCGCATCCCTTTTGCTAATCCCGACTGGAGCCAGTCCTTGTACTGTGCCTGCTGCTCCTTGGCTCTCTGCATTTGGAGGGCCGCCTCCTTGTGTCTGGCCACAACACTCAAGGACCGCCACTCTGGGGCTGTGGTTGAACACTGCCTGTGCAGTTCGGTGAGGAAGGCAGTACCTTCAGCAATGTCTGGGCAGGCTTGGAGAGTGCCTATGTCCGGTAGATGCTGCTGGGAGGCCGGCGCCTCTTCCAGGATTCGCGCTATGCGTGCCCACCAGCCCACTTCAGAGCCTTTGGGGGCAGTGGAAGGGCGCTGCAAGACTAAGGGCCCCCACTGGGAGTCCTCGGAGCTTCGTGGCAGTGCTCCAGGCTGGCCGCCCAGGTTGCCAGTTGCCAGGTGCTCTGGTCCTCTTGGGCACAGGTCCTGTCCATTATGGCAAAATGGGAGGGTTGGACCTCTGGCCATTCCTGGTTTTTGAGGTCTGCGTGAGTTTCGGGAACTGGGGAAGTTTCCAGGATTTCCATTCGCTGGCACCGTCCTTGATCTTGAGGTGCAAGGCTGCATGCGGTTTCCACGGGACTGCCCAGGTAGCAGACAACTCCACCAGGGCTTCCAGGCTCCTACTCACTACCCCAAAATCTAGCTCCGCCCCATGGTTGCAAGTGGCTTCTCCAGTGGCTACCATTCTCCCCCGCATCACCTGAATCAGAGCTGTGTCCTGAACTTCAGTCGGGTCCAGGTTCCAGTCCCCCAAGATGACCCAGGGCTCTGGGAGGGTTCGCACGAACGCCACCAGAGAGGATAGCACCTCCGCATTTGTGGGACCATTTAGGCCTTCTGTGTCCCTTAGGTAGAGGGACACAATCGTGTAGTCCCACCGTCTTTGCCTCAGACCTACGGCTGTGTAGCCCGCCCCTTTGTATTGGTAGGTGGCTTTTTGCCACACACCGCTATTTTTGGGGAAGGCACAAGCAGTGCCCCCCAACCTTGTGCCCTTGTCCGACAGGGAGGCCGGCTCAGCATAGAGATCCCATCCTAGGGATTGCAGCGTGGCTCGCCTTCCGTGCAGCAGTTCCGGTGTGAGGTGGGTTTCCTGCAGGCACACCACCTTGGCTTTGGAGGAGGTTACCCACTCCAATGCCCCGTTGTTGAAACTGGTGACATTGGCGCTCATGATGCTGAGATACTGGTCAGGCGAGGCGGAAGGCTTAAACTTCTCATGGCTGGGCGCTTCTGAGTCAGTGCCCTCGCCATTCACAAGGTCGTCCTCTCGGTCCTGCTGGCCCAGCACCTGCTTCGGTGGCAGGGGCTCCTCTCTTTTGGGGAGCTCAGAGGTTATCACCTCCTTTGCCTGTTGATGGCTTTTCCGGTGACATCCTCTCCTTGCTCTAGGGCTTGCAGGACCATCCTGCACCAACCCCAGGCCAGGGAGTCCTCCGCCATCACCTCCTCTTGGGCTTCGATGAAGCTTAGGAGGGTGGCTTCCTTCGCCTGGAAGGGGCTCTCGTGGTCTTCCAGGAGGCTGACCACCTCCTGCCATGTCATCTCCGAACCCAGTTCCTCTGGGCTGCAGGGGGAAGGTTTCACCTTCTGGGCTTCATCATGCCTTCGCGGTGGGGGGGGGTCTGGGGTAACCAGAGGGTTCTCATCAGGGTTCACCTCCCACAGTGGCTTCATTTGTTCGTCGTCTGCTGGTGCCTCATCATCAGTAAGGTCCAGCTTGAAAAACTTTGGTCCTGTGATTGGAACGCTTTCTGGCGACTCCTTTCCAGGCCGACAAAGGTGGCTGGGCTTCTGCCAGCCTTGCTCACAACCACTGCTATCTGCAGTAAGTTGTTTCCCCAAGGCCTCCCTCAATCTTTTCCCATGTAGATTGATGTGAGCACCTCGCTTATAGTATTCAGCACACGCAACCAGGAACTGCTGGGCAGTTCTCAGCATGTGTTCCAGCCCTGGGCTGGGGTCGCACATTGGCTCTGTGGGGCCCTTGCTTTGGGGCTCCAGGCCCCACACGCCGAGTCCCTAGGCCAAAGGGCCCAGCCCCGGCGGGGCATTGGCATTGCTGGGAGGCATCCCCTCCTGGGTGTGCTCCTCAAGGCCTGGAGGGGTGGGGCCCTCCTGTGTGCGACGCCTCTTTGCTTCTCGTTCCGCTTTAATCTCATGGAGTTTCTTCTCTTGCTCCTCGTTGAGGCTTACCCCCAATTCATGGAGGATGCTGTCGACCTCCATGTCCGCAGCGGATTCGCAGAAGACTTTCTCTTTGAGTAGGCCTGAGCTTGCCTCTACTGCCTTCTGTGCCCTCTCAGCTTGCTCATTCAGCACGATCATTTCTTGTAGAAGCTGCCTTAATGACTCCTTCGCCATGTCGATGCGCTTCTGCAGGCCAATCTTTTGATCAGCAATGTGCTTGAGCTTGCCAGCTGCGCTTTGCCAGCTCTGGCTGGCCTGGCTCGCAGCTTGGGAGGGCGTAACCTCCTGGCTGGCCTTGAGGCCTTTCAGGTAGGCTTTAACCTCCTCCGGCAGGGCGGCTTCATGCTTCTGGCACAGGTCTGTGAGGTCGTCCACCTCCTCCTTGACCTGTGCCTTGGGTGGTTTGTACCCTGCCTCCTGGAGGTTCTTTTGCACCTCTGTAGGCACATTGTCCCATGCCACTCCAAGGGCTTGCAGGACCTTGTTCGGCAATGGGGTCTTCGGAGTCTTGGGCTTCTTTGGCGGCTGCCAGTAAGCAGCCTCAGCCACTGTGGGCCATTGTGGCTTCCACTAGCTCCAGGTCTGTCTCACCTTTCGAATGCTGTTTGCCCAGGGCGTTCTGCATTTCTTGCAGAGCATGTGCGGCTGAGCCTTGTCCGCCCAAATCCATCCTGTGCAGCTTTTGCCACTGCAACAGATGTACTCGCGGGGGGCCATGGCCAAGAGGAAGGCACCTCTGGGCAAACTGTCCTAGGCTGGCTACCAGGCTAGGAAGGCTGAGACCTCCGAAACTTCCCTCAGGCTACTCCTTGAGCCGAAAACTTGAGCCAAAACAACCCAGGTTCAACCCGGGTTCAACCCAGGTTCAACCTGAACTGAACATACCTGGGTTGAACCCAGGTTCCAACCCAGGTTCAGAGAACCCCCGAATAACTCAGACCCTTCAATTAGTTCAAACCTGGGCTGAACCCAGGTTCGAACTCCAACGGGGGGCTTCAGACCTTCAGCGCGAAGGGGCTTCGAAGCCCCCCCTTCGACCCTTCGCCTTCGAAGGCTTCGAAGGCTTCGAAGGGGAGGATGAAGCCCCTTCATCAACTGAAGCCCCCCCTTCGTGAAGGTCCTCGGATCCTGCCTGGAGTGCCGAGTCCAGGCGGTGGAAACGCTTGTTCACTTTCAAAAAGAGGTGTGGCAAGGGCAGCCCCAACAGCCCCAAAATGGATGTTCCTGCACTCAGCAGCGTGTCGTCGAAACCAAGGCCCCGCCCCACCGCCGCGTGCGCCGTTGCGGCCCGCATTGTGCAAGCACTGTTTGGGGAAAGAGGCTGGAGCAAGCCAGAAGAGGCCGGAATTCACGCGAAACCACAGCGGGAGCGTCGAAACGCAACGGAATTCGCACGAAACCACAGCGGGAGCGTCGAAAAGAAGGCCCCGCCCCACCGCGTGCGCCGTTGCGGCCGGCAACCTAAGTGGCCCCCCCAGAAAGATACGCAGCGGAATTATAGCGCGAAACCACAGCCGCAGCATCGAAACGCAACGGAATTCGCGCGAAACCACAGTGGGAGCGTCGAAACGATCGAAGGCCCCGCCCCACCGCGTGCGCCGTTACGGCCCGCAACCTATAAGTGGCCCCCCCAGAAGAGGCTAGAAGAGGCTGGAGCAAGCCAGAAGAGGCCGGAATTCACGCGAAACCACAGCGGGAGCGTCGAAACGCAACGGAATTCACGCGAAGCCACAGCGGGAGCGTCGAAATGAAGGCACCGCCCGGCCCCGCCCCACCGCGTGCGCCGTTGCGGCCGGCAACTTAATTAATAAGTGGCCCCCCCAGAGGAGGCCACGAGGGGCCGGAATTCGCGCGAAACCACAGCGGGAGCATCGAAACGCAACGGAATTCGCGCGAAACCACAGCGGGAGCATCGAAACGCAACGGAATTCGCGCGAAACCACAGCGGGAGCATCGAAACCAAGGCCCCGCCCCACCGTCGCGTGCGCCGTTGCGGCCGGCAACCAATTCCTTTACTCTGAACGTAAGAACCCCATTGTGCAAGCACTGTTTGGGGAATAACATGCCAAAAAAGTTATGTCGTCCTCTTAAATTGTGCGGTTTCGGCATAATGGTTGCCATTGTTCTCTATCTTGAATCTAAGGTTGGAACCATGGGCCCTTAGTATGGTCCCTTACCTTTCTTTAAAGGGATTGAAGGGATCCAGGGGACCCACCCCATACTTCGAATCCCCTACTGAGCAAGAGGGACATCACCCTTTCCAGCAGTGTATCGTTCACTCCAACTAGACACTGCCAGCAAAAGAGTTGTGTGCGCAAGAATCCTGAAAAGAGCTTTGTATGTCGACATGCTTAGGAGGGGAATCGGGTTGTTTTTTTGCCATCGCAGCTGAGCTTCGGAGTGGCACGACTTTGCCCAGCGGGCGCAAGGCGAAAGTTTCACAATAGGCATGAGCGGAGGAAAAAATAGACGGGATTTGGAGGGACTCAGGGTGTCAGCTTGAGTTGGTTCTCTGAGTAAATTTGGGATGGCTCACTAGCCCGACCAGAGCGATAAGCAAGATACGCCAAGTGTTCATTAGAGCAATGAGCTTCGGTGGGTTCGAAATGTCGGTGGTAATGATTGCGATTTGGAAGCAAGGCAAGCAGTTTTATTCCCCGCACCGCCCTCAGAAGTAGGCGTGGGTGAGGGCCTTTCTGTCTGACGTGCGTGCGTGCGTGCGTGCGTGCGTGCGTGCGTGAGGGCGTGCGTGCGTGGGTGGGTGGGTGGGTGGGTGGGCGTGCGTGCGTGCGTGGGTGTGTGTGTGTGTGTGTGTGTGTGTGTGTGTGCGTTCTTCAGTTGTGCAACCAGCTCTTGGGAGGGGCTCGGTTAGATAATCTACCAGACCTCTGGATAGCCTGCCGTTGCGGGTCAGGGGCACTCGAAGCCCTAACTGCCTGGATTTTCGAAGGCCCGCCTTGGAAATCCCGCAAGGCAAAATTTGTTGCGAGAAGTTGCATGTAATTGTTGTCAAAGGCTTGCCTAGAGCCTTCTTTCAGACCATGATTGAACACCGTTGTGCCGAAGATTGTTTTGTGCAGCATTTCTGGTTCAGTGCGAACCCAGCAGCCGCAATGAAAAAGCATCGGTGTTTGGCTAGGCACAATGCCCCTTGCCTAGAAATTCAGTCGAAGCGCTCCGGAAGTTGAAGTCCGAAGCGAAGCGCGTTGAGAGATGTGTGAGGTCCGGGACAGAGACCGGCAAGAAGGCGGTGGAGTCGAAGTCGAAGCGGAACCTGAAAAGGTCGGCCTCGCAGCGCACCATGAAGAGCGGCCGCCTCAGCCAAAATGAGCCAAGCTGAGCTAAGAGCATGAAGAGCCGATGCCCCGTTTATGCAATGTGTTGATGCGAGGATTGCGGACCAGCGGATCTTGAGTTGCTGGTGATGTTTGCTGTGTTAGAAGTGTGTTTTTTCAGGTGTGCACAAGCTCACGCGCCAGTTCTCCGTGAGCGTGCCTCGCTTGCAATAGGTTTCACAGACAAACGAGCAGGTTCTGGTATCACATTGACGACGAACTCCTTGCAGCTGCTACTTGCATCATGATGCTTGTGCAGCTGCTCAAGTTTACGAAAAGTGGTTTGTCTGACAAAGCACATGTGTGATGACAGGTCTACACACAGAAAGATCTGGAGCTGAAGGGCGACGGCGCAGTGGCTGCTGTCGCGTACAGCCATCCTGCTGCAAGTTAATGCGCTTTGCTGTAGAAATCAAGTCAAAGGCAAGGTGGAGAGCAGAGCGACAGGCGTCACAGCATTAGAATGAGACCGGTGCACAGCTGAAAGCTTGCGATTTGCAGTGAATGCTCATGTATGAGGCCCCTGTTTTCTGAACGTCGCCCTTCTTGTCATCGTGTCTTGGAGCCAGAGCGATACTAGTGACAACGCAGGTCCGAGCTGGTTTGAAGTGTGAACATGCATAAATTGTCCACATTCCAGGTACTCAACGCCCTGTGGATGTTGGTCGACACGGAGTGGAACCATGTCAACCTCAGAGGCGACTTCAAGAACTTTAGCAGAAGCACACTTGAGGGAATGTCTCTGCAGGCTCCGACGGTCGACGTCCTCTTCAAGATATCAGTCCGGTGTTGGAGAACTGCTTCTGTAGTGTCTTGATGAACCATTGTGTGATCTGTGCGTGTGTGCAGTGCAGATCATGTCATCATGTCGTTGGTTAAGCTCTTTTCGCAGTTAATGCCCACGCCTGCATCTGAGGCTTCTTCAGCATCGAGATTCTAATTCGTCTTTTTGGGTTCAGACGCTGGCGTTTTATGTTCAAGGACTTTGCTTCCTGCAGCTCTCTTGTAGCATGGTTTCAGTGAGAGACTGGTTTTCCATTCCAAGGGTCTGCGTGGCTTCTCCAAGCAGGTAGAAGAATCGGACACTTCATGGAGAGTGCTAGTCGTGCTAGTTCAGCAGCAGCTTTGTCAGGATGTGTGGTTTCTTTTTGCGCGGCGCTCGTTCCATTTGTACCACTTTGAGCACACGACTGATGTGAAGATGTGAAGCGAGGTACAACCTGCACGCATATGCACGCTGAGGACTTGCTGTTGGTTATTTTGATGATACTGGAAACATGGGTTCTGCAACTGAGACTGCAAGATGACCATCGTGGTAGTGGAGCTTTGCAGTTGTGAGACGTACAAGCCAACTCCTTGTGTTGGGGCTACGCCAGCTGCGATGCCAGGCCTTTGCTCAGTTTGGTCGACAGCAACCTGAACTCCGATGCGCTTGATAATGTTGCCCTCATCAGGCTCCATGTAGCAGCAGCCAAAAGTTGAGTTGTTGCCTACCGAAGAAACAACCATTTGTGTTGCTGCATCGTTGGGAATCCCCACACAAATAATCCTTGTGGCTGTGCTGGCGGCTAGTTGCTGTTATGGGAAGTTAGTGCTGCTCAGCAGGCTGTTCCGCTTGCCTGGCTCTCAGCGTCTGTGCATCATCCAGCCAAGAAGCGGAACACTGTACTCGTTACGCGCTGCCGCCTCCGTTGGACCCCGAAGGGGTCCGTCCCCAAGGGGGGGCGATCGAATCCTAGCGGTTCCCCATCCTGGCTCAGCAGCCTGGATGCAGAGGGGACTCTTTCTTGAGTCTGGCCACACCGCTTGGGGAGAGGGGGGGGGGCGAGGAAGGTGGCTTTCTGGAGGGATAAGGTGCCCCCCGAAGCACCAGAGGCCTGGGGCCTCGGCGGACATGTTTGTGCTGTGCAAGCCGTGACACTGCTTGCACTGCTTGCACTGCTTGCACTGCTGAACGGCTGCCAGCCTGGTGTGGGAAGATATGGGAAGGCTCCGCCTGGGTCGCATTTTCCGGATGCTTCGATTTCATCCTGAGATGAGACTGCTTGTGAAAAGCGCCTTAGCCGCAACAACAGTTTAGCCATGTGTCATGCTGCGTCTGAACATAGCTCACGTGATTTGTTCTCTTCTTTTCAAAGAATGGGCATCTGTCGGTAGGCTCTTCTAATGAATTTGTCGACAAGCTTCAGCTTGACCATGAGATGTGCTTCAAGTATGTTTCAGTTCAGGTATTGCACGTGCCATGAATGCAGTTTTCAACATTCTCTTCTTGCTCGTCCTGGCATCGAGCTCAGTGTTAAACACCCGGTAATGCCGGTTTTGCTGCACCTCCAGTCAGTTCTTGCAAGACAACAGGTGACTTACCTTTTCGCCATCGTTTTCACATCCCAGAATCTTGGCAGACGAAGAAGACTTTTTTTATGTTCATTCTTAGCAGCTTAAGCACTTTCTTTTGAATTGCGGACATTTTTGTGACACCTAACTTGATGGACACTGTTCTCATTCGACGTGTTGGTTGTGGCAGCATCTCACAGTATTTTCACACAGCTTGCTGCATGTTTTGCGAAGCGAAGCTCAAGATGAGCAGCCGGAGGCAGTTAGTTTCGAGTCCGGATACAGTCGCTACCGTCTTCTCCCTACGAACTCTGGGACGATACCGCGCCGGCCATCTTAGATGCAAACGAGAAAAGCAGCCACTGAGTCTTTGAAGGTTCGGAAGCAGCTTCGAGTGGAAACGCTAGCAATGCAAAATTGAACTCGTGAACCTCGGAACCAGGAAGGAGATATCTCCGATGCATCACTTGATTGACTCGTCCAAGCTTCCACGTACGAGACAGGCAAGACCCTGCAGTAGGAAATAGTCCCCGCCAAAGTCTTCTTCAGCAGTTCTTGGTCAGGCAAAAAAGTACACTGAGGGGAACCAGCATCAGCCGATGCTCTGCAACCAAGGGTGCTTGCTTGTGGGTGTCGAACCGCCAACAGCCTCAGTAGACGAAACTGCCAACCGAGCCCTGTCGAACCTCCCTCAAGAGGATGGTTTGTATCAAGCGCTGGAAGTCCCCGACGGGGCACGAACCGGACATGTGTTTCCGCGGCACGCGCAACTTACAAGATAATTTTCTTCGCAAAAGAGGCCCGTAGGTTGTGTGCCACGAGTGCACTTCTTTTACGCTTCTTTTACGCTTCTATACAACTTAAACCGAAAACACTGACTTTGCTATAGGCATGTTTGCCGGGCATTCGGCTTCTTGTAACGTTGCACCGAGTCATTACGCATTGAGCAGGTAGCAGTTTGAGACGACACAACACAAGGTGGACATTTGCTCGAAGTTGTGAGATTTTCAGGTTGGCCAAGCCTGGCACGGAGCGGATCAATGCAGACCTGTCTGAGGCACGGGCAGACATGGCCAGGACACTGGCTGTGAGCGAAAGTTTCATGGGCATTCCCTCTATTGCCAGACTGCAGACTGCAGGCCTCAGCAAAGCAACTCTTTGCTGATATTGTCTCTTCGATGCTTTCCCTGCAGCTCAGATGCAATCATACGGTCATGCACGCTGCGCTAAGCTGCTAGGGTCTGCCAGCTAGCAGGGGCATGGACTGGCAGTGCTATGGGCTTATTCAACGTTCATGCGTGCTGCATACTGGTCCATCGCAGGTTCACACATGGCGTGTGAGGGGCTGAGAGCAGCGGTCCTTTTCTTTTACGCTCTGGCGTTGGAACGTGTCAGCGGCACCTATTTGCAGTTCTTTTGTATCAGGGCGTTTTTGAAGATAATCCTTTGCAAGAAGGCTTGCAGACGAGCTGGCCTTCGCCTTTCTAGCCATCAAGGAGGACGGGAGTGTGCTCAATATGATATGCCAGTAAGAGTCATGAAACGTGGAAGCCAGCTGGCATCAGTTGTCCTTGAGAGTTCACGTCGATATGTCACAGGACAGCGTCCCACTCTTCTGGCTCTTCACGGTCTTCGTGGTGTTCTCCGGGATCACGTTGCTCAACATGCTCATAGGAGTTCTCTGTCAGGCAGCCAAGATGTGAGTTCATGCTTGGGCTGCTTGTCTCGTGAACGGGAACATGTGCAGGTCGTGGAGGACAACTCACGCGAGCACGAGAAGCAAAAGATTCTGGTGGATCTCAAATCGAGCTTGGAGGAGGCCTTTGAGGCCTCGCAGCTCAGTTCGTAAACTTCATTGTCAGGAAACACAAGCTAAAGGCGAGAGGCCCTCTCGTCGTTGGGCCAAAATGTGGCCCCACCGGTCCTTTGCCTCTCAAATCAACAGGCAGGCAGAATTGTTTCCAAGCAGCTGGCAGAAACTTTGATAGATCAAGAGTTTTTTCGCATGCTTGCGTTTATGGGTCATCTGGGCGGTTTACATCAGGACCGTGGTCCAAACATGGCAGGTAGAGAGTTCTGTTTGAACTGGTTGTGAACAAGCCGTGCATTCCAGATACATGCAGGCACAAGGCACAGTGCGTTTGGCTTGAGTACGCGAGGCCTTGGACACTTCCTTTGATGGACTAGTCAGCAACTGGGCTCAATTTTTCAGATCCTGATGCTTTCCTGATGGTTTGCCGTGCGCAGTCTGCTGCAACTCAGGTGAAGAGGAGTTCCAGAAGATGAAGACGGATCCGGGTGTTATGGAGATCTTCTTTCGGTCTTTTGGTGGCACGAACTCTGCTTTTGCACAGCGGACTTTGGAGCTGCCGAGGCTGGGCATGGAGGAATCCGCCATCATCCAGAGATTGGATCACATGCAGGCCCGCATACCTTCTTGACATACCGTCATGCTCTGCCGAGGCGGGCCATGAGGCTCTTGACATTCCGCCTTAAGGAGACGATCTTTGCCACCAAGCACGAGGATCCAGACGAGTCCTGTATTTCGCATTCTGCAAGGTGAGCGCTGCAAGCTGTTCGTGTTGTTGCAATGCCATGCAATGCCCATTCTGCCTCCGGTTGCTGGAAGATCGTCTCAGATCAACCTCGCCCGAGGCCTCCAAGCCTGTCCTTCGCTCAATTTGCGGACCAGGCCCCACCAGAGATGTCGTTGCCGCAAAGCACATGTGCAGCTTCAAGTGCGCTCGTCGAGAGAGAGGGCTGAAAGCTCAGCCGGCTGGGCCAGGTCGTCGAACTGCAAATGAACACTGCTGCGGGGGTGTCTCAGCAGAGAAAGAGAACTGGGAAGGAGCGGTAACATGCCGTGTCGGCGAACTAGGCCGAGATCTTCCAAGAATTTGTGTAGCCGAGGTTCTGGATGTTCAAATGTTGGCATCCAAGGCAACGGTCTCTGATTGCTGTGCTAAAGCGTGCCTGTGTTCCAAAGCCTCGTGCGCCAAACTGATCTGACCTGGAGGTCCGTGCCGAAGATCATCAGATCTTGCAGCTGGGCAGAAAGCCGTTGCTGTGTAATGCTACAGTACGTGCTACGTTGGGTTCGCTCTAGGCCTCCAATGCCCGAAGACCACAAAGCCGTCTTGAGGACAACACTGAACCGCCTGGAGCCAGATCTGCATCGTTTGCTGGAAGAGCCTCTGGAGCCGCAGGAGAGCGTGTGAAGCGCACAGATTTACAAGCACACCCTTTGTCGCAGGCGTAGACTTTACAGCATGCGTTGTCGAGTGAAGATGGAGTTGGGTCCTTTGCCGCCTCGACGCTGCAATTTGGTTGGTCAAAGGCTCCTGGGACTCCAAGGCTTTGAAGGGTGCAGCAGTTGCGTATACCTGACCCGTTCCTCGACGTTCGAAGGAGGCCAAGACCATGTCGTCCCTGGGGCTGCACACGCTGAACCTCACGGGAGAGGCCACAGGGTTTTCAAAAAAACGTCGGGCTTTGACCTGACAGGCTGCCGGGAGTCTGGCATTGTGGCGCTGCGTTCAATCCGACAGGACTCGATGCCGGTGAGGTTCCCGTCAACTCCACTGGGATGTGTGGGAGAGGCCCGAGCAGCGCAGATGACGTGCGAGCGTGAGCGAGCGTGGCTGGGAGTGTGGCTGGAGCTTTCAAGATTCATTGAGCCCATTCGCCCCTGTTATCGCTTGCACATATCCGAATTTCACAGGCTTCACAGGCGTCTCAGCAAGGGCCAATGGGCCCGACGCCCGAAGAAGAGACCGTGGGAGCCTCGGAAATCTCAGACTCAGAGGGCTGATCTTGCGGCAGGTTTCAGCAGCGTGCTGGTCTTTGACGTGGAGATAGTATGGTGACACGTGGTAGCTGTGTTGCTTCATGAGGTCCATCTTCCTGGTGCGCTGGAGAGTCGCTCGGGCAGCCTCCATGAAAGCGCTGCAAAGGCCTGAGAAAGCCACAAACAGACACCGACACAAGCCTACAAACGACAAACTACTACAACCAGTATCAACCATTACAAACCGCAACAGCCACCTGAGAGCTAAGCCCGACCAGGCGTCCCGGATGCCTGTGGTGGGCACGCCGGCAGAGGCAGGATCCAGAGTGTTGCAGAGACCTTTCCATCTCTTTACTATCAAGTTCAACTATCCACTCTCCCAGCCTCACCATTTCCCATGACCCCAAATATCGGGACGAGCAGAACTGAGACTTCACCATTATTTGACGGCCAGCAACCCCAGGCAATGTTGTGTCTCGGTCGCTGAGTCGCCTCTCCCATGTTGTTCTTCTCATGCCTCTCATTCTTCTCGGCTTTACGGCTTTGCGGCTTTGCGAGGTGCCAGACGTCAAGGCCTTGGTGACGGAAGACTTCAAGCTGAGGGAGGACTGGCTTCAGGAGGCTTGGTCGAAAGACTTCCATCCAGCATTCCGTGCAGCAGCTACCGCAGGTGCCCACGGAACTGCTTCTCTACATTCTGAAAGCAAGGGCCGGGCCAGAAATCATCTCATGAGAGGTATGGCATTTAATTCTGGAGAGAGCTTTCCGACTGACATGCTGCAAAGACTGCAATCACATAGGCCCTGAGCAGGGTCTTACAACACAAGGCTTTTCGAAAAAATCGCTGCACGCACTCCGAGTGCAGCCAGACCAGAATGGCTGAGTACGATACTGATACAGGTGCCAACTGCGGACAAGACTCAACAAGCATCAGTCCTCTCCAGTGTAGAGTCAAAAGAAGTGTGATTTTCACAGGATTCTCACAGGTCTCACCATTTTCAGGCACAGTGTCAAGAGGACTTCTAGGCACCCAACAGACAAAGCCACTTCGGGTCCAAGCTTAGGCCTCGAGGTCCTTGAGGTGCTACATGGTACCAGAATCATATTCCTCTTGACGCAGCTCAAGTCAGTTTGAGAGGGTGCACAGCTTTACAGGCTCCCGATGCTTCGGGCTCACCCTCTCAAGTGCTCCAACAGGAGTTTAGCAGTGGCAGCGCTGGGCACAGGTCCGCGAGTAAGCGCCATGCGCACAGCGCTGTGCCTTGGACATTAGCGCAGGTGGATGCATCCACCCGTTGTGCCCTGCGCGAAGCGGAGGGAGAAATAAGCCTGATGTCACTTGTTCGGCGTTTCCGCGGGTTCCTGGCCGGGTGAGGGGGGCAATGGGTTATGGCAAAGCAGAATTTCGGCATGTTCGTCGCTTGTCGGTAGTTGTGGGTCCGACGAAGAAGAGAGCATCGGAGTGGCCTTTCATGCGCTCGAAGGTGCAGATTTATTGGATGGCACTTGCAACGAAACAGTTGTTTGCTCACGCCGGACAGGAACAAGCTGGGCTCAAGCTGAGAAGCTGAGCTCACTAGAAGCGGTTGGCTGGCTTCGGTTCGGTGTGAGGAGGCCCGGATTTCGTGAGAAAACGGCAGGTGTGCCTGGTGCACGAGAGGTAGCGTACTGTCCCAAGCATGTTAAGTACGTGAGGAGCTGTCATAACATGTCATAGCAGTACAATACTGCTCCAACATGCACCAGGATGCGGTTGACACTGGAGCTGCTGCAGCAGGCGCCGCAGTCGCTGAACCCAGCGTTGCATCGGCAGCTGCAGCTTAGAGGCTTCAAGTGGCCTGGAAGCAGCAGAGCGATGCAGTGTGACGCAGAGCGTGATGAGTCGATGATCCAGCTCGATTTTGTGCTGCATCTCTTTCTCAGGATCCCCACTATCGCAACCTGGCTGAAGGAAGCGGTTTGCAGCTGATGTTGCAGATAACGCGGTTGCTAAGGAAAATCTGGGTGGCACAGATGACGCTTATGAGCTGCTGCCTAAGACATGAAGATCGCTGCCAGAAGAGCCAGTTCATGCATCATTGTGATTGTCCCGACAGTTCTGTTAGGCAGCAGGGCATGGCGTAATTTTAACGCTACGAGACTCGCCGCGGCCGGGGGCAAATGGGGCGGGGCGGGCAGGGCAGGGCGGGGCGTGGCGTGGCGTGGGGTGGTGGGGGGGGTGAGAGGTGGGGTACCTGCTTTACGTTACCCAAGCACCCACGGCCCGAGGCCTGGCGCATTACTGGCTTCAGATGCAGTACGTACTGTGTACGTGTCAAAGCTTCTTGATTCTGTAGGTGTCTGGACTTTTCAGACAACGATCTCATCAAATTGGGGAACTTCCCACCGTTAAGGAGGTCAAGTTCTTAGCAGTCAGATATTTGCTGCACGTGTTGCAGTTGTGCGGTCTACAGCTTGCGTCTTCGACATGCCGAGATTACGCGTCCTGATGTTGATGAACAACAGGCGCGCATGGGCAAGGTCCAATCCAATGCGGTCACCTTCCCCCCCCTTTTAGCTCTGCAAATCGGAGTTCATTTCTGATGAGAGTTTGCCCTGTGAGACTCTTCGATACTGGCCCGCGTATATGCTTAAACAGCCTTGTGCGCACAGGATTAGCCGAATTGCCCCGGACTGCCCTTGGCCGGCAAATAATGGCTAAGCAGAACTGTCACTATGTGTTGCTTGCGGATGAAGTGGTGCCGCTACTTGGGTTGAAAGCTAGAATCCTCAGGCTTCGATCCGATTCCCAACATTGTCAGCCTCGTGCTGACAGGCTGGAGCTGCGCAACGTGAGGTTAGATAGCATTCGATTGTTTTGCTGACCAGAAGTATAGAAAGTAGAAGCCAGAAGGCCGTCTCAATATGACTCGAGTCAGTCTCAGTTTCTGGTTTCAGAAACTGGCCCCGATTCAGGAAATCTCAGACAATTCCGAATCAAACAACTGTGGCTCCATGCAATTGAGAAAATCTGAGATCAGGCGATTCGTGAAACTGGCCGGTTCAGGAAACGGCTTCGCACGATTCAAATGAATCTTGTGATTAGGGAAAGCCGTCAGCAAGATTGGGAAACTGCCCGATTCAGGAACCCAATGCCCCATCCCGGAAACTGCAAGTGCACCCGCTTTCCAGAGCGTGCCGCCACGCGCAACAAGTGTCAATTACTTGAAGCCCTGGTGCTACTTCGTCCCCCTGCTCACTTTGTCTTGCGTGAGGAGGACCAGACTCAAAACCAAATCTGCGGTTTCCAATTTCCCGAGTCCGTGGTTTCCAGGTCGGTCCGTTGCGGTCTCCGAATTCACAGTTTCCAGTTTCTCGATTCGAACCCGCGGTTTCCAGCTTCCCATTTTTGAGGGTCACCCGAGGGTACCTCCTTCCCAAATCATCAATTTTCCAATTTCAGCGTTTTCCAGTTTCTCGGATCCGTTCCGGATTTCTGAGTTCTTGTTTCAAGTTTCCACGTTTTCCAGTTTCCCGAATCTCTCGGTCCATCATGAGTTGCTGGCTGCTGTCGCCTCTGCCCTGTCGACCAGGCAACAAGCTGGAGAAGCAGCTTGGCATTCATTAGTCTCATGAAGCTTTTGTGTAGTGCCCTGTGGTTCATGGGCCAGTCTGCTGCTATCGGAGGCTGGTAGACTTGGAGCCCATCACGCAGCTCAAGAACTTGGAGCGCCTTAGCCTCATGGATAACCCGGTCACCAAGGCGGGCGCTACATTGCACAAGGGGGAGTATGTGGGGCACCGATATTCGCGTGAGTGCAGGTGAAGCATTTTCGGCCTTACATGATCCACAAGAGCTCGAAGACGCTGAGGCATCTCTTTCATGACCTGTTGCATGATCTTTCGCTGCCCGCGGCAGAGCGCTCTCTGCAATTTCCAAGCCGTCCTGCAAGGATCCTAGACTTCAACCGCATCAAGGACAAGGAGAGAAAGGCGCTTTGTTATTGATTTCGTTGTTGTTGCCGATCCGCAGGCAGGTCACAGTGAGGATGCTCATGTATGCAGGTTGTCAAACGTGCAGTGAGACGGTCATCGGTGATGTACCAGATTGTTGAGCGATGCGGCTAGCAACATTGTTTACGAGCTGTCCTGGGAAGGAATAGCGCGTCATGTTTAAACTCAAGGCAAGGCAGAGCTGCCCGTGATGCAGGCGGCGACGCTGCTCTTTGCAGGTGAGCGTGGAAAGAAGCTGCTGGAGGTGCAGTAGAGTAGAGCACATCGATTTGATCAACAAAGCGACCACCAATCTCGAACTGACAGGAGATCGCTCCCCCGCGTGTGGCGGGCAAGGAGCCCACGGAGAAGGCACGCACACAGACACACAGACGCACAGACGCACAGATGCACAGACGCACAGACGCACAGACGCACAGACACACATGGACACAGACAAACGGACACACAGGGACACAGACACACGGACACACGGACAAACGGACACACGACACACAGACACACAGACACACAGGGACACGGACACACAGACACACAGACACACAGAGACACAGACACGCAGACGTACAGACACGCGGACACACGGACACACAGACCTGCAGCTAGCAGTGAATTCAATCGCCGCATACATAGTTTGTTGTCAGCCACGGAATTCCACAGACACAGACCTCGGGGAGAATCATTGTATAGGCGACAAGCGACAAGGTAAGTGTGGGAGAGATCAGTCATGACATGCAAGCTGCCAGGTGTCTGACGTCTCGAAGTCCGGTCCATCTCCTGAAGTTATCGCCACGCAGCTGCATGGGTCTGAAAGGTTGCTGTTGGGGGCAAGTCTGGGTGTCTGCTGTTTCTTGAGGCTTTGTCATATCTTGTGATATCTTGTCAGACCTTGTCACGCTTGTTGGCTTGCGGATGCTTGCGGTCTCAGGAGCGCATCAAGAAGGCCATTGCGGAGGCCGAGACCATCGAAGAGGTCACACGCCTCGAGAAGGCCAGCTGAGCGCCCCATGGGCCCATGCGGCCGTTGGGCAAGGGGTGGCAAAGGGGTGGCAAGGGGTGGCAAGGGGTGGCAAGAGTCAAGCATTGAGGCCTTGAAGAGTGGAGTCCTGCCCGACGACCTGAAGGAGCCAGGCCAGGGCGTGTGTGCGTGGGGGGGGGGGGTTTCTGATGTTTCAGTACCGAGCCGCTGAGCTTAGGCACCGAGGGCCCGGAGCCGGCACCCATGGAAGGAGGCCGCGTCAAACCGTGGACCTTTTTCACCGCTCAGTGCGATCTCCTTCCAGGTCCGGCGCCAATGGCGGAGGGATAATGCAGGGACTGCCCGGGCCTCGAGGGCGTCTGCCGGCGGATGTTTGGTGTGCTTTACCGGCTTTACCTGTCCTAAACGCACAAGCATGTGGTTTGCATGTGATTGCAGGAGGCCATGGGAGGTCACAGTAAAAGCCATGATTTCCGTGCAGGCCGCCCACTGCTCAAACGCCTCTGGGAGGTTCGCGCCCTTCCCCTCGTCGCATTCCCGGTGCTGGCATCAAGGCCAACGCGAAATGCCCGCCGAAGCAAGCGAGTCCTGGAACTCGGCATCCCAGGTCTATGCGCCCTTTGAAGCATTCACGGGCCAATTCACTCGCGCAGCCGCGGCGGAAATCCCGAGCCTTCTGTCCGATTCTGCCAGCTCTGGCCCGCTGAGGATCATGGATGTTGCTTCAGGGACTGGTGCATCGACGTTTGCGCTGTGCAAGACATTGGCAGACCATTGCAGGCAAAAGAGTCCTAAGGCACTCGTGGTTGCCACGGACTTCAGTGAAGCCATGTTAAAGACGCTGACGGAGAAGTTCACAGCTTCCAGTGCCGACCCGGAGGTGATGGCATCGCAGGCAGCCGAAAAGGAAGGCTTTCTGGAGCTTGCTACTCAGGTTGCCGACGCGCAAGACCTCTCAGCTTTTGCTGACGGAACGTTCGACGCGATTAATTGCTCTTTCGGAATTATGTTCCCTAAGTCTCCAGAGAAGGTGGCTCGAGAATTCTGGCGGCTGTTGAAACCTGGTGGGGTTGCTGTCGTTACAACATGGCACTACAACAACATGCCAGCCGAAATCCTGGTAGACCTGGCCCACGTCTTTAAGGGCCGCGGTCGCTTCGACCAGCTGCCCCTAGCGACGGCCACGGAGAAGTTCGGAAGCGAGGCCTTCATGCGGCGCCTCTTTCGCGGAGACCTCGAGGACGGTTCCGACGCTTCCGGTTCCCCTGGTTCCCCTCTGTGGAGAAGCAGGGATCTCCAGGCCAAGTTTATTGCAGGCTCTTCATACTGTTTGCCGCGGCATATGGCTGCCATGATGAACAAGACTCCGCTCGCCAGCGACTTGGGCCACTGGGATGAAGATGCTGTGGAGAAGCATCTGCAGGATCACTGGACAGGAGAAGATGGCCGGATAGTGTTGCAAGGCACAGCCCTTGTCCTCTTTGCGCGGAAGCCAATTTCATAGCGATCGCGGATCAGCAGCACTGTGCACCAACAGCGGGCACCCATCTTAGTAGCCAATGACATTGTTAAAAGTTTGTTCAAAGTTTGGTAAGAGTTTGTGCGCATGTTGATTCCTATGTCCCGCGTGGCATTTCCCAGAATAAGGATGTTTGTTGCAGGCCGACGGACACCAGTGCCCAAAAACCAGGCTTCCTGCATAAGTCGAAGGAAAAGAGCTCCGCTTACAATGCTACCCTCCAGCCACAGCATGCCCCTGATAAATGCCAGGCGTTTGACAGAGTACAAAGGCCGCAGTTGCAGTAGCTCAGACAGCCGCCTTTGTAAAGAAAAACTATGGACCCAAAACAGAACTGGTACCCGACACACTGCGTGCTCAGGCTGGACGGGCTCGCGATCTTGACGCCGCGTAGCGCCAAAAATGGAGGGCACGAAGCAACTTGCAAGATGGGCAGTATACCTCACTGCGTGCCATGATCCTGTTGTGATTCTCCCGTTTGTTGCTTTCTGTTAGAGCGATGTGCTATCTGTAATGTGCTACGACAGGGGGGGGGAGAGATGTCAGATGTGGGCTGTCTTGCAGTTGCGAGATTTTGGTTCAAAGACTCCTGCATGTGAATCCGCCCCTTAACCTTTGCCAGAATGTCTGCTGAACCTGAACACATGACTACAGGCTGAATTAGTGTATGTAGCCACTTCAATTCAGCTCAGCTGAGTGGTTGCCCGAATGGAATAGCCAAGAGTTGCGGATCTTGACGCCTCTGCGATGTCTCGTGCCCGCACCCGACCCAACCGTGCTAGCAGCTTGCTTCGCTGGGCCGCCGCAGCAATAAACTCAGCACTGTACAGTGAGGGCGGAATGTTGGATGAACGTACGTTTGATGAAGCCTTCTCTGATTCCTCGCAATTATTCTGCATTTTCTTAGCGAAGAAGCTTCAGGCTGCTGTGCTGGCAGCTTGCTCGATGGCTCAGCTTTGCTGCTCGTCTGCGATGACTATTGTTTGTGACTCTCGCTGGCGAGGTGTTCTCATCTTGCATGATCTTACGATGACAGTGATGAAAACTACTCAGGTTTTGTGCGCTCTGTCCGACTGCTTGCCCCGCACCGCCGTTTGCGTAGTGCCAGGCGTGACCCATCGTGCTACTTGTGAAGGCTTTTGCCTAAGAAGCCTCGCTACAAATTATAAGATCCTATGAGCATCTGTGGATGCGCTGCCGTAGGCGGAGCGCGGCTTCGGTTGCCGAAGTCAACCCCCTGCTGGAGACGAAGGGGCTGCCTCGATTTCAATCCATCGATGTGCCACGTGCAGCAATGAAGACGGCATGAGGGCTTGAGACCTTGGCTACATGCCAAGTGAATCTTACATTGAAGTGTTCTGCACCACGGTCAGGTAAAGCATGTGGAGCCAGCCATGGAATCCATCTTGAAGTCCCTGCGCGAGGTGCTTGCAAGTCTGCACCCAGTGTGGAACGCACAGCCTTGCATGGCATCAACCGGCACCTGCAGGATTTCAAGAGTTTGGAGGGAGAGCTCCCAAGCAAAGAGCCTGAATATGAAGAGAACCTTGGATGCGTCGGATGCGTATCAGTTTTTTGTACACGGTGCAAGCCCATGACTCTCCATGGAGCATGCTTTCATCAAGGGCTGGTAGCTGGTGCCGAGGATTGTGGAGTCCCTTGAGAAGCTACGCCATCCTCTCTCCTACAGCTGGGGCGTTGTAAGTCATCTGAACAATGTCACCGGGCATAAACAAGATCAGCGAAAGACATGCAGTCTCCTGACAACAGATGCATCAGGTCAAGAACTCAGATGCCTTGCGCGAAGTCCACCAAGCTGTCCAGCCAGAGGTAGTGAAGGCACCCCTCGCCGCATGCAACGTGCTCTGCTTTTCGTTGCCCATAAGTGTTTCCCCCCCGGCCTACCCCCCGCCCTCCCCTCCACCCGGTATCCCTTCTTCCAGTATCCCCATTCCCCACCCCAGCATTCCATTCCCCTCCAAGCCCCCGAACCCTAAGCTACCCCTGGACCCAAAAACCCTAAGCCCAGAACCCCACCACTACACTAGGGCATACCATGCGTGGATGGTGGGGCGTGATTGAGGTTCCAATTTTGGTGTACCACCCCCCCCCACCTTCAAACTCACCCCCCTCTTCGGGGAGGGAGGAAGGCACGGAAGACCCTAAGCCATCTTCAATCCTAAACCCTAACGCGCAGCCATTAACCTCAACTCTGCATCCTATACCCTACAACGCAACCTCGCAAAACTGTGCCAGCGTAGCGTGGAGTCCAGCGCAGATTGCAAACTTGGGACTGCGCTCCAATCTAGTCATTAGCGTCGCGCAATCCTAGAGCATTTCTCGTCTAGCACCTTGTCTGACCTGGATATTGCGAACTCGGGCAAACACTTCAGCGCCAGGGAGATGGTTCTGTGGATTCAGTGGTGTTGGCGGAGTTTGCAGACCTGGTGAAAGCTGCAGCGACCTTGTCTTGTGGCCATTGGGCGTGCGCTAGGAGTTCTTTGGCAGGGCATGGTTGGCATGGCTGGGAAGCGCCGGCCGAGTGGCGCATTGGAACCCTTTACAGGCGCATGAGCCAGAGCGGGAGTCGGCGGATCAACATGCTTCTTCTTTATGCATCCCCTCGACTGCGGCAGCTGTGTCATGGAAACTCGGCGATCCGGAGCCTGGTCCTCCAGGCGCGAGGACAGTGCTAGTCAGCGTTGGATTCGGGAGTTTGCGAGATTACTCCAGCAGGCAAACCTTCCTGCCGCGCCCAGTGTGTCTCGGGCTACTGGCGAGGTGATGCCGCGGCTGGGAAAAGGTCGTAGGTTGTCGGTGGGCTTTCAGCTCTGGTAGCAGATGAGCAGCGATGCCCAAAGTGGAGCGCCGGGGCTTCACATGTCTCCTTACTATCATGCGGCTGCGATGTCTCAAGCCCTTTTCCTGGCGTCGTGGGTCTAATGGCCCGGGCACTTGTGGACCGAACTCTCGGAACGTGCCACCGTGCGCACTTGGGCGGCATGTTGTGAAATTGCTGAGTTGGTTAGCAAGCAGCTGGATCGCTGGCAAATGTCCATTGGCGAGGCTTGTGTGCGTTCCATTTGGGGCAACGTGGACATGAAGTGGCTTGTGCATCTATGACCCCGTCCTGACCTTTGCCTGTCCCAAAGCTCGAGCTTCTGGCCACCTTTGGTAGCAGTGTGCGTGTTCGGCCGCGACGCGGTGCAGAAAGGTTCAGTGTGCACTGCGACAGATATCGTTAGCAGCTTCGTCGTCGACCAGCGCGTGACGACAGCCTTTCCGCATTTCAAGGAATTGGGGTGGGCTGGAAGACGGTGGCGTCAGGCTGTGGTCGCATGTAGGAGTCCTTGCAGAATGGAGGGGGAACTTGCGTGGCTCGTGTTCCAGGACCAGGTCTAGGAGTCGGTCGGAATGGCTTGCCTACGGTCGGGAAGGAAGTTTTGGTCGACTTAGCACAGCTGGCATAAGGCAAGCTGTGGATTGGTTTTCCTGAATGAAGAGACGGCGAAGCTTTAAACCTTACGCCATAACCCGTAAACCTTAAACCCCAGACCCCGACCTAAGCGCGCGTTGCTCAACACCTTCAGTAGGTGTACTGTTGCTGTTGCTGCTGCTGCTGCTGCTGCTGCTGCTGCTGCTGTCGCTGCCCGCCTGCCCACGAGTATCACTTTGTAGTGGTGCGGGCTGCTGGTGGTGGCGGTGGTGGCTCCTTGTTGTGTCGCGCCTGATGATGGTGCACTTGCTTGCTCTTGTGCTTTGCGCAGTTTGATGTTCATGTTTAGGGTATTGTAGGGTTGAAGGTCGAGGAAAAGCTGTTTGTTCTACAGCGTTTGCCTGTCCAGCTAGCGCCGCCTAACCAGGCATCTGTTGTGGATGAACTTGTGTGATCCTAGGAATGCATGACAACAAGACTTTTTACCAAAGCGGGATCCGGACATACGGCCATGTGCGTGTACCATACGCGGGGGGCCCTTCTGTTGCGCTGTTAAAACATCTTCAGAGCTTGGAAGTCATTCTGCAGCGATGCTGTTGTTCCTTCGCCAAATCGCTAAGCCTGCTGTTGATTAATTGATGGCTTTTGGAATACTGCTCTGACATGCTGTGACTAGTGGAAGTAGATCAGAGGCGCCGGGGTTTAGAACCCTTAATACACGCCGGACACTCATAGTTGAGCGTGAGCCTTCAGCAGTATCCGGTCCGACATATCATGTCCAAAGGAGGAATTGAAAGGCAAGAACCTGAAAACCAAGATCAGCAATACCGAGAGGGAAGGAAATTTCTGAGACCAGCGTCTTCATCAAAATCCCAAACCTTTGACGCCTGGCACAGTAATGCTGCCAACTCCCTGACAGAACCTGCTCTAGTCAACGGTCGGTTGGAGGCCTGGGCGAACCTGCGGTCACATTGAGAGTGTGCTTCTTCGCAGGCCTCCATGGAACTCTCGCAGAGCCGTGTTGTCTTCAACGCCTTGGGTAGCCTGGAGCAGAGAGTCTTGGCGAATTACTTTGGGTTTGCCAGTTTGTCATGACATGTGTACAACACAAATACAATCAGAACTTGGGCCTTGGGTGTCGTTCAAGTAGAACTGAAACGAGATGGTCCGAAATCTAGGAGTTAACAGTATCTTATACACACCTTTTGCCAGTGCTTCGTCAACCGGTAGAAAAAGCTTCCTGACGAGATTCTGCATTTTTTCTTGTCCTTGACTTTCTTGTCAAGGAAGTTGCCAGTTTTTAGTCAGTTGCTTGGTGTCCATGGTGCTACGGAGGTGCTCTCCCCGAGTCCCGGCAGCGCATCGTGGAGTCGGCACTGCGCGACATGCGACTGAGCGGTGTGGATCTGGAGGCCGGGGGGGAGCTTCCGGGCACTGCAAGGGGCACTGCAAGGCGTGTTGAAGTGGTTGCTCTCCACTTTGACAGGGAGCTGCAAAGGAGGAGTTCAATGTCTTGGCCTTGGGTAGCCATGGAGTTTTGTAGGGTTTGACCTGCCATAACTTGTCGCACTTTGCTCACCAAGACTGTCGCCTTGCTCCTCTCCGAACTCGGTGCGCGCCCCTTCAGGTCAAGCTTAGGCTCCTTGACCTTGCCTCAAGATCATAGGTTTCGGGTGTCCCTGCCCTTGTGAGACATGCTCTTTCGAGCCGAGATTTCTGCTGCCTCATTTCAACGGTCTAAGTTTGCTGACTCTGTACATCCGTTTCTGCGCCGCATAGCTATTTCGGCTTGATAGTTTTTCTTCGGCATAGAAGCAGCATATTACAAGGCTGAAGAAGAGGCCTGGCTGCAACTTGAGGGTTTCCTTGCACTGGTTTGCAGTGGTGCTTCCTTTCTTGCTTTCGACCTCGCTGAGGCCTCAGTGACAGCCCTGCCACGGGCTTCTGTGCGGAGGCGATGGCATGACAGATGGGGGCAGTCTCGAGCAAATGTCCCGTCATCCCGCGGCTTCCTTTCCCCTTTTTTCAGGTGCAAGGCTTTGGGTTTCCGGGTTCGTTTTTGATTTTTGTTTGGCTTTTGCTTGAGGATGCTTGAAGATGCTTGAAGAGGGTTTAGGGCTTCCGATGGCTTCAGGGTTTTCGGCTGTTAAGAGTCTGTCAGAGGATTTTAAGGGCTTAAAGTTAGTTTAGCGTTCTGGGTTCGGGCATGGGTGGCTTTTGGGGACCAGCATGATGCCATCATGACACTGGTCATCGTGCGAGCCTAAACTGGTCAGCATGTTGTGCCGAGACTGGCCCACACGCGACCTGAAACTCTGCCCCGAAGCTCTCTCTGAAGCCCCTAGTGCGAAACGCGGACAGCTGAGGTTGACAGCAACAGCACTAGCTTGCTAGCTTGCACGCTTGCATCGCAGTTTTTTGACGCCTTTTAGGTCAAGCTAAGTGGAAGGATGGACAAGCACCTCTAGTGTCGAGTCCGCCGATTCGGCAGTTTTTATGCTCAGCTTCAACCTTATTCCCCCCCCCCCTGGGGTGCGTGGTTGGCTACATTATCAGTAAACAATTCTCCTCGCCTCCTCGCCTTCGTGTCCCGTGCGAAGCCTACCAGGAAATGCCGCAGAAAGTCCCGCCAAGTGCCCAATCCGAAAAGACGCAGAAGGTTCCGCCTGACATCCGTCGAGTGTCCTTGGAGCTCCCGTAAGAGTCCCGCAAGAGTCCCGCAAGGGAATGTCCCTGGAGTGGCCATTCCTAGAGAACACGGAACGGCAAGATGGCTCCCACATGGGTACTTATTGGCTGTAGGGTGGGGACCAAGCAAATAATCTTCGGATGAAGAACCTATGGGCACCTCTATAGCTACTGGTGGGGTCGAAGCTGGGCAACAATTGCAGACAGAACTGTCTCCCAATTGCACTTGCACGAGGCGGCATGGTGGTTGAAGTTGCCAGCACAGAAACTTGGCGCATTGAAGGGAAATCTTGACGTGGGAAATACGGAAGCACGAATTCAAGCTAGTTCCGCTCCGCGAGGCATGGATGCTGGTCGCCATGGCCTTGGTGCAGCTGATGACACCAGGTTTAGCTTTCTTCTATGGCGGATTAGTCAAGGAGACGAGTGTGCCATGCTCAGTTGTGTCTAGTTCGTATTTGCTTGATTTTTCTCTTGATCTTTCCGTGAGACTCGGTTGCACCGAGGTGTTGACGATGATGATGCAAAACTATGCCTCCATGGGAGCAGCCAGCATCATCTGGTCGCAGTCTTAGACTCGCAAGAACACCAGGTTTGCTGCGTGGTCACTGCCCATTTCAGGACCCGAAAGGACCAAACAGTCGGAGAACAAAAGGGAGAAACAAAGGACAACAAAAAGCAACCAACGAAGTACATGGAAGATGCATCATCAACACAGTCGCCACCCCAGACACCCGGCGATTGCCTGCAACGGGCTCATCGTTAACAGATGCACACCTGCACGAGGATGCCAACGCAACCACACCGTAAGCAACCAGACATCGCCCGGTCACTGACCAGGCACATTAGATGAATGTAGATGAATATCAGCATATGATAGGAGGAGAAGACAGCCAACAAAAAAAAGCCCGAGCTCTTCCACCGACACACCCAAGTCGCTCGGTACAACGGCAACAGCTCCGTGAAATGTTCCCCACTCCTCTCGAATCAGCTCGGTGGCTCAGCGGCAGATTGAGTCATCAACAAGCCAACGCAAACCGAACCTGCGGTCGTCAGCTGTCACAGCCTTGCAAGCAACCGCACACTCGAAACAACCACACAGAAAAAGAGCAATGCCAGCAGCGGCTCAAGTCATCATGCCAAAAGCAAGGTCTTCCACTGAAACAATGCATCTCTCTGCACCTTGTCTTCTGCTTCCGGCGAGCGATTGCGTCGCAAGTTGAAATGACGCGCTGCACGAGCTAGAACCATGTGAGGCACGTTGGCATCACACAAGCAGGCAGAAGCAAGGCACCGCCATCCATGCGCATGTTATGTAGAAGGCGCAAAATGCAGCACTGACCCGCCTTCGTACTGTCGCTCAGCAAAACGTTGATGCCGAACCACCTCTCACCTCTCACCTGAGACCCAACCAGGCCATGTACTCCCACCCAAGAGGATTTCAGGTTTACGGTCTAGGTTTTTCACGATTCAAAGTTTAGGCTTTCATGTATAAACTGCGAAAACGCCATACTGTCCCAACAGCTCTAAAATCAATCTTCTAAGGGCCTGAAAACCGGAAAGTCTGGGACAGAACAGCATTTTGGCATTCAGACCCTCAAAAGATGGGGGGGCAGTTCTTGCATTTCGGCAAACAGAAACTCTCCAAAAACATTGGGACAGTTGCAGCGTTTTGGCAAGCGAGTTCTTTGCTGCGGTGGTGGCATCAGGTTCGCCTTCGGATTCTCCATGTGTTTCGGGGACAGCTGGGGCTTCATCGGCAGTCCCTGGACGTATCTGGGATTTCGGCACTTGAGCGTGCGGGAGGCCCTGTGACATGGACATGTCATGTTTCCTGTCCTTCCTGTTTTGCTCTTAGAGGTGCTTATGATTGCTTATGTGTACTGTGAATCAGCAAAGCTTGGAGCATCGGGTCGACCTCCTTGCGCCTCAGGCGCTTCCCGGACAGGTTATTCCAAGTGAGCTCTTCGCAGCATACCAAGGCATCTTGCCCAGCAAGACTCTATACAGAAGGCATCAAGGCTTCCTGATGCAGTGCTCGTGTGGTAGATGTGGATAGCTTCCAGGCATGTTTGCGATCATCACACCTGCGCTCATGACTGGTGCATTTGCGGATCGATTGCGCTTCAAGCCTTATCTGATTTTTATGTGCCTCTGGCTGGTGCTGCTTAGTCGAGCTTGGCAGCTTTTGTCCTACAATATTACAAGCGGTGCGTGACAGGGTTTTGATATTGTCAGTAGGCGAAAGGTACTTCCTTGGATGTGGTGACTGACGGTGACATGCCGAGGTTGGTGTACTTCCCATGGTGCCATTTGATCTGGGGCGGTGGTTGGCTTGCGCAGTGGGGAGTTGTGGACTTTGCTGGAGGTAGACCCTGTTTGCATACTGTATCACTGAATGTCACTGAAGATTTAGAGTCCAAATTAGAGGTCGGTACTCATGAAGTTGCATGGGCCCTTGGTTCTCAGGCATCGTCGTGCACGTCACGGCAGGCTTCTCCGCGTTGGCCAGTTTGAGCGTAATCGGCCACCGTGAGATCCCAGAGGATGAGAAGCACATACACGAGACCCCTCACAACATTCCCTTCGTGGCTCTGGGCACAGCCTTGCTGTGGTTTGGCTGGTTTGGATTCAATGGCGGCCTCCTGGACAAGATATGGCCGAGCATGGCGGCAACATGCTGCACACACACACACACACACTGCTGCCCAGCACGTGCCAAAGCACCGAGGTTCTGCTGTGGCCGCCAACGGTGTAGCGATAGGAGCTGCAGCCTGGCACAATCCGACGTGTGTGTGTGTGTGTGTGCTTTAACGGGGAGCGCGTATTTGTTCCCGTCAGCATGGAGGTCGTTGACGCTTTGACGCTGTCATGTTCGGGGGTCTGATATTTTCTTTCGCATGACGTACATAGCCGCTAGTGTCGCATACTGTGGCCAGTACAGTAGTACAGCTTGGCTCCACCGCCTCAAAGCTGCTGAGGCGGTGAACTCGCAGATCGCAGCTTCCGTGGCGCTTTTTCTTTGGCTGGCCACTCTGCAGAGCACTGACAGCTTGCGGCTGATGCTACTTGTAACGTTGTACAAGTATGTTCTTGCAGAAATCCCGCAGTGTCTTAGCCTGTAGCTATCATTCCAGCATGCGCCGCGTGCGTGCTTTGCTTTGTCCAACCAAGATAATAGAATGGCTGCGTTTTGGTCGGCCTTCGCTTGTTGGAGCCTTTGCCTGCAGTTTTTCCAAAACAGCTGAATCCAAAAGCAACGTATCCGTTTGGTCATGGGGTCTCCATGGGTTTCCTATAGCCTCCTCTTTCACAGGACTTTGCGTCGGGGCAATCGCCGGCTTTGCGACCATCACGCCGGCAGCTGGCTATCTGCAGCCTTGGGCCGCGTCTAAGGGCTGCAGCAGATAAAGAGCATCAGAGAGCTGTAAGCAGTTGCATGAATGCTGAGACACAACAGCTGCATTGACAAACATGCAAGTGCAGCATTCTGAATCTGAGGTTCGTCTTGGGACTGATCGCGACCGTCTTCTGCTACGCTTGCACTGAGCTGATCAACCGCCTTGGGCTGGACGATGCGCTGGATGTGTGGGGGGTGCATGGTATGGGCGGCTTCATAGGAGCCATCATGCTCCTGAGCTGCAAAATCGGCATTCTGCGGGCATGAGCTACACATCGAACGAGATTGGGAACGAGATTTGATCAGACATCTCGAGTAGATCTCATGGGAATTGCCACAGTGGAACGAAAGGGGACTGCACCCCAGCTCCGTGTTTGCTTGTTTGCCCCAGGCTTGGGACCTTGGCGGACGGCAGTGAATGTGCAGACGAGGTACCTTTTTTTCAGAGTCGGGAAAACGCTTTATAATGTATATAATATATTTTCATATGTATATATATAAATATTTTTCTTACTATATACATACCTGCTCACCCCCCTTCCACCAGCTAGGTTGGAACCTTTCGGCCACATAGGGGGAGGGAAGTGAATGCAAAGTCATACAGAAAGAAAGACTCTTATGCTTTTTTCTCTCCGAAGAGCATACATGATCCCTATCAAATGAGTTCGTAGCAGGTTACTACTAGCTCTAATGCTAAATTTATCCACCTCAATCTGCTTACTAAGCAGTAGTTGTTTCGAAAATCTACTTCTCAACTGAAATATGTCTATCTGATGTCCAACTAGGAGTGTGTTCAATGTAGTCAATCTGTATCCGGTCGGATACGATTCAAGCGGTAAATTTGTTATTTCATTTTTGAGGTAGTAATCTGCAGCCACTCCTATTCTATTTCAATGACAGATGATAAATGATAATGTTTGATTTGTACATATCATAAAGAAGGATGAGCATTTCTTATTATCCTTTTCTTCCGCTCTGCTATGGAGTGATCAGCTTTAGCAAATACGAGGTCTATGTATCTGCTTTCATTATGAGACCTCCTAGAGTGTTTTGTTGTTCAAGTACTCTCAACTCCTCAAGTGGCTGTGTTAATTTAGATGAAGGGCTTAACTTTGTAATTTCTAAGTTGTAGTTTGTTCTAAATTAAGTAAAGACCTTCTCCAAGTTAGACCGCCCTAGCTGCATCAATATATATATACACACATATAGAAGATCCTCTAGTAACTGTAATTCTGAATATCTGTTTCCATAGGGAACTACAGAACTACGCGTCTCATTATTAGAGAAATTAATCTATGGTTAGTAGATGTAAAGTCGCAAATGTCCGATATTTTCATTATTTCTTTTTGCCTTCTTATACTTATTCAGTTAGAACTTATGCCGAGAAGAATTTGATCATTAACACAAGATTTCAGATTATCATCTACATAGTTTTTGATGATTGAACAGTAGTTGATTCAGCTACAGCCAGTTATTGGATGTGTAGATACCCTCAGAACCATAATATTAACCTTACGCGGCCCGCCTCTCGGCCTGGCCAGCCCCTTGAGCATGGAGTCCGCAACCACGGCACCCTGAATCTGAAGCTCTGCAGCTGCACTGGGGTCATTCCGGAAAAGGCAGGTTGGGATGAAACAGCGGTCGGGGGGTGGTGGGGGGGGGTGGGGGGGGTGGGGTGGGGGGGGTGGGTGGGTGGGTGGGGGTGGGGGCGTTGGGGTGGGTGGGGGTGGGTAGGGGGTGGGGGGGGTGGTGGGGGGGGGGTGGGGGGAGTGGGGGGGGGATGGAGGGCTGGCCACCCCAAACTCCTGGTCCTGATGCACGGTCACCTTCTGCGCACGTGTTGGCTAGGGAGGGTACCCGTTTCCGCCAAAAAGTGGCCAACATTGAGGGGCTGCATGCTTTGTGCTCGCCATACACCTACGGCCCAAGGCCTCGGCGGATTCTCATCTCCTTTTGAAAATTTGCGTCAAACAGTTTCCCATTAACGTCATATATACTATATTATTGCCTCCGTTGTCTTGACAAATATTTGCATTAAGTTACATTCGAGGTCTTCACTGAGCTATTGAATTGCGAACTGCCATTAATTCCATGGAATCAGAATATAACATTTCGATCAGTATCATAATATTGTTCATCATTTGGTATGACAAAGCAGCGCCCCTACATTTGCTGGATGGCTTGTCTAAGAACTGCCTATGCCTCAGGCACAAAACGGATACCGTCTGCTTTCTTACAGGAGCTGTGGGGCTGCTGGAATCACTAGTTTATTATCGGTTGCGAAAAAGTTTTATGTGCAGTGTCTGTTAATGGTCATTGTAAGCGCTTGCGCGCCCCGCCTCGGCAGCGGAGCTGGTCAAAGTGGGGTGTAGGCAAGCGCAACTGCCCTAGGAGGGTCCCAGGGGGGGGGGGTCTCAAGGGAAGGGCTTTTTCAAGGTGTTGCAGGGGCCGAGGTTGGGAAGGGGGGAAGAGACCAGATTCTGGACGCTTCTCGGCTGGAAACCCAGGCGTATGTATTATATGACCGATGCTGCTTGAGGCCACAGCGCCGAAATTCTGCATCAACCCTGGCACTGTTACTGCGTCCTTGTCACAAACCGGCATCTTGGCTGAGTAGGGAAGACCTGGGTCCCTATGCTTTGGGCCGAATGCCGCGGTCTATGAGGAATTTTAGGCCTTTGGGTAAGCTGCTCAGGAAAGCAGACGGCAGCGGTGCTGATGTGCGCCGTATACTCTGTCGTTGTCACCCTGATCATCCTCAAGGTGGGCACCTTAAACCCGTAAGTAGGAACAGGGCGAAGCAAGCAACATCAAACCGTGAAGTGGCTGGAAATGCGAAGTCTCAAGCGGACTGCTCTCATGCCGTGATATGCCGGTGATCCACCTGAGGGCATCAGCCTCTGCATGCCGCTGAATCCGCCCAGCCTCCACGTGGACTTGCATGAGCTCGCGCCCCTCAGTTGCCAAAAGAAGAAAGGGCCCGAAAGGGGTTTAGGGTTTAGGCTGGTTTAGGGTCAAGTTTCATATGTTTCATGATTCGTCCAGCCGAGGGAGCATGAGAAGGCATATCACAGCCCAACCCGCGCTTATCTTACCGATGTCCTCATGGCCGTGCAGAGTTCGCAGTCACAGTCGAAGGGTTCCCAGAGTGCGGACGAATCCTCCGCTTCTGAGTCGGCATGATTGCGATTGACCCTTTCAGCGTTGGCCTGAGACTGTGGAGATGGTCACGCCATACAAAACGCCTCATTAGGCAATGCATGTGGTTTCGTTTTCCACGGTCGCTACCTTCCACGGGAAGAGTGGCGTTTGTTTTCCATTTGCTTGGCCCCCATGGCCGACTTACTTTGGTGGTTCTCAAGCAGTCTTCTCCGCTCGAAGGAAAGGCGTTACCATGTCCGAAGCAGGCATGAGTACACGCTCATCCTCGCAGCAGGCTAGATGTTAGATCTCTTCTGTCTTGTCACCTGCAAAGCAGAGGCTGAGACATCTGAGACGCTGTGCAAATGCCCTCTGATCCGCTCTGCATGCTCTGCCCACTCTGGGCATGAGCGACGCGCCATTGGCGCTGCGCGACGTTGGCTCCTTGACCTTGGGGATCTGTTCTCAAGGGACAATGGGCAGCGAACCAAAGAGCCGTTGATCGCACGCGACACAATCATTATCGGAAAAGTGTTTCTTGAAGTGCGGGTTGGGTGTTCACAGCTGCTTTCAGCGCACTGCCACAAATCTAACATGTCACGTAAACCTCGGCTACGTATTGAGCGACTGCTGGTCTGGAGCATTTGGGCTGCAAACCTTGGCACCAAGCTGTGTCTCATTCTGCCACTCACTTGAGGCTTGTAGTAGGGTCTGGCAAGACGTTTTTGGGTGCAGCCTAGCCTGGTTTAAAATGCTGACGGTGAGAAACTCAAGGTTTGCCAGGTTGCAGTGTTGCTTTGCTGCAGAGGTGCGGCGACCATGGCAGTTGGCGATATCGATGCTGCCAGCACGGCCTCTTGCCAGCAACTGCCTGATCATGTAGACTGCAACAACTGATTGGGTCGTGCGGGAGGTCTCTGTTAGAATAGTGTTAGAGAATATCTTGTAACCCTTGGACAGTCTCGGGTGCACGCTCCGTAACGTGGATCGACCTCAAACATGGAGTCAAACCTTCAAGTCCTCCCTTTCAACGCCTAGCCCGAAGCGTGTCGAAACGCATCAAAAAGTCGCGTGTCTCACGCCCTAAGACCCTTGACCCTTGAGCTGGCCTGGAGGCCCTGGGTTTCCCTGGAGCTTGCTTTTGATGCACACAGTCCAAGTGTGAAGCACGGTCGACCGGGAACCCGAAAACCAAACCAGGAGTAAAGATAAGGGCAATGCTGCATGGCATACCCCATGAATCCCCATGAAATTAAATATCACTGGACAAGGTTGCAAGCATCTGCAATCCGGGGCAGAAATCGAGTCATTCCTTCTTTGCTTTCGAGGCCTTCATGATGGTGTGCATGGCGTTGGTGCAGCTCATGACGCCGGGCTTGGCATTTTTCTATGGAGGCCAGCACACGCTTCGTGCACCGCGCGGGACTGCTGTGGGCCTTACTGTGCTGCATCTGGGCGTGCGGTGTTGCCGTGAGCGTGAAGGTTTGGTCAAAGACACGAGCGTGCGGGACCGAGTCGTGCACAAATGATTCAGACATGTCAGAACAACTTGTTGCGTACCCGCTTTTGCCATGAAGGTTCTCACCATGATGATGCAAAGCTTTGTCTCAATGGGGGTTGCCAGCATCATTTGGCGGCTCGGAGAAGATGAGTGGACATTCGTTTGCATGCCTTGCTTCCAGCTTCCTGCCCAAATAAAGCTGCTTGAGGTTCCTGTTTGGCTTTTCCTTGTGCTTCGGGGAAAGTCTCTACGTCATCGGCAATCCCTTCTCGTACTTTGGCCTCCAGGGGCTGAACGTGAACGAGGCCCCTTGCTTTTAACCTTACAGCGAGGCGTGGTGCTTGCTCTTTCTCTGCTTTCCAGGCCCTTCCGGACATGTCCATTCCGGGCCTTTTGTTTGCTGGATACCAAGGCACCTAGGCTCTACATGAAGCAGGGTCTATATTTCTGTTTTTGGTGAGTGTATACAAGGTTCCTGTTTAATTGTAAACGCTTGCGCGCGCCGCCTCGGCAGCCGGGCCGGCCCCAGGACAGGAAAGGAGGAAAGAGGGTTTCGCAAAAAAAGGGAGGAAGGGCAGAGCAGGTGGGGGGGGGGTCGGGGGGGGGGGGTGGGGGGGGGGGGGGGGGGGGGGGGTGGGGGGGGGGGTGGGGGGGGGGGGTGGGGGGGGGGGGGGGGTGGGGGGGGTGGGGGGTGGGGGGTGCGGGGGGTTTTTGAGGCACTCCCCCTGTAGGAGCCACCAACAAGCGGGACCCTCCACGGCATCGGTTTGCAGCTCCTCCAAGGGATTGGGGGGTGTCCCACAGGGCGGGGGGGGTGGCGTCAGAAAATTTGGCATGGGAAAAAGGGTTGGGTAGGGGGAAGGAGGCCCGATCCGGGTCTGCTTGTTCCAGACGCTTCTCGGCAGGAAGCCGAGGCGAATATTGGTGAGTGTATTTATTGGGTGTCCTTTTGGGGGTACAAGAAATATATACCCTACTTCATATGAATTTTAATGTAGCATGACGCAGCCGCGTTTCCTCACAACCTCGAGGCATGTTTGCCGTCATCACGCCCGCGCTCATGACCGGTGCATTTGCAGATCGCTTCCGCTTCAAGCCATACTTGGCATTCATTGCCCTGTGGCTTGTGCACCCTGGCTTGTTTATTATTCTGTGTCGGTTGCGACACCTGTCACACGACATCCGTGAGCTGCGTTCTGCAAAAAGTGTACTTCGCAGGTTTGTCTATGCTCCCTGGTGCCACTGGGTGTGGGGAGGAGGATGGCTTGCACAGTGGGGTGTCAAGGACTTTGCCGGAGGTGCGCGTTGCATAAATCGAATGTCGGTTCATTCTGGAAGTGGTCTTCATATGTATCATTGTTGTTTCACTATCAGTGTGGCCGCCACTTGGAAGTCAGGCATTGTGGTTCATGTCACGGCGGGGTTCTCTGCCTTGGCCAGCCTCATTGTTGTTGGGAAGCGCCACGTCTCAGAAGAGGACCTGGAGGACCGATTCTTTTGGGACGAAGTCTGGTGGAGCTTCCGGAACTTCACAAAACAGATCATTCACAAGTCCATTGTAGCACAGCGCACCGAAGTGCCACAGCCAGCAAGCCCAGTTTTGTTGCCCCTAGGACCACGACCGGCCTCACAACGTGCCGTTTGTGGCGCTTGGCACTGCAATGCTCTGGTTTGGGTGGTTCGGCTTCAATGCTGGCACCTTGACTATTCTTCGTATGATTTTGGTGCAAGGTGATTGCATATCGCCCACGCTGTGTGCTTCAATATTTTTCCCTCTTTGGCGTAGGATCTGCACTGGCTACTGGGTCGGTGGCAGTCGGTGCAGCCGTGAACTCCGAGATTTCAGCTTCTGTGGCTTTGTTCCTGTGGCTCCTCATTGACTGGGTTCGCCTCGGGCGTCCTGGCTTGGTTGGCCTCTGTGTGGGTGCCATCGCTGGCCTTGCCACGATCACGCCCGCTGCTGGCTTCATCCAGCCATGGGGAGCGAACCGCATCTGCACTTCAACGCTTTCTGTACCTTTCTGTTAGTCCCATCATAAAGAGCACCACCATGTTCCTCTTGCATGTCTGTTTCAGTTTCATACTCGGCATTGTCGCGACTTTCTTCTGCTATGCCTGCTGTGAGCTTCGACGCTTGGCTGCAGCAGAGCTATGCAGAGCTCGGAAGAGAGTTGCGTGCACTTCACCGCAGTTCCATTCATGCCATGGAGAGGCGAGCACACCTCGTGCATCTCGGGTGTCCGTACTGTTTGTGCTTGCAAAGGAAAGCGGTTGGGCTTCGACGATGCTCTCGATGTGTGGGGCGTCCATGGCATGGGTGGTTTCATGGGCACCGTCCTGCTGCCCGGTGGAAACAATATCAGCATGTTTTTTCCTGTCATGTCCAGTGCTGATGCACCTAGGCACTTAAGCGTTGCCATGAAGTTGTCAGCACGCAGATGTCTGGGTTTAGCCATAGTCATGTGAGGCTGGGCGTCCTTGCTGATCCCGAAGAGTGTGGTGCCGTGGAAGCCGCACCGAACTACTGCATCTGGGCAAAGTTGGGGAAGGTCAGAAGCAAGAAGCGGTCAGCCGGAAATCTTCAACACGCTTGTCAGACGTGGCAAAGCTAAGGTGTGAACCCTGGCCAGGCAGGGGCGGGTGATGAAGTTCTTGTATACATGCGGGAAGAGCTCTGGATTGCTCTTGAATGCTCCCTCAGACCATGCTTGGTGATCAGTGCCTACTGAGTATACTGGCTTCTCCAGCGCTAGCCCTGGGCTTGATACTACGCAGCCTTAACTTGTCCCTCCGATGCTCACCCATCAAGTGGGTCCATGTAAGGCTGCACTTAGCCTCGCAGGTGACGGCCAGCATTGAGCAGGTTGGCCGCTCGAAGTGAACAAGTCTCAAGACCCATCTCCGCCCGGTCCTCCCCAAAGGGGCCACAATGGGCCACAGTTGTGGCCATGTCAGACCCGAGGAAAGCAGCTGGCGGCGGCTCTGCTCGCTGCGGTCTACTCGGTCGTCGTGACGCTACTGCTCTTGAAGGCCTGCGAACCCTCGCAGGTTGAGAGGATTTTCGGAGAGGTGTCATGGATGTTTGTTCAAGGGTCCGCGCGGGCATCGTCTTGAGAACAGACTTTGTGAAGTATGAAATGCAGTCTACGCTTTAAACAGGAGGACTGCGAGGGCGGTCTTGAAATGAGCTTGTTGAGCTGCGGGAGCTGAGATGCACTAACGAAGATGTTTGTATTGTAACGCGCCGTGCAGGCACTCAACGTCTGTATGCCCTTGAAGCCGAACAACATTGGAGGAGAAATACCCTGCTTAGGCAGACTCGCAGAGGTTGCCACAAGGTTGCCACAAGGCAGCAGGATGATGAGTTGCACATACATGTTGTCACGTTGACGCAGGACTCGACCTCACCGAGCATGGTGAAATGGCATACCACAGTCCAGTGCGCCAGTACATCCAAGAGCCCAAGAAAGGAGGATCGGAAAGCGAGTCGGTGGTTTGAAGCTTGGTCTCTTGGTTCCGGCTGGGAATTTCGTTAATTAAAATTAGATGTTTATTGTCGTATGGCAACTGTTTATTTACATCTTTAGCAAAACCGTTTGCTGCCGTTCTGCTAAGGTTTGTTTCCAAGGCCTGCTCGACAACCCAGAGCAGGACCCAAAACTTATAATACCTATTGTGCGGATGAAGGGCGCAGCCTCTAATTACAACTTAATCGCATGCCTTTCCCTGAACAGCTTCAAGCTTGTTCAAGCTAGTCCCGGTGGTTTCGGCTGCTGTTTCATCCGTGGTGTAGTGGAGCTGCACGGAAGTCAGTTTTTGGATCTTGTCAGGAAGCAGCCAGAGAGCTGCTGAAGTTTCGATGTCTAGGCCTCCTGCATGGCAGGAGATGGTCCAACCACGAAGAGTGGATCGTTTAATTAAGCCTTGGAGCCCGGGTTTGCATGCCAACCTCTTTAAGACCTGACAGCTGCCATTGCAATATCAAGCACTGAATCGCTGAACGGAAAGCTGGCAGGTTTGGAGGGGCATTGAGCGACCTGCAGCTTTCTTTAGGCCTCAACCGCCATGTGGTTGAAGGTTAATGCATGCAATTCCTCAGGTCGACATCGGAAAGCCTGGCCTAGAAAGCCTAGAACTCACGATGAGAACCGCCTCAGATTCAATGTCACCTGAAGGAATGATTAGTTTGAATTGTTTCTGAAGGCACTCGTAAAATTCTGCCCTTGTGGCCATGCTACAAGGATGAGAGGTTCCAACGGCTCGCGACCTCGTTCAGAGCCTGTTGAGTTTAGTCGGAAAATCGCAGACGCAGACGGGACTGTTCTCTTGATGAGCGGATGTGCGGCTGGATGAATCGAGCAGTGGGCTGATGAGAGGCACTTCTTTAGCCGTAAAGACTTGCAGGTACGACTTTCCAGAACAATTTGCTGGATTCTACCAAGGCCTCGGGTAAGATTGACTGGCCAGTGCGAGTTGCTTCGACTGCCTGGTCAGGCATTCGAGCTTGTCCTCACTGAAGTGAAGGACATGGACATCGCACAGCATTGAACAGCGCGGCGCTGCTCCTGACCAGCTTGACCCGTTCGCACCATGACGGCCCTAGATGCAGCCTGCAGGACGTCGAAGGCCTGCCAACAAGTGCGTTGGCTGCAGCTCGGCCTTGGAGGTTGTCAGTGAACATGAAAAATTGGAGATGTGTCGAGGCATGAAGTGGTCAGAAGCTTGCCTGCCTTCTTTTGCCTGTTCTGAGGCAGCAGCGCAGTCCTTCAACCAAGCACAGAAGGACAAGTCCGAAGAAGTTGCTGAGGCAGCCGGGGCATATCTGTCTACGTTTCAGACATGTCCCTCGTCTTTGCATAGAGAGCATCGTCCGCAAGGCAACTCCAGAATCGGGGCCTTGGCGACTGACATTGGACATGCTACTCGGTGTGAAATGTCAAGCAGAAGCTGATGTAACGTGTTATGTTCCACCTTTGCATGCCCTGATCCGAAAGGCCTTCCTACCTACCTGCCATGAAGCACCTCAAGTCCTCGGAGCTGCGTGAGAAGCTGCTTGATCTGCAAGCCATGTGGTTCTCAGTCTCAGTCTCCTCTTGCTGTTCACGCTGCGCACTCTGGTCGGTGAAGTGCAGCGCTGACTCCCGAAGTGGCGTAGGGTGCAGCTCAGGCTTTACCGTGCCTTCATTTCGAGAGCAGACGGCTCAGGGGTCTGAAATCGTCCTTGGAGTTCATGCACAACGAATAGGCAACAAAGCATGAAAGGTACAAGTTCCTGTGAGCTGTAGGCTTCTTCTGGCAAGATGGACAATGGGCCCCTCATCACAGAGATCTTGCAGTTGCGCGCCAGCCTCGGGTGCGGTGGGAGTGCGGTGGGAGTGTGGCGCGTGCGGCGGAGTGCAGCTGAAGAGAGCCGGAGTCAGGGTTTTCGCAAGTTTTACTTGATGTTTGTTCGGCCTTTTGTTGGCCTTTTAAGGGAAGAAAGCATCGGCCATGCTGGGCTTTGAGAACTACGCAGCCGAGTCCCTGGCGTCGAAGCAGCTTTGCTGAGCTTAGTCAGAGGTCTTGAGAGTCTTGAGACTTTGCAAGTTTCCTTCTTGCCTGGGAGGGGATTCTGACTCAGGATGGCTCCTAGCATCGAGGCGGTGGGAAAGCTCACGAAGGATCGGCCCTTCCCCCACCGCTCCCGTCCCGAAGACGATCCCTGCAGTGCTTGCCTTCAGACGACCCCCCGGAGGAATTGCTGGCATTCGTACGTTCCAGGTGTGTTTCTTGTTGTGATGTCCACTGTGCGATGGTTTGTTTGTCCGTTACCTATGCTGCCGTTACACGTTCTAGGTGTGCTGAGCATCGCCCCGCGGAAGACAAAAAACAATAACGTGTACCTGACAGGGAAGCAGAATAAAAGTATAGCGGGCAGGCGCTTACAAGTGTATTCAATAACAATAGCTTGATACGTAGAACGCTCGACGGGGAACATACCTGCAACAACATAATTCACATCTGCGATGCTAAAGCACGTTCCGCTGCTCCCTGGAATGCCCATCCCAAGAATCTTCCTAAAATGCCAACCTGCAGTGACTGTTGACATTTCATCCGAGCAGTGCCAGTGAACAGATTGTGTCCTTTCAATTAGATGTCCGAAGCAAGGAAGTGCTCTTTGTAGGTTGGATTCTGTTCATGGTTTTGCTCTTGATGCTCTTGCAACGGATTACGTACGTGGTGGCTCTTTGGAACAGCTCTTTGCACCTCTTGAAGTCTGAGTGCTCTTCGGGATGCTTCCAGGAAGTTTTCTTCAGGATGTAAAGCCGGGCGCACCTTCCACCGTTTTTTGCCCCGGAAGTGCGCAAAAAGCGTCTTGAAGCGCTCCGCTGGTTGATGCAGAGGACCTGTTTGCTGTAGCGCGGCCTGCAGCCGAGCGGGAGCTCGACGAGCTGCAGGAGCGGGCGCGGGAGGATTCAAGAAAGCCAAGTTGCATAGGCTCAAAGAAGGGGTTGCTGAGCGATAGGACAATGGCACGCAAGCAACAACTTGTCCCGATGGTTTCGATGTCGTCTTGTAGGGTTGGGTCTCGTGCTGGCAGGAGTTCGCCAACGCGAAAGGCACGTCGGCTAAAATGCCCCCAGGGTGTGCAGTCTTGCTCGTAGTTTTATGTGGCCAAAGATGTTGCGAATAGCAAAGATCCATGCAGGGTATGAGGGCAAGTTGCAGCTCGGGCCTCAGGAGCCAGTGCAATTGGGGGGTTCCAATCGCGTGGGTTGGGGATTGCAAGTGGCCAACAGCCGCTCAACAGCCTGCAAAGAACAGTTGGATTTAGAGTTTACGAATGCTTGAAAACGTTCAGAGTTTCAGTGTCTCGGGCCGGTTTCGGAGCGGCATCCTGGCACAGCAATGCCACACGGTCACAGGCCCTGGCCGCAGATCCAGTCAGCAGCCCTTTGCAGCCAAACAACCATTCACCATGCACCTCAATCGACACCAGATGCCTGTTGCGAGTGCAGGGTCGATCAGCAACAAATTCAGGCGGTGCACACGCAATGGATGAGGAGTGCAATGCGGACGACAAGCTTATGTATCAGGTGCAACTCTGAACTGCTCCGACCGAGCATCACCTGACGATTGTGACACTCCACCATGCCATCATTCGGAGAGAGGCGTGTGCCCTCTAGTGCCCTCGGGTGGAAGTACGAGTTCCATGAGAGAGGAAATCCCCAGCGAGTGCAATCACAGTTCTCCGTTCAACAAAGGGAGGTCTGGGGGGACGAAGTGGGAGGTTGGGGCTTGGCAGCAGGACAGAGCAGGGGCAGGGGGCCTCATGCCTTTACTGAGGGAGGGCTGATGTACAGCACGTAGGGAGTGGTGTTCTTGCTGGCTCAACGTAGCTTGATGGGCTGTGATCTCAAGCTGCGGGTGTTGGGAAGCTTGCCGATGTGGACTGCTTGAGGCTTTGGGACGTGACCTTCTGGACCGAGCGTCTCAAGGAGGAGAAGTGCCTCGATTGACGACTTTCTCCGGTGTTCCGGGGCCTTGTTTGCAGAAGCATCACCTTCAATGCTACACAATGCCTCAGGTATGCTTACGACGAAGAGGCCTTGAGGCCTTACTTCTCACTCCCCAAGGTGCTGGAGGGCATGCTTCTTGGCAAGCATTGAGCTGCTTCACGTGTGCAGATCTCGGGCTCTGATTCAATGATCTTCATTTCCATGAATGATTTCTTTGGTGCGTGGAGCTTTCCAAGTCGCTGTCTGCAGCCCTTGCATCGTAGCGACCCGGTGGTTGTATGTGCCCGAGGTTTGGCATTGCCTCGAAGCTCTTCGGGGTAAACATTGTTCAGGATGATGACGCCGCGGAGCGCATCATGCCTGAACAGAGAACTGCATGATTTGCATCAACAGTCGTGACCCACCCACGCTAGTGTGACCCTCCCAGGCTAGTGTGACCCACCCACAGCTGTGAAAGAAAGAAATCTCAATTCTGCATGTCCGAGAGTTCATTTTCATCAGCTCACCCGATGACAGTTTTTTCGCACCTTGTCCGCAAGGATGGCATTCAGATGTCATGTTCTTCAAAGTGCAGGACATATGCCACCAGTTCCTCAAGTACTTGGTTGCTGTGTTGCTTTCGTCGTACATTGCGAGTCCGGAGCAGCAGAGCGGCGGTGGTTATAGAAGTGCAGGATTCTGACACAGGAGATCACATTGCCTCTTGCCCGGCTTCGTGTTTGTGTAACTTTCAGAATCTTCGCCAGCAAAGATTTTTGGAATCCTTCGAATCCTTCCAACTCAGGCTTCCTTTTTTCTGGACCCTTATGCGCGCCCTGGGGAGACGCTTGTGCTACAAGAAGAAGTTTAGGTTTCGGGGCAGATTCATATTGCTAGAAGGTACTAGAAGAATGGCCTGCAAGCCCAGGAAACGCGGAGGGGCCTGGATGGACGACTGCCTGGGCCGCTCCAAGGCTAGACATTGCTGTGCAGCCCGACGTCGACGTGCGTGTCTGCATCGGCGCTGCCGTGACAGGCAGTGGGAACGAAGCCAGTGGCGTACCTGACCTGCAACGGTTGCTCGGCTTGATGTTGCCACAGGATGCCACTTCGTGTATTCGCCTGTAGTTGCCACTTCGTGGATGTCGTCGAACAGTCTTGTGTTGCCAGCGGCCAGGTTCGCCGCCCGTGGGCGCAAAGCCGTCTCTGTGCAATGCTTAGTAGACCACGGCTAGGTTCTCCCGGCAGCTTCCAAGTACCTACGGGCCTACTGGGGTACCTACGTAGCTTGCAGGGATACCTGATCTCAGGATGACTTTCTCAGAGGCCGAGACTCTATTCCACGAGTTCGGGCATGGTCTCCAGCACATGCTGACTCATGTCGAGGAGCCTCGGCTTCTTTTGATTCAAGTTCTGTTGATGTCTGCTGAGTCCGACTGCCAAGTACAGGATGGCGACTGTGCTGGCATCAACAATGTCGAGTGGGATGCCGTGGACACGTGTCAAATATTTGTCCCCCATCGCGTTCGATCGTTTCAACATGGTTCTATCCGTCCTCATTGGATGTATAGGCTGGACTCAGGAGCTCCCCTCCCAGTTCATGGAGAACTGGCTGTACCACAAACCTACTGTGGACTCCTTCGCCGTGCACTACGAAACTGGGGAGCCACTGCCTGCGGACATCTTCGAGAAGATCAAAGGACCCCGGCTGCTTGCATGCCTGCAGAGAGAACCCTCTGACTTTGCGATGTTGTGGGAGGCAGCCGCATTTTCATGGCTGCATCTATGATGCTTCGCCAATTGCAGTCCCTTGCAATGCATCACATGGTTGGGATGCGTTGGGGTGTCTCCGGTGCGTTTGTTGGCGGCAGATCAACCAGATTCAGGAAACGGAGGCTACAACATGAGGTACACGAAGGGAAACGGGAAAAACGCTACACCACAAGCGTTCTCACGTTGTCACGCCTGCAGGTGCTAAAGAATCAGGGCTCTCGGGTTCCTCATCTTAGCCCGAGTCCCTAAGCCGAAACGAACATGCATTCGAGCAAACCTTGTTCCGCTCTTCTCGAGGTTCGGTGAGTTGGACATGGAGCTCCATTCTCAGTACGATCCGGAACCTCGGCTTGACTCAGGAAGCTCGAATGACACCAGCGCCGCGTTTAAACGTGCAGAAGTGTGCAGGATGGTTCGGAAACCTTCTTGGATGTTCAGAAGCGAATTGCCGCCAAGTATCAGTGCCTTAGTTGCCTTGGACTTGTGACGTTCATGACTTGGCTACCACAATGCTACCACAATGCTCCAAGCTGAAGGATCTTGCCACCATTGGAGGAAGATCGCTTCCTGTGCCCAGCCCTGAGAGAAGCCGTTGGCCTCTTGCCGGGCCGACTGTGAAGCTACGCATGAAGGGGAGGGATATCCGCCACAAGACAGGCAGTGCCACGGAGGTGTTTTCGCTCAATTGGTGCCATTTGCAAAAGACACCCCTGGAAACTCTAGCTCGAGCATACTCATTTTACAAGTGGTTCAATTCAGTTCCCTTGAACATGCCGCCCAGGGTGGCGGATCCTTGGCATGTTTCCATAATCGCAGGACATTGGTTAACCGCAACGGCTTGAGCACATCACCCATGTAAAGTGCCTCCAACTTTCATGCCCTGCCCTGGAGAATAGATTTTTCCCAGACGGTTGCAGTGGAGCCTTGTGCGGAGTTTTGTCGTGGCTATCACTTGGTTTTTTTGATTGCTCAATAGCTCATCACGAGTCAAGAGTTTCTCGTCACCCCCGCCCCTCCCCCTGGAATCAAGTTCCCTCCAGTTCCTTGGGTTGTGATGAGGCTCCTTTAGCCACATCTTTGCTGGTGGCTATGCTGCCGGATACTACTCCTACAAGTGGGCGGAGGTGGGAAAATTGCAAGATCACTGTCGCCGCGATCACCCAGCTTGAGCACATGACGATATGTCCAGGTCCTGTCTGCAGACGCCTTCGCTGCCTTTGAGGAGGCAGCTGACTGGTGTGATAAGCTGCAACAGGCCCTCACAAGTCCTTGCAAGACCTCACAAGACAGTTTAGGGTTTAGGGTTTAGGGCTGTAGGGTGCAGGGTTTAGGGTTTAGGGCCAGTTTAGAGTGTCTTTCTCGCGGCAGGCTGGGCTTGAGGACGAGGCCCTGCCCTGTTTTTTTGCTTCAGAGCTCGCTTTTGTGTAAAGCGTTTTGTGGTCATTCTTCTAGAGGACAGCTAAGCTGCAGCCGACCGAAGTAAGCTGGTCCAGGATTCCCTGCGCTCAGTGGGCCGCCGCTTTCGAGAGACGGTGCCTGGGAGCAAATTCAGAGCAAGCCACGGACTCGTAGTTCGGACTGGCGTGGAGCCTTCCTCACGGCCTTTCAAAAGTGCTGTCGCTGCACGCTTCGGTCGGTTTACCGGAAGTTGTATTCCTGCCCGTTCTGGGTCGATGTGCTTGACGAGCCCGCCGGCCCAGAAGGTGACCGGTTTCGCTATGTTTCGCCTTCTCGAGGCTAAGTCAAGCTTCGACAGATCATACAGGCTTCAACCTGAAACGCACAGCCCAGCAAACTTTTGCGCCAAAGAGTTCAGAGTCCGTTTGGTGAAGTAAACGGTGCAGCTTTACACATCCTCGCCGCAGCGAGAAGGAAGTGTGATCGGGGAACAATATATGCATGCAGTTTCCTAAGGGTAAACTCCATGCGGACGCAAGTTATCACATCCACACTGGTAGACCTCCAGGTGCTCGGCTGCGGCGGCGGGAGGCACCCCAGCAAGGCCCAGTCTGCTCTTACTAGGGTTTTGCCAGAGACTTTGACACCTTTAGCACTGTGAGTTGCTCTGGCCCTTGTCTGCCATGACACCTTTTCCCTCTTAAAATCTTCGTGCCAGCATGTGCCAGCAGTATCCAGCGGTGCAGTGTACCCATGGCTCCTAGAGGGGTCTTAGAGAGCAGAGTACGCTTGTAGCCGTTTGAGTAGCCTTCAATCGGGGTTGCTCATAGCTCACGCATCAAACTAGCTGGCAAAGCTGATACTATCCACACGGAGATCTGAACTGGTCCAGCGTTCATGGCCCAATGTCATGTCGGATACAGAGGAGACTTGGCGAAGGGAATATGGGCCCTGAATTGTCCACGACGTGCATCTTCAAACTGCACGTAGCTGCTGTGGCAGGCGGAAGCTATTGCATGTTTTTGTGTTCCCTCCAAGGATAGCACATTGTACAGACCACGGCCAGCGGAGAAGGAAGCCGGCTTGGCAGCATGAGCATGTGGTCACCAGAACAGTTGAACATGCATGACTCAGTGAACCTGTGACATCCGGTGACACGGCCCGTCGTCATTTGGATTGCTTGTGTCCTGTTAATGCTCTTTCGCTGAGTTGCTAAGGATGAAGTGACGCAGATTTGTGTGCATGCGCCGGCCTCAGTGGTTGAAGTTATTGTAAACGCTTGTGCGCCCCGCCTCGGCAGTCGGGCCGGCCCAGGGCAGGAAAGGAGGAAAGACCCCGAAAGGGTTCGGGGGTCCTAGAAAGGTCCCACAGGGTTCACCAGCGGGGCTCCCAAATTCGTCCATTTTGGAGCCGAGGGGTGGCGTCACAAAATTTGGCATGGATGAAAGGGTTGTGTTAGGGGGAAGGAGACCCGGATCCGGGTCTGCTTGTTTCAAACGCCGCTCGGCAGGAAGCCGAGGCGAATTGTACTGAGGCCGCGTGCCCTGGTTGCCAAACGATCCCAACACTGTCATGCTAAGGCCTATGGTCGTCTGGAGGAGATTGCTGTGAAGCCGCTGACCTTACCGGCTCTTAGGCGAGAAGCCCGACGCATGGCTTGCGTCAGCTGCCAACCACGTGTTGCACAAGTGTCGCAAAGCTGCCAGCTGCGTGCGATGAGATCAGCGGTGCTTACAGATTGTCGAGCAAAGGACGTGCCTTTGACCTGCCAAATGCCGATATGCTGATCAAAGGCCCGCTGAGCAGAAGCTCTGCACGCACAGAGTGACACCATCTGATGCCAGGCCCCGACGGGCAATTCCCAGACTCGGCGGACGCCTTGCGGAACCTTGAGTCAGCTTCAGGGCAGCAGTTTGTGCAAACTGGCACGTTCGTTGCCGGAGGCATACCCAGGATTGTGGCTCCGGCTTTGACTTGGGAGCCTGCTCCAGATGAGGTTTACTTGGAGCTGCCTGATGGTGGACTGCACGACCTCGAGCAAAGAATCGATCAGCTGCAGCACATGCAGGTGCCTTCCTGTCATTCTCGGCGTCAAGGCGCCCAGACATCCTGCTTTCTAGCAATCGGCCAGAGTTGCCAGGTCAGCTACATGAGTGAACGTCTCGGGACGTTGACAGAGGATCTCGCCACGGCACAAGCTTCAATTGCAGGCAGGCTCCCCGTGGGATGAGGTTTGGGTAGTGTCCAGTGTTGCATTTCTGCTGCTGTGCGAAGAGGCACACGCCTCTCCTCCAGCAACATGCCTTCAAAACCCTGAGTATGAGCAGCTAAAAGCGTGCCCATGCCTATGTCGGGAGTACAGACGGACCTGCGTCCTGCTCTTCAGGTTTGACTGATGCTCTGATCGAAGAGCAAGCTTTTCGACAAGAGTTCGAGCAGGCAGTGCGAGGTGAGATCAAGCACGCACCTTGTATGCAAATTGCAAGAGCCAAAACGCCTCACTGAGCTAGGGCGGTGCACGTCGGTGCATGGCGGTGCACGTCGAACCCAGGAGAGCAACGGCCTGGGCGCACAGGTCAAAAAATGGCTGGAGCACCTGGAAACGAAGCTCTGCAACCACTTCGAAGATGCCTTGCACTCCCTTGAGTCGCGCGTGGTGCAGGATTTCCAGGCCAGTCCCCGGGGCAGTTCGCAGCACAAATAAAACAGTGTCGTGGGACGAAGGACCTGTGGCAATGGACCAGCGAGGAGTGTCGCAAATCCGCCGACGGTCAGAAAAGTCTTCAAGAGAAGGCAGCCGTGGCTTCACATGTGGCTTCACATGTGGCTTCACATGTGGCTTCACATGTGGCTTCACATGTGGCTTCACATGTTTTCGAATCCTTGAGGTCCTAAGTGAAGCCGAGATGTATCATGAAGTCAATTTTTGATGCTTACGTGGCAGGTGTTAGCCGTCAAGACAGAGGCCCAGCTTCCATGCCTCGGGGGGTGAAGTTTGAAGTTTTGAGAGTTCTGCGCTTCTCGGTCTGATTGGGGATTCACACAGGCTCGGTCCGTAGTTACTCGAAGTATTTAGTGCAGTCCCACAGAGGTCCAGGGTCGCAGGGGTCCCATAAAACTCCTGGAACCCTACGGCGTGGGTTTGGGCAGGTCCCACAGGGCCGGTAAAGGGGGGGGGGTGTACAGAAAGTATCAACTGGAGCTGAACCAAAGTACCCTTGGCGAGTTCTTGTTTCATCTTAAACTGACACTGACATTATCTCCTCGCTGCGTTTCCCACCCCGCAGAGTGGAGTACACACCGCCTACACCCCAGGTGATCTCTTTGGTGCTCTTGCCGTGGCCACCCCAACCGTAAGGACGATGATCTTTGCAGACCCTCAACCATGTTTGGAGTTCTCACCCCACCCAAGCATGATCTACAAGTTGCGCACCCCACATGATCCCTTGCTCATTTCTGCAAAGCCCGATCCCACATGTGTCCGGAAAGTCCTAGCATTCCCGAGATGATCTCGCTCCCGCATCAGTCATGCAGTTCCACCCGAACGATCTTCCACATCTCATCCTGTACGCTCAGATGGTCCGGTTTATGAGTTCTAAGTTGTGGACGTCTGGTCTCTGGGTCTTTGGATTTGCTAATTTATGCACAGATATATACACATACACACAGATTTTGATTCTTTTGTGTGCTTGTTCCTTCCTTTGTTGGCAGGTAGGTAGGCAGGTAAGTAGGAAGGTGAGTAGCTGGGTATGTGGGTCTGCTTGTTTGACATTGCTCGTGGAGGCACCAGTGTGCTCAAAGCTTTCAGCACGCATCGATGACCTCTGTGACTCCTTGGTGAAAGAGGCCAGCAGCATTGGCAAGGCGTGTGCCACATGGCTAACCTGCACTTATTCTGAACCAGCCCAGGTTCAGGATAGAACTGCTGAATCCCAGCATCTACGTGCAGAGCGGCTTGGGCGAGCAATGCATCAACGCAGGTCGTAGGCGTTTAAGCTCTAGATATTTGTTTCGGCCAATCGATTACACAAGTCCGAGACTAGGCCGACTAGGCCTTGACTTGAACATGGGCAGGACAAGCCGGTACCAGTAGTCTGGGCGCAGTTGGCTGGTCAACCGGTGTTGTCATACCCTCAGTTCAGGACTCTCCAGCGCTTGCTGTTGCCCTGCCTAGGTTGTTGAAGCGCGACGAACGCACAGAGTCCCTCCGCGACTTTGGAGAGGAGCTGCATGCAGCCATGGCGGCGCTGCTGCTCAGCAAGCATAGCGTTGTCTCGTTGAGCTCTAAATCCGCCACTTTGCTTGAGATTACTAGGGAGTATCCAAGGCAGCGAGGGCAGCTGAAGCAGGAGCCTGGTTGAAGGGGCCCAAAAGATGATGGCAAGCATGTTGCGCTGCTGCAACACTTGCAAGACGGTATGATCAGAGCTTTCTGGGTGTCTAGAGCTCTCTGGGCGATGCAGAGGGAGGGCACGTGAGAAGCAATCATGAGCCACATCCAAGGCCACACATTTACAGTTGACCTTTCGTGGGACTTTTCGTTCCTTGGAGGAGTGCCCGGATGCCGGGGCCTTCACTGCCTTGAAGCAAGCCTGTGAGGAGCTGTGGGGCACCCGTTCGCAAAAGTGAGCATTGTGGCGGTTTCGAATTTTCTGGGGGGTTGTTCAAGCACATTCCCTGGCCTTGTTGAGGCGACATCTCGCAGAAGAGTCGGCAGCCGATTTGGAGCAGAAGTTCGGTGATCCGTCCGAAGCTGGTGCAGAGGTTGAAGTGCCAGTTCTCCCTCACGAAGTATTCGAGCACTCAGCGTATGTATGCCATCACGCTACACATGCTACCAGCAGTATAAACCCCGAAGCTTGGATCCGAAGAAGCAATGAATCCCCGCCCTACTGTAGTGTCAAAATCCCAGCGGGTACTCCAAACTTGAAGTTCGACATGCTTCGGGCCGTGGCTCCACGAATGGGCCTTGTCTTCCCGGCACTTGTCATGTCAGCACACCGTCACCACGCTGCTCGCTGATGCTAAGGTGACATGTCACGCCGATTGGAGGCCGCTGAGAGCCTGACACATGGTTCCGCTGCCGGGGCAGTGCTCAGGGTTCTAGATGCATCGACATCGGTCAGCACCGTGTCGGAAATGCACACTGAATGATGTGAAAGTCTCAAGGTGTCGTCAACTCAGCGCAACTATGCAAAACTCTTCGTAGCTTTGTGGTGCAGGTGGCCAGCACTGACTTGCGGCAGGGCCTGGTGCAGGAAGCAGCCTCGAGGAGAAGAGACGGTGAGAGTCATGCAAGGAAGACAAAGAACCCACGGGCCCATGGATGCCCATGGCTTGTATTGGGCTTTTTTTCGCCTTTAGGACCGAGGGCGAGGCCTTCGTCGATCAACGCCTGGCAGGCTTTGAGGATGGGATGCGGCTGTGTGTTTCGCTTTGTTGCCGTGTTTTTACACTGTGCCGAGCTGAGCGAGATCAGACCCTGCGCCTCAGCAGTTTGTTGGCACGAGGCCGCTCTACGTGGCGAGGTGCAATGCCGAACCGATGCACTGCGGCGTCTTGAGGAGCAGCAAGAGAGTCCTTTTAATCGAGATACTGTCATTAGAGACTCGTAGGAGGCAAGTGTGGTCTTCCAAGTTTACGTCCTGGTGGGACAAGTACCAATAAACATCCACTAAGGATCATCAACACATCAAATCCAGGAAGGAGGTTGGAGACAGGAAGCAGGAAAGGAGGTAACTTTTTCACTTGCATTCTTAAAGCTGTGCAAGCCGGCCAGCCTTAATCCGCGCAAGCTTACTGCTAAGCAAAAAGTATTATGCTTGCAGTGGTTGCCTCTTTTTCGTTCCCCCCAGCCGGGCGTCAGAGCGCCGAGCATGCCGATTTCATCAGCATTTACAGTGTTCAAGAATGCGAGTTGCGATTGTCCGGATGCATCGTTTCACTCGGTGTTTGCAGTGTTCTGGATAGATGACATGCCGAAACCAGCGTTATTTACGGTGTTTCCTTGCGCAAAGCATCCATGCCAGCACGACGATTCCATGCTACCAGTAGCTGACACCCAAAACTATCGATTGTTCTCCAGCTTTTCTCCTCCACCACTACTACCAGCACTATCGTACAAGTATTGTTGGCAGCACGCAGCTTCTCCACCCTACTCCTCTTGCCTTTTGAACTTAAAAACAGCAACGACTGAGATGGTTCTGTGTAAAAAGAAATGAATCAGATGACAGCCGTGTTAAGTATCATATTTTGTTATCCTTCGTTGATTGTCCGTGGGTTTTGGTTTTTCCCCAAACAGTAGATTGTTGGGGTCCTAAAGAAGTAATTCGCGACGAGAATGCCGGCTTGCGGTAGCTTGTGTCTCCACTTGTGTCCCTTTGTCTTCATGCTGTATGGGTTTGCCGGAATGCCTGTGGCGACCCACAGGATCCCGCGGAGTATGCCGGGCAGTGCGGGCAGAAATGCATTGAAACCCCGGCGATAGCGTGCATACCCCGAGAGAAGTCTGCAGACAATCCTGCGCAGAGCGATAAAACACGCATGAACACGCCCGAAGCAAGTAAGAACCGCGACATTGTGTTACGAGACTTGTGTGGCTGGGTGTCTTTCATTGCTAGATTTCTAGATCGCACTTTTTGCACCAAAACAAGCGCCACTTTGCAACGGCTAGCTTGCCTGTCAGGGTTTTATAGGGATAGGGGTCCAGAAAAGGATCAAAAACAAAATTACAAGGGATCAATTAAACCCTAAACCCAAAACCCTAAGCCCTAAACCCTAAACCCTAAACCCCTAAACCCCTAAACCCGAAACCCGAAACCCTAAACCCTAAACCCTAAACACTAAACCTTAAACCTTAAACCTGAACCCTAAACCCTAAACCCTAAGCCCTGAACCCTGAACCCTGACCCTAAAAACCCTAAACCCTAAACCCTCGGTTGTTTAGTCTTGTTGATCCTTTGTTTTTTTGATCCGGCAGCCGGTTTTATATCCGGAGCCACAGGAACAGACCTGCCGCCTTTTAACCTCACCTTGCTCACTGGTGTGATTAAGCATCAAAGTCCTTTCTTTGGTTTTCTTGATACCTCACCCCTTCCTTGTCGGATGCGTGAAGGATCACGTTCAAGCAGCTGCACTGGCCATGGAAGCCACTTGTCATGCAAGCACGCAAGCATCGCCTGAGGGCCTGAAGCGCACAGAGAAGTCAGGCTCGTGGTGCTCGGCCCGCGGAAAGCGCGGAGACGAAGGACCTCACCGATGTGCGTTATGTGCGGCTTCTAGCTGTGGATTACCATGATTTACTATTCAAGTGTGCATGATGTACAAGCCACGCAACCCGTCGAAGCTAGCCTTTCGTCTCTAGTAGTATGCTAGTGGTGGGGATCCGGCAGCAACTCCGTTAAAAGGAGATGGTCACTCCCACCCCCTCCTCTAGTCACTTGTGAACCTTCCATGTCTTACTCTTTCTGAAGTGGAAACCATGTCTGTGTTTCCTTGATTTTCTTGCTTGTGACTGTGTTACATCCATTTCTTAGGGCTGTTTCGGCTCTTGTTCTTACTTGTGTGACTGTTTTCTGTGCTGCTTTTGCAGCTGTTTCAAATTGGTCGCGTTGAGGAAGGCCTTCAGGGTTCAGTTGGTTTTTAGGGTTTGGGCTTTTCGGCTTAAGGGTATAGGGCTTTGACTTTTGGGTAGGGTTAGGTGTTACGCTTTTAGGGTTTAGGGGCTTGCGCAAGGAGTTCGGGGGGCAACAACAAAGGCGTGTTAAGCTGAGGGGCTCTTGCCGACCAGTCCGGCGCACAAAACAGAAGAAGAGACTTTGGCTCAGCACACCAACGAAGCACACACTAAACACGGGGGCCCAGCGTACAGATCAGTAAGTTTCTTGATGTCCGAGCTTTAGGGAGTTGGCCCCCCCCCCCCCCTTCCCACCCCTTTCCCCCCCCTTCCGAGATGTGCTCATGAGCTCGCAAATGTACGGCAGCCGTTGGTTGTGGATGGTTCTCTGAGGGGGGGGGGTCCAAGCCACTAACTGGTGTGCTTTTTGTTGGTGTGAGCCAAAGTTTCTTCTTTCGTTAGTAAGCACCCCTTAGCTTAGCACCCCTTTTTTGTTGCCCCCCCCAAGCTTCGTCGGGTTTGGGATTTTCGGTGTCAGTGTCTCTCTGTCACTGTCTGTCTGTGTCTGTCTCTGTCTCTGTGTGTGTGTGGGTGGGTGTGGGTGTATGGGTGCGTGTGGGTTCGTGTGGGTTCGTGTGGGCGCGTGCGTGCGCGCGTGCGTGCGCGCGTGCGTGCGTGCGTGCGTGCGTGCGTGCGCGTGCGCGGCGTGCGCGTGCGCGTTTGCGAGCCGTGCGCGTGCGCGGTCGCTGCGTGCGTGCGCGTGCGTGTGCGTGCGCGTGCGGCGCGTGCGCGTGCGCGTGAGTGCGCGTGCGCGTGCGCGTGCGTGCGCGTGCGTGTGCGTGCGTGTGCGTGCGTGTGCGTGCGTGTGCGTGCTTCGTCGGGCTTAAAGGTTTTAGGAAGCAGGGTTTGTGGTTTTGAGGGTTGGCTCTTGAAGCGCCTGAGCCTGAAAAGCCCCGAACCCCAAACACCCTATTCAAACCTGAATCCAAGAACCCTCAACAAACAAACCATCTTGGGGTTGATTTTTTGATTTGATGGGTTTTGGGTTCAGGTTTGAACAGGGTTTTTGAAAAAGCTGCTCAAAACCCTAAACCCAACCGGAAAACACCCAACAAAAACCATCGTGACAGCCCCAAATCCCAACAATCCTAAACCCGAAGCCACATACACTGAACACGATAAGTGCTCTTAACCCTGTCCGCACATAATGAGTCCTCAACCGTCACACGCTTAAAGCCACAAAGCCCGAAACCCTGAAAGCCCATGAGCAACCCAAAAAGAAAGCTTAATGACCCTAGAAACTGTCCTAAAACCCTGAACCCAACTCATACAAAGCCTTGAAAACTCTAAGTTCTGATTGCTGTCACGCAAACACGGTTCATCCTCAGTTTAAAATACAACCGAATTTTGCGACCGACCTTTTGCAGGGGATTTGGGGGGGCCAAGACGTCGTTTCCACTCCCCCTCCAACCCCCCCAAAGGCCACGCCTGACAAAGGGTATGCGTTTCGGCTGGGGAGCTAGGAATCCCTATCTCGAGCCCTCACAAGAAAGAATAAGTACGGTCACGAGGAAGAAAGTTCCAGTGCCGACGGAGTATGCAAGTATGCTACCAGGGCCATTCCCAGTCTTAGACGCTTCCTGCTAAACACTCACATCTTCATCTTTGTTGATATCAGCACACCCGCCTTTCGCTCAAGTCGAGGTAACATTCTATTGCAGACATGGCGGGTGATGCTTAGCAAGGCTGCTATGACTTTTCGATGGCAGGGTGTGGCCTTCATATACAAACACTGCAGAACATCATTGTCGAATCATTGTAATCTAAGTGGCCATGGAAAACTTGCTTTCGGCACACAAAAGGGCATCTGCTGGTGTGGTGTGCGGGTTGGTACATGCTAGGAGCCGCAGTTGGAGCAGCTGGTTGAGGAGTCGAGAAGGTGTCTCGCCGATTTGTGAGAAAGTGTATCGACAGAGCGAGAGAGAGGGGAGGGAGAGGGAGGGAGAGGGAGGGAGAGGGAGGGAGAGGCAGGGGAGAGGAGGGAGAGGAGGGAGGGAGAGGGAGGAGAGGGAGGGAGAGGGAGGGAGGAGGGAGGGAGAGGGAGGGAGAGGGAGGGAGAGGGAGGGAGGGAGAGGGAGGGAGAGGGAGGGACTCCAAGCTGAACAAGAGAGCTTTAATGATTTTTTCTGCAGTTGGGCGAAATCTGCACAAGGGATTTGGATTGGGCGAGGGGTGGGCACAAACGAAGATTCCGTAGCATCGCATGTGCGACTGCGCCAGTAACACTCAGCAGGTCGCATGTTCCAGCTGGTGCCACTTGCAGAATGGGGTTGCCCGTAGAAAGAAACACAAAAAGACAGAGTGATGTGAGAGCATGTAGAACATGTTTTCATCATGGCGAGACACGGAGGTAGACACATCCTTTAAAGCGAAGGAGATGTTTGTGTCTTCTCGTAGTTCGCAAATGCGGTCGCACGATTTTTCAGGGCGGCCGACGCCGTGGCGGCGGAGACTCGGCGGCGCGAGGAAGCACTCCAGCAGCTTCGCGAGGCGAGCAGCTCGAGAAATCTGCGTGTTCCTAAAGTCAGAGCTGCAGCGCACAGTGAAGTCAACTATGGAACGCTGCGTCCATGCGTATGTTCCGATCTTTCCGGCAGCAAGCTCGAACTTCCTCTCCTCGTCCTTCTCCTCCTCCTCCTCCTCCTCCTCCCGAGGACTGCCGCGAGTCCATCCAGCGTGAAGTGCGGTCTCGGCTCCAGGAGCTTAACGTGGGTTTGCTGATATGACCGACACCGCACGTAAGTTCTGAGAGGCTTAGGGAAGCTTTCGGTTTGAGGATCGGAGGCGAACAGAGGTATGGAAGTGGCTCGTCAAGGTGGGGTCCGAAACCTAGTACCCAGTAAAACCGACCGGATTGGCACAGTAGTGAAAGGCATCCGCAATGGACGCTCAAAATTGTGAGCCTTGCTAAGCAGTGGTCACCTGCCACTGTGATTTGCATAATAAGCGATGCAGCAGTAGAAAAGCGGGAGGAGGGGGAGAGCTGCATCGCTGCTAGCGTTGTGTTCGGCCCCTCGTGGGGTTCGGCTCTGCAGCCGGAAGAAAGGAAGGGGCGTGTCCAATCAAAAGCCCTACCATCACGCCTCTGACGCCTGAGAGGACCATGCCAAGTTGCGACAGGAGTTGGAGATGGAGAGGAAGACTCGCAAGGACTTTGTATGGACAATGTGGCCATGGCAGCAGTTTGCCGCAGCATGTTGTCATGTGTCAGGAAGCTTTCGGCATGATCCAGAAGGCCATGAGCCACTGCGGCACTGCCTAAGATGTCGTCGAGCAGCGTGTGCCCAAAGACTGGCTATGACTGGCTTCCGTTGCTGGCAGCTTCTTCTCATCAAGAGCTTGTTGAGAATGCCATGATGCAGAATTATCCGCATGGCATGGTGTCGTTGCCAGCCCAAAGCGGCTGACATCGACACGCATGACACTGGCCGTAGTCGCTTGACAGCTCCGGTGCTCGGAGCTGGGTGAAGATCAAAAGGCTCCACAGACACGGCAACAGGAGTTCAGTTGTGTAGCCCTCAAGTTCATGCTTCAGGAGAGAGTATCCACCTACAGATGTGGCATGCAGCTGCAGTAAGCAGGGTATCGCTGTATCACATGGAACCTAATGTGCGATCGTCAAATGGGTGCGGCTCAAAAGTCTAGGTATGTAACTGACTCCCGGGCGTCTTTCCGCGACAAAGGGTTTGTAACAAAGCCGTTCTGCTTGCGACAAGCAGTCCGCGACAAACCTCCGCGACAAGCCTCCGCGACAAGCCCTTGCGACAAGCTCCTTCTTGGAACTGCATGGGTTTCGTATCTCTTTTCAAGACAGCGTGAAACAGCCGCGACAAACCCCGCGACATACGTATGAAACAAGTGGGCGCGACATACGCATGTAACATAGGCGGGTGGCGGGACACCGCGACATACCCCTTTTTAGAGCCACAGCCAAATGGCAGGTCTACCGTGATTTCCGCGGCAAGGACCCGTGAGTTGATGTGGAGCGGTGGCGATTCCCGTCTTGTAGCCATGTGTTCACACATGGCGACCGAAGGATGCGACCGTCGATGCACTGTTGCGCAGGGAGCCCCTGAGGGTGCCCAATGCAATCCAATGCATCTTGAGAGACAGCAAGCTCGAAATCTTTGCCTTTTGAGCGGGATGCAATCAAGTTCGTCGGGTATTCACAGGCAAGGTTGTTCTCCGAGTTCTTGCAGGAACAGACAAGCAAGTTGCGACTACCACCCACTGGCCAGTTGATGTCTTTGCACATATGGAAGCTGCTGAGGACACAACGGTCTGCTATGATGAGCTTGTGAGATGATTCTTAGGCTTAGGCTAAGACGTTCGTGCCCAATCTGTTCAGCAGTTGGGTCTTCTCAGTGAGCTACCCGCTGCACTGGTGGTTTGACTCTTGTCGAAGGGAGGCTCTCCCGACATCTTCCTGCCTCCTGTGCGGCTGTGCGGCAATCAGTTTTCATGGATGTGACCGTCCTCAGTTTTCAGCGCGCCGTGTGCCGAACAAAAACATCGACAGGGAGAAGGTAAGGTTTCTTAGGCGGCCCATGGAAAACCTGGATATGGGAGCTCTCCGTGTATTTGGTTTGCAGCTCTGTGCTGTGGTGTCAAGATGTCAAGTGAGCTGTTGTAGAAATCTGGCTCAATGCAAGACAGCAGTGCACCCAGACCTGCCTACATCAAAACAATGTCCGCACGGGCATGAGAGGGACTGGAAGACCCAAAGCATCACGGACACAACAACAGGAGGGTCGACGCCAAGTTTCTGCCGTATTCTGCCGTGTTGCGGCAGTTGGGCCCAATGTAAGTCGCCACAGCCCTGGCGTGGCACAGGCGAAGGGTTCGAAGGTATGTTTACCTGCTCAGCGATGCGAGAACCTTGGGTTCTTGAGTGCGCAGGCCATGGGCTGCTTCGAGTCGCGAGCATCGGGGCCGGAGGAAGGGCTTGCATGTCTGCGGACCTGAGCTTTTTGTACAATTCGTACATGGCAGGCTGCCAGGGTGCCAGATGTTGGCAGAACAGCACCGAAGCCATCCGAGGCGCACTGAGCTTTGCTTGTGCTTGCTTGTACTTGCTCGGCATGGCTGGTGAGGGCGTCATGGATGACGACTTAGACTGGATCACTGGTGACAAATCTCCCGCTTGCGTCCCAGACAACCCCGCATAGGCTCGGGAGACCTGGCATGTCCAGCTGTCTGTTTACATCAAGGTGACGCCCGCTCGAGCACTGGCCGCGTCTGAAAGGAACGGGTCTAGCAGCGCATGCAGGGGCCGGTCTTGGATTCTGGTGTGAATCCGGCGATGGCTTGAATCGGACATGTATGCCAATGTATGCTCCTCCCGTGGCAGTCTTGGAGGAATGCAGGGTACTTGGCAGATTCACCCCTCGATGCCATGGACTCAACCAGCCCGCGGTGTTGAATGGCAGCATGCCTCGTGCCATCTTGGTCGTGAGCAAGTCTGGTGAGATCTGACAAAGTAGACAGTCGAAGCCCAAATTTCAAGTTTAAGATGTGGGTCCTGGCCTTATGAGGTCGTTGTCCAGATAGAGCTCGAAGGCGGTTGGCGAGATTGCTCGACGGAAGAGAGCTGTCCTTAGCTTGACCTATGAGCTCCATGCCCTGGCAACCTCATACATCTTTGTAACCTGAACAATTTGTCAGCAGATCAGAATGTCAAGGACGCGAGCGATCTGTCAACACTTGGCAAAGGGCGAGACGATGTTTCAGACCTTCCCTCAGTTTTTTCGTTCGGACGCGCACACTGGGTGAACTGATGCTCACTTTAAGGGTCAGGGAGGCATTCTCAGGATACATGCCCGCGGCCAGAACTACACTGTCGACTTTTCGCGACCTGCTCTCGGAGTGGCTTTTGAAGCCACGACTCTATACGACTCTCTAAAGCTGGCTGCTCTTGACGAAGGTCCCGACGAAGGCGGTGTGCAAGTAAACGTCAGCACCGGAAAGATGCTTCTTGCCTCAACTAAGAGAAGTGTGTTGTCTTGCTGTGCTTGCTGACATGTCCTCACGGCTTTCTGCTCACCGAACCAGCTGCTAGCCCATGTCACGGTGCGCACGAGGCGCAAGCTGCGAATACTGGACAAGGGGGAGGATGAGCCGGTTGCCGAGGCAACGGCCTTGAGCTCTAAGCTGCTAAGGAACCATGCTGGGATCAATTGGGAGCCCACGAGTGGCTCATGTGACGCAGTGCTGTTTAGGAGGACGTCCCCGGTTCGGCAGATGCTCCCTTGGATCCTCCGGCGGGCGTCCCCAGCCTCAGCTCAGCCCAGTCAGGGGCTAGTTACTTCCGTCCATGAGGCGTAAAGCTGTATGATGGAACATGACAAGAGTGACAAGAGGCCGCGACATCCCCAGAAGTTTCCTTGCAGCGGTCGCATGGAGCCTAGACGCGTGCATCTGCGATCATGTGCCGTGGAAGGGGATGCAATCGCAAGAAGCAGAAGCTGACTCGTGCTCTGGGGTCAGGTACGGACCCCAAAGCAAGCGACGGGGCCTTACTGAGGGGGCTAATGCGCATCAGACGACATCAGGTAGCTTCGGAGAGGCGTGCGAAACTTTGGAGGGCTTGCCTATCAAAGGTGGCGGTGCCTCCATGCACCCCTACAAGGTCCTGGAGGGGAACGAGCACGCCAAGGAGCGTCCTTGAAGCGACAGTTGCTGCGCAACTTTGAAAGTAGAAAGTGCAGCATCTCTCTCTCTCTCTCTCTCTCCCTCTCTGATTCTCTGATTCTCTGATTCTCTGATTCTCTGATTCTCTGATTCTCTGATTCTCTGGTTCTCTGATTCTCTGATTCTCTGATTCTCTGATCCTCTGCTTCTCCGATTCTCTGCTTCTCCGATTCTCTGCTTCTCTGATTATCTGACTCTCTCTCTCTCTCCCTCTCTCGCTCCATGTTGTCTCCTTCAATCTCGCTTTCTCTGTGTCTGTCTCCCTGTGTCTATTGTAAGTTCATCGTTACTTTGTTTTTGTGTTTTTTGCTCTCTCTCTCTCTCTCGCTTTTGCGCTCTCTCTCCCTCTCTCGCCCTCTCGCTCTCTCGCCCTCTCGCTCTCGCGCTCTCTTGCTCTCTCGCTCTCTCGCTCTCTCGCTCTCTCGCTCTCTCGCTCTCTCTCTCTCTCTCTCTCCTCCCTCCCTCTCTCTCTCTCTCTCTCTCTCTCTCTCTCTCTCTCTGTCTCTCCCCCCCCTCCCTCCCTCCCTCCCTGCCTCCCTCCCTCCCCCCCTCTCTCTCTCTCTCTCCCTCTCTCCCTCTCTCTTGCTTGGAACACCCGGTGAATGCTGCCAGAAATGCTTCGCCCAGTTCGATGCCAACGAGGCAAGGTTGTGTGGCGAATGGGCAGTGTTCTACCATTCGTGCGCCGCCCCCGCCTCGCCACACCAGTTTGCTTCAGCACGTCGCCTTGCCCAGTTGGACGCCTGATTAAAGGTATTCCTTTGCTGCCCTGATCTACGAAGTTCATGCGGCAGTCGGGAGCGTTCTTTTCCGCTTCCGATCTCAGCGGTAACCCCAGTGAAGAATCCAGCCGCACCCACGTCGTGCTTGGACACCTGTGATGGATATCTGAATCAAGGTATGCGACACTTCCGCGTATCTTGGTGTGGCACCCTCAGAATTTGCTGCTGGTGGGCTGGGCCGTGCCGGGCGACGGACTTTGAAATTGGAACCGCTCAGGCATGAATTCAAGGAAACGCCAGATGCTGCGACGTTGATGAAGAGGACGAGCACTCATGATTAGGAGGTAAAGGCTGCAAACCTTTTTTGAACTTCTCAGGTTTAACGACGAGTTTGCCTCCAATAAGCCGGGGCCTGAGCAGGAATTCAGCACACCAGGCAGATGCGTTGAATTGAGCCTCAGTAGGTTTCTGTACAGCGTGACAGGCGAGACCATCATCCGGATTTTCGTCGAGTTGGCTTGCAGCGGTCCTAACTGACCTTGGTTCGTGGCACCGCATTTTCTGTGTCGAAGGCACAAGGATACTTCAGTGGATGTTTGGATATGGGAGGTCTGTGATGTGCTCGCTGGCGTCCACAGGGCCAGAGGCATGTGTCCGGTTCTCATATCCAAGACCGTGGATTCCTTTCATCGGACTCCCCCATCTGCTCCATATCGCTTGCAGCATTATTGTATCCGTAAGGTTGCCATGGTATTCATCGCAGGTGCCCTGACCTGTTTCATCAATCAACCATGCCAGTTGTGTGGGCTCTTGGCTTGAGCCAGTCTCTTCAGCTCGTTTGTGCTCCTAGGCTACAGCTGCAAGGACCTGTCGTTTCGAGGTGTGCCTCGGCTTAACTACTCTTCTTTGAACTTCGGTCATTTACGAGCAGGCGGACTGCACGAAGCCGAGGTCCTGGAAAACTTGTTGGAGAGCTGCTACGTGCCCAAAGCAAAGGTCAGCTCCAAGCAACAGTCGCTTGGGGTTGAGGGGGCCCTGTCTAGCTGAGTCTAGCTGTCGGGGGAGCCAGGTTCGGAAGCTTGCCGACGAGATCATTGCCATGCGGTGCCCCGAGAGCGACACCAAATCACGCGCTTAGGCGTTTGCTGAGAAGGGATTGAAAGTTGGGGCGTCCCTTTCTCTAGCTTCCAGCACCTTCCAGCTGTGACCTCCAGCGGCTTCAGTCTTCTCAGTGGGGAGCCAGACCATCTCCGGATCTCCGACTCGCAGCGTGACGACCGAACGGCCATCTGTTCGCCATTTCATATCGGGAGCAAGCTGGTACCAGTGGATGAGATGCATGAAACGACAACAACCCGCATGAAGGGAGACAAAGGGAGACAAGCCTCCCGAAACCCCGGCCCACCCCACCCACACCTCCAAAAACATCCGATGAAATGGGCGTTGGATTCCAGGATGTGCATAATATTGCCTTATTTTCACAGGTTCGGTCCACCCGTCTCCTGGCATGCAAACCGTTCCGGTGTGGGCGGTGAATGGGTGGCATTTGCCGGAGTCTTCTGAAGCTTTGTCCGTCTTCCTTCATGTGGGGTTGGTGTGGGCGGTAAGGAGGTGGAGGCTGAACGAGGAGAACGTTCAATCATGCAGCCAGTGGGTTCAGTCCTCACGGGGTGCAGCTTCACTTCACGGGATAGGCCATTCAGGCTTACTCCACATGTTTCCAGAGGGCCACAAAGCCCCCATGCGCCCCATGTGGCCCCGTGCATAGCCCCCCCCACCCGTACTACCCACGGGGCCAAGGCGAACAAATCTTCATTTGTGCATACCGACAATGTGAGACACGTGGCCAGTGACGGTCTGTTCTCAACAACCGCACGCTGAAGGCTACTGAAACTTGCAGTGATTACAATCGTTCGCCTACCAAACGACGCGCATTGGTCCCCGAAGCAGCGCATCATACAAGGATGGGCCATCCCCGGTGGTTTGACCAACTTCATGCCCATCTTGTAAGACGAAAAGTTCAACAGGCCTTGAACGAAATAGACATCCTGGCCTCAGCCGCAGTGATGTTGGAGTCCACCGAGTAATCGTGCCAACGAATCTCTCACTTTCGGACGGTTCGATGGTTCCCAGTGAGTACCTACAGTGCAGGACCTGCGAGGCCCGACTCGCTACCCTGTGGGAGGGGTCCGGATTTCGGATCCCATGCACAGAAAATCCTCAGGTCATCAAAGGAAGGCACGTGGATGGCCGGTATGCTTGCCGCTTGCACGAGAGTTCGAAAAGTCGAAGGACGGCGCCAGAAACAACATCTCCCATGGGTGCTCCCTTGATCTTCGTTCCGAGAAAGCCCGGCAGATTCAGAATAGTTGGTAGTATGGAGCCCAGCGAGAATGGTGCCGATGTGGTGCAATCAACGAACCACAAAGACGAAGTCATGCTTGCCCCCCGGGCGGGCATGGCGCGACAGGGTTTGTAACAAAAACCGGTTCTTGCGACAAGCCTTGCGCGATGAGGCTTGCGACAAGTGGCGTTTTCTAGAATGCCACGCGACAAAGGTTTGATACATAGCTGGCGCGACAAGGGGCGCGACAAGGGTTTGTAACAAGGTGGGGGCCGCCCCTCCCGCGACAAGGGGGGTATTGGGCCAAGCCCGACAGTGTGCCAAAAAATGCAGGTGCATCCTGGCATGTAGTGGCAACAGTCCATCATGTGGGTTGGTGTGGGTGGTGAGGGGGTGGAGGCTTGCATCCCTTGCTCTTCATGTGACGTCTGAAAATGGGTTCGTGAACTCCCGAGCTTCTGTCCCTGTCCTGCGAGGTCGGAGAAGCATGGCTTGGATGTTTCGCAATTTGGTGGCAAGGCTCGAAGTCTGCTTGGGAAATGAGATGTCTTTGATGTCACTAAACCGGATGCGGATGCCATGCGAGGCCTGTCACAGTGGCAAGCCTGGTCACCTGATGCAGCTGTTCATCAAGCGTACCCCGGCAGCCTTTGGGTCTCTGCTGCGAGACCAGCCCAAGCCTGTTGCTGAACTTCTGAACTGCCCAGGTCACCTGGTAGACAAGCTTGTCTACGCAGCTTGCCTCGAAAACCTGTGCCAAGATTCTCCCTCTGCGGTTTAAAACATGTGCACAGGCCGCCAAACCGTATGGGCCGGTGGACGATGAGCGGAGACCTTGTTCAGTTGTGTGCGCGCTGAGCCGGGTCAAGCATCGCTAACTCAGGCGTATGCCAATTTCGAAGTGGCTGGACAACAACAACTCTACCCAAATCGGGCAGGTGCTCGAAGTATGTTCAGCAAGCGTTTGCAAGCCGAAGTCGCGATGGATTTCCGACTTAGTCTGAAGGCTCGGGTCCTCGCGCACCCGAAATACTTCATGCAGGTTCCGAATGTTTGCGCATGCCAGCATGAAGAGCCAAGAGCGATTCTCAATGAGCACCTTCCTTGAAGGCAAATTGCGTTAGAATGTTCGTGGCCAGCGCGGATCCCACGTTCCACAGGCACGGGTGTTTCCACGGGTCTTATCATTCTAAGCTTCTAGGCTAGCTGCTGCAAACTTAAGATTAAGATATATCAAGATGGTCTATCGCACTGCGGTGTGATGACAGGAACAGACAAGAATTCCAGAACGAGCTGATCCAGAAGCTCTGACCCTGACAGATTGTGGAATACTTTGGAGAGCTCGTCGTGCAAACTGGGGTGTCCAGTGCTGCATTGCAGAGGCTGAGCCTGATCTTGGGAGAGCCGTCCCTCAGGGAGCGTGCCGCGACAGGCAGACGGCTTGATTGCAGCGTTGGAGGAAGATACCATAAGATACCCTTCTGCGGCAGGCATCTATGGTGGCACGCTCTCAGCTTAGAACCTTTTGATGTTCATGGCATACGTGGTTCAAGCCGGCCATCTCCTGCACTGTTAGCGTGACCTGAGACTGCCATCGTGGTGGACTGCCGAAGATCAGAGGAAGCATGCCTGAGAGCCATTGCAGCAAGGTCTGTGAACGCTTCGCGGAAAGGGGGTTCCAACTGTTTAACGTTGATGAGTCGTTTCACAACGAAGAAGTCTAAGGAACGCTTCGTGAAGGAAGTGAATTTGTGGTCGACTTTTGTGGCCCACGGCTTCCGCTTCATGGGGGCAACGGCCATTTGCTGTCAGTTCGCCAACTGCACCCTCGCACAGGCAGAGTTCCTGAAGTTTCACTCCGGCTACGAAAACGCAGCGCGTTTGCAGTTGAATCAGTTTACGAATGAAAAAAGGCCTGCACTGAGCGCACGACGACTGTATCTTCGCCAACGGCATGTCTCTGAATGTCTCAGATATTATTCAGGCTTGGGACGGGTGTGCAAGGGGCTGCCTTCTGCCTGACCCCGACTATAAAAAAGCCGTCGTCGCTGCAGTGTCATTGCTGTGCTGTTGCAGAAGTGGAGCATAGTGGGCTGTGTGGAAGTGTTGACTGCTCCTGTCTTCTCAAGGCTGTGTAGAATTGTAGAAGAAAGGGGGTGCCCATTTTTCGCGATTGTTTTTGCGAATCTTTTCCTTTTTTGAGGGGGGTTGGGCAACGTCTATCTTCTAATTGTTGACATGTTTTTACTAGGAACACCTCTCTACTTTCTCGAAACCGGTAAATTTTTCTCTATCTTGGGAGGAAGACCACTGAAAAAGAGAGGGGCCTGTGGCCGGGGAGGATCAAGGAAGAAGAGGACGGAAGAACGGAAGGAAGGAAGGAGGAAGAGGACGGAATAAAGGAAGGAAAGGAGGGAAGGGAAGGGAAGGGAAGGGAAGGCAAGGCAAGGCAAGGAAAGGAAAGGGGGGGGAAGGAAAGGAAATGAAAGGAAGGAAGGAAGGAAGGAAGGAATGGAAGGAAGGGAAGGAAGGGAAGGAAGGAAGGGAAAGAAGGAAGAAGGAAGGAATGAAGGAAGGAAAGAAGGAAGGAAAGAAATAATCAATAAATGAAGAGAGAAAAGGAAGGAATACTGCCACGTTTTTTAAACTTGCCTTGGAAGCATAGGAATCCTTTCCAAACCCTTCCTGCGAGCATTGGGGGGGGGGGGGGGGGGGGGGGGGGGGGGGGGGGACTGCGCCCCCTCAACTCCCTCGCATTAAAACACTTCGAAGGGTGCCTGAACAAGCATGAGAATCCTCCAAACCCGTCCTGCATGCTAGCATTGTGTTGCACCAAACCCTTCTTGCCTTTTTCATCCTTAGCAGTCATGCGGGCATTGTGTTTGCAAATGGGGGGCCAATCCCCCCCTTTTTTTCTAAAGAAACTTGACCGTCGTACGAGATTGTGTGTGTGTGCACAATGGGGGTGGTTGCCCTCCCCCCCCAGCTCCCCCGCTCTCTTAAACACTTGCAATTCTTGCCAAGAAGAACCTGATGAACCGTTTCCAAGCCCATCATGAGAGCATTATGTTAGTAAGTAGACATCTTGTTAAGTAAGAAGTAGACAGCCTGTTAACAATTCCGAATAATGCTCTTAAGTTAATCAGAGTTCGACTATCACTAATACGGTGTCTGAAATCTAAAAAGCATCCTATGAAAATCTTTATAATTAGGGAGCATCCTATGAATTAAAGGTGTCGATTATGAGTACTAGGGGTCTTTGCAAATTCAATCAGAATCCTATGCAAATTCACAGGAATCCTATGGAACGCAGCCGTGCGCGCGCACACACACCGAGGGAGCCCAGTGAGCTTTTTCGCAGGACGATAAAGGCACTGACGGTCTGGCATGATCTTCTGTTTCGGTAAGCGCATTCGAAAGACATGTGCACATGCACCTGCAGAGCCTCCACGGTTTCGGCATTGTAGAAAGTTTGCAGTTGGCTGCATGGCCTTAAAACCTGGCAGAAGAACAAGTGAATAGGTTGAGACAAGTGTTAGCCGGGATGGCCTCAGATCTGCTCCAAAACCGGACACTGTGTAATGGTGTCGGACAAAACGCCCACCAAAACAGGCATCTATCAGATTGAACGAAGAGGAACAAAGATATAAGGGCATCTGATAGAATGCCACCAGGACAAGCATCTGTCAGAGTGCTTGTCGGAAGCACTGGGAGCGAAAAACGCAGAGAAACTTTACTTCGATCATCCCCACCCTACCCCTACCCGATGTGGGAGCTGTCCTGCCCGTTTTCGGGCAGGTAGTTGCGGATGCTTTGCTTTCCGCGGAATTGTCTGAGGTTGGGCATTTCGGGGATACTAGGCGGGACTCTGGCGGGCTGCTCGGCGGGACTCTTGCGGTTCTCTGCGGATGGTTCAGGGGATCTCAAGGGTGGATTCATGGGCAAGACTGACAGGTGGGATGGATTCCAGGGTCTTTGAGGCAGTAGCAAGCATATGATTAAGGGCTCCGATTCCAAGGGCGAATTTGACATGATGTGCGTGCGGACTTGTGCTTCTGTATGGACCACTTGACAAGATGAACCTGCAGCCGCGTTACGCTCATAGGCAGATCCAAAAACTCACTACTTGTGGAAGCATGCGCGGGCAGATAAACACGTGCATGGAAATGCTGGGCTTACATTGTAAGAAGAAACCGACCGACAGGTGCCCCTGCAGCGAGCCCAGTACTTGTAAGCTCGTGCCAAAACAAAAAGGATCATGCTGCGGCTGGGTCCGTACTTGCGCTTTGCAAGCCGGTCTTGGCGGAGTTCCTCTGTTCCTTGGCTGCACAAAGCCAGGAGGTGCCGAGCTGAACTTCGAGTGAGGCCTGTCAGTGTGCAAAGGCGAGGAGAAGAGTGAGTTCTAAAGTAGAGACTGAGCTCATTAGACATTCAGACTCATTCCATCTCTCATGGCTCTGAGCTAGGAGTCGTCACTTGAGTCGCATGGACACGACGTCTGTTCCGAGGCTTGCGTCCCGGTCACAGCAAAGAGGAGGGAGCTGAAAGAACTTCCGGCGCTCGGTGGTTCTCTAAGTGCACTAAGTGCTCTTGCGGGAAGTCTCGCTGGGGCTTTCTGCTACTCCTCCGTCCATTGTGAAGACGACCAGAGGCCCCCAACCGTGCGCAGAGTCAAAGTTGCTCGTGTGCCCGATTTTCCAGAGGGTGAGCTTCGGCAGGTTCGAATTCCTCCCACAAGTGATGGGGCTGGCGAGGGTGCCATCCTCTTGACGCGGGTAGACGGCCAGTTCTACGCGACGGGAGCCTCGTGCAGTCACTACAGTGCACCCTTGGCCGAAGGAGTCGCGGCAAGAGACAGGATGCACGTGGTTTGCCCCTGGCACAATGCGGCCTTCGACATCCGTACCGGCCAACCTGTCCGCGGGGCGGGCCTGCAAGCCATTCCCACATACAAAGTCACGGTGGAGTCCGAGGATGTGATCGTGGACCTTCCTCGGGACATGGAGGACTTCGTTGCGCCAAACATGGTGCAGCGAGACAGCCAGGACTCACGTGTGTTCGTGGTGCTGGGTGGTGGAGCTGCAGGAGTAGCAGCAGCGGATGCCCTGAGACAAGAAGGCTACACAGGTCGCATTGTCTTGATTTCCGAAGAGAAGCACCTGCCGTATGACCGACCTGTTCTGTCCAAGAACTTGGGCAAAGCCTCTGATCCCGGTTCGCTGAGCCTAAGGGATCAAGAATATTTCGATAAGCATGAGATTGAGATCAGGCGGTCGGCCAAGGTGGAGAAACTGGATGCCGCCAGCAAGACGGTTCACCTTACGAGTAAGCAGACGATCCGCTACGATGCTGCAGTCGTGGCAACAGGTGCCAGGCCTCGAGAACTACCAATCAAAGGGGCGGAGTTGCCGGAAGTCCTAGCACTCCGGACGCCGGAAGATGCTCAGCGCATTGCTGCCGCCTGCTCTTCAGGGAGGAAGGTGGTTTCTTGGATGTGCGAGGCTGATATTTTGCACCTTCTTGGCTCCTTTTCCAGTGCTTTGTTGAATGCACACTGTCTACTGAGGTTGTCATCGGGTCATCCTTCATCGGATTCTTGGCTAGACAGGGCCGGATGTAATCTTCGATGTCGCTTTGGCCGGTTTGAGTCTTCGAACCTTGAACAAAAAGTGTGCACTGCAGCAAAAGCAAAAAGAGAGCACCGGTGCAGGCATGGAACTGGCCGCGACTCTGCGGCGTCGTGGCTGCGAAGTCACCGTGCTTGGGATGGAGCAGGCGCTTCTTTGAGGAATCCATCTGCCATTGTGAGATGCTGCAGTGGACCGAAAAATGCTTAACGCTGTGCCATCCTGTGTCCATGAAGCTTACTCACGCTGATCTCAACAGGTGCCCTTTGAGCGCGTGCTGGGGACTCGCCTGGGCATTGTCTTGAAGGTGGGCACATGTGGGCACTTCAGAGATCAGAGCCTGAGAGCTGCAAAAGTCAGAAAAGACGCAGCGTTTTGCCAGGACTTCTTCGAATCGAAAGGGGTCAAGTTCATGGGCGGTAAGGTGGCCGCGGAAATCAGGCAAAGTGGCTCCTCTCTGCAAGCAGTGCTGAAGACGGGTGAAGTGCTCCACTGCGACTCCATTGTGGTCGGGGTGGGGGTGGTCCCCAACGCAGATTTCGTTGAGGGTGCGCAGCGGACACGGGACGGCTCACTCTTGACAGATGAGTGCCTGAAGACCAGTGCCGACAGCCTCTTTGCTGCAGGCGACGTTTGCACCTACAAGTGCCCCGGTGGCTCCAGGCGGGTGGAGCACTGGGATGTGGCGACGAGTCAGGGGCGGATTGCAGCAAAGAATATGCTTGGAAAAGGCGAGCACTTTGATCAGACTCCGTTCTTTTGGACATCTCTCTTCGGCAAGAACCTGAGATACGTTGGCCATTGCACAGAGTTTGACGAGCTGGTGGTTGATGGCGATCTCAAGAAACTGAACTTTGTCGCATACTATTGCCTGAAGAATGAAGTGAAGGCTGTCGCAACCATGTCCAGAGATCCCGTGGCAGTGGTGGTCGGGGAGCTCATGCGCATGCGAAGGATGCCCTCCGTGGGCGACTTGAAGTCTGGAAAGGTTTCTACAGCCGGCCTGGCCTTGGAGCTCAAGCGCGGCTCAATGGCTAAGTTTAAGTTTATACATTGTAATTTATAAAGCTCAACTGTCGGGGTCAAAATGGGGTAAAGAGGAAGCAACGCCCGCAGAGTAGATCAGAACTAATTGTAAACGCTTGAGCGCGCCGCCTCGGCAGCCGGGCCGGCCCACGGACAGGAAAGGAGGAAAGAGGGTTTCTGGAAAGGCATCAAAAAAGGGGAGGGGGTTCCAGGAAGGGGGCCCCCAGCCAAAAAAGTCCCACACAGCCAATTCCAAATTCGTGCCTTCCGCTAAAGGAGCCGCCGACAGGCGGGACCCGCCACGGCATCGGTTTGCAGCTCCTCCAAGCAAGGGGGTGGGGGTCCCACTGGGCGGGGCATGAAGGGGGAAGGAGACCGGATCCCGTGTCTGCTTGTTCCAAACGCTTCTCGACAGGAAGCCGAGGCGAATTTTCTTCCCATGACTTACGCAGGAGGCTGAACGCCCGAATGTTAATATAAAGTCTGGAAGATAAGCACCGAACGGCAGCTGAGGCTGATGGGCGATGCCGAGCAGCCTGAATTTGCTCAGGCTACTTGCAGCGAGAGTGCAGCAAAAGCTGCGCTCAGTCGTTTTCCAGAATGTGCGTCGGGCCCCCCGAAAAGTAAAGCAGGCCCAGCCTTGTGTGTTGTCGCATCTGGAGAGCATGTACTCTCCAGATCTCTCCAGTTAGCAACATTCATTTTTGTCAGCAGGTTCATCATGTTGTTAACCCTCCTCTTCTCGCTTGAGGACCTGCCTCTGCAGCTCGCAAATAACTCTGCGGTCACCCTACCCAGCATCTGACGGCGTGGTTTCATGATGTCTGCTTCGTGGTGGAAGGAACGCAGGAAAGTGTTCAAAATGTAGGCAGACTGCAAGTAATTAGTTGGGGCACTTTGTGTCCCACCTGAGCGGTACAATGATGCAAAGCTCTGGTGAGGCGCGCGAGATGCGCCCCTTGGCACAACCTTCACCTTCCCAGCTGCAAGAGCAGCAAATGCCAACAACTCACTATGTCGTTGCACCAGGAGAGGAGGTTCTGAGCTACCATGCTTACGTGGGAAAGCTTCGAAACCGCGTTGTCATGGTGGCCATGATCACTGCAGCATGTTTCATAGTCTCTGCCTTCGTTCAGCTATTCTTTGGTTTCCTGAGTTGGCAAAGCTTTCAGAACAAGCTGGACTACTTGGCACAAGTTGAAGCGATTCCGGAGTTGAGCCCCTTTCTCTGTGGATTTAGGGCTTAAGAGGGCACAGGGTGTGGTTGCTTGGGGTTGGAAAGAAGTGTTTTTTTTGCCGGGAAAATAAGTTTTCGGACCGGGGGGGGTTTCTCTCCTGTGTTTTGCAGTTCGAGGCTCGTTGCTCCACGTGGCGCCTCAGCTGCTCCTCACTTCCGCAGTACCGGTCTTCCTCAATGCGCTGCTCGTGGGCGGCCTCTGCATCTTGTGTGGCCTCTGCGGCGCAAGGGCAGACAACGAGTGCTGCGCCTGCTGCTACTGCTGCTGCAACGCGCTGTGTTGTGTACTGACGCTCCTCACATTGCTTGGATCCGCAGCCTTCCTAAATGTGATATCCACCAGCAGTGGTGTGGCCCAGGTTTGGTTTCAGACGTGTGATCCATCGGTTTGCTACCCCGCGGGGCCTGACACGGACCCCAAGATGACAGTTGATTGCCTGGCGCCGGCTGTCTGGGACGCCTACGTTCCCCAGCTTGAAGGCCCTCACCTTCCGAGGCAATGCCCTCCCATGTACCTTGTCTGCAAGGGCGCATTCTCCGACAAGGATGGTGATGATGATGGTCCCAGTGAGGAAAGGTACCTCAAGGCGACGCAGCTGGCAAATCAACTGGTCCTAAATGTTCCTAAAGAATCCGCCCTGAAAACGCAAGCCCGGGCAAGGTTTGATCTCAACCATGTGGATTTACTTGCTTCAGAGTTTTGTTCCCTGAGGAAGCTGGCCTGCGCAGACTTCATTCGCAGCCACCGGCGGAGTTTGCAGGCACCCAATGGGCCCAAAGCTGGCGACGACTTGGTGATGAGCCCGAGGAGGCAGAGGATGGCACGGAGGAGGAAGATCCTGAGGAGGTTGCGGAGGTGCCGGACGAGGCAGCGCAGGCTGAGAACTCCGAGCCTGCTGCGGCGGCCATTGAGGAGGCGCAAGCCGAGCCAGCCGACGAACCTTCTGACGGTGACCCGGACGATGATGCAGAAGCAAGGGAGGCGCAGGGCCCGGCCGATTCCCACAGCGACCAGGATCTTTCCACGGTACACGACGATGAGAGCACTCCCGATGGACTTGAGCCCAATCACGTGACGCTCGGAGCACCCGAAGAGGATGACGACAACGGCGAAACTAATCCAAAAGTTACCTCGGCGAGTGCCGGTCATCAAGAAGAGGGGTACACTGAAGAGGAAGAAGGTAGCCCAGATTCTCAGCCGTCTGACCCGTCTGGTCCTGAACAGGGGGAAGAAGGAGGAGGCGAAGAAGTGGATGAACCCGACGATGAACCGGACACTCCTGGCTCAGAAGACATTGATGCCCCCGCTGTTGTGATGTCAAAGTCTGAACATCCTCAGCGTGAGGATGAGGACTCCGATGAAGAGCTTGATGGAAACGGTGGCAGTGCCGAGCCGGGAGATGGTGACGCGGAAGATGAAGGTGCCAGCGGCGCCGTCGGCGCAGAACATGATGAAAGTGGCACGAGTGACCCTGGAGAGAGCGGTGCAAGCGGTACCGAAGAGAGCGACAATGAAGATGTTGGCAGCAATGCTGAAGACGGCGATGACAGCGGCAGCGTGGAAGGTGGAGACGAAGGCCATGCCGGTGCCGAGGGCGACAGTGCGAGCGACGATTCAGGTGAAGGGGAGCCTGGAGGGGAAGGCGATGACGCTGGCTACGAGGGCGACGGCGACGAGGTGGACAGCGACGAAAGCAATCTCCACCGTCTCGCCAAAGAAAGCGCGGCTCTGGCAAAAGTTCTGTCACACCCGATGCCACATGACCCAATCTCTGTGTGCTCGCCGTCCGAGATCAGTTCGTTGTATGATGTCGCAAGGCAGGAGGCTCCAGACATCTTCAATGCCTGTACCAATCTGATTGTCGTTCGCGTGTGTTGCCTCCTTCCGATGCTTGTGCTCTTCGCTTTAGGGTCGGTATGGGGTCACGAGCTGTGGACCAAACTATCTGCCGGCGTCGCTCAGCCGGCAATGCAACGCTATGTGCTGTCCAATGTGCCCTTCCTCCCGCAACCGGCACAGTCGTCGACCGAAGTCTGGATCCCAGTCTATGATGTAACTGCAGGTAGCCACGAAGCCATTCATAACCCGGTTCACTTGTTCGATTGTTGCCTTTGACGATTCCTTGACGAGGTCCAGATGACCCATATGTCAGAGCCGCTCATGGTCCAGTCCCCGCAGGGACCGTGAACCTATGACATGTTGTCAGTGCCGTGTGCGCCACACTGACATTCTGGACAAGTTCCCGGTACTGATGGCCATGCTGTGGAGTGTCTCAGTGCGCTCTTCGGTGGACAAGCTCTCGTGAAGGATCGCAGGGAAGGACACTCCGATCGAGATGCTTGAGGACTTGCACGCGCTCCCGAAGGTGACAGGAAAATTCGTGAAAATGCGCTCCTCTCAGCCGCTGGCTTTGTGATGCTGTGAGTGACACAGCAGAGTTTGCACGGAACGTTGATGCTTTATGTGAATGCTGCTCAACCACCAGTAGATGCATAAGCACATGTCGCCATGATTGGCCGCAACTATCGGGGAAGGGCCGAGCTCCAAGTGACTTGTGGAAGGAGAGCTTCATCGCTGATCGTCCCTTGTTTTTCCGTGCACATCGCATCTCCGAATTCTCCGAATTCTCCGAATGACCGAGAGCTCAGGTCCCTCAGTCAGAGGCGTATTCGCAGCGTCCAGCGCATGCGCAGCCCGAGCGTCGACAGGCTGAGAGTGAGCAAGGGCTCAGGGCGTGTCACGGTATGTCTTAGTCACTGCTAGTCTCTTGCAGTTGTCTGGGGGCTCTCCAGGTAAGCCACGAAAAGGTCCTGGAGAGAGCAGCGCACCCAGGACGAGGGATGCAGCCAGTGATTGCCAAACTGTAGCCCAAAATTACACAAGCCCCAGCGCTGAGCCCATGACAAGTCATGCAACGCTAAGATCCATGGCAACCTCTATGCGATCGTTGGCGAGGCTTGTGGCCACCTTGATGGAGCTTTGGTGACGCTTAGTCATAAAACTTGGGGTTTTGAAGGGTGGTTCCTCCAGGGTGTGCGGTGTACATCTTCCCTTCATCTTCTCATTTTGGGTTGAAGCCTGGGCCTGCCAGTTGAGCCGAAACAGCAAGCGATTGCTTTTCTCCGAGATGTGGCATGTCTCGCCGTGATGTTGGGGCCGCGGTGCGAGCAGCCAGAAGTGGCACCACGCCATGAAAAGGGCCAGGTCAGGTGCGGCTGGGCCTTTTGGCTCTGCTGCCGTTCTCACGGTCTTCCTCTAGCTCCCCCTGCTTTCACGGACCTTGCTTTGCCGCCAGCCTGTTTCGGACCCGCCTGTTTCGAACCGTTCCGCCGCCACACTCGTTGAAGACAGGCAACAGCACTATCTTCGCTGTTTGCCAGTACTTCAGTATTTCCCAGGACCATGGAAGGAGATGCACATCACATACCCGGCCTTGGCTGACGTGTTCTTGCCCACAAGTCCCATCCTCCCCATCCACACGGGTGACACGGGGACACGACGTGAGCTGCTAAGAATGCATTCAAATCGTAACACTTTCAGATGACAGGTAAAAGATCCAGAGTTTTGCCGAGGTTTCAGTGTAGCACTGTTGAGGGAATCGGCATTCGTACAGTGCCGACTGAGAGGCCGTCGACGAGATCAAAAATGAGGAAGAGAAATGGAGTCAACAGGCTCCTGGGAAATGTTGTAACGCAGCCTCCCTCAACACTTCTCATATCTGGCGGGCCCAGTGCTGTGAAGGATCTTGTCAAAAGAATCTGCGGCTACATCTACAAAGCTGCAAAGGCAGGGATTGCAGGAGAATAAAAATGCCATCATGCGTTGCACAGGCAGGCGACTGACGATGTCAGTGGCATTCTGCATTCCCCAACCAAAACCTGTCAGGGCCCCGAGCTCCTGAACATGCCTTGGCAGGAGGTGGGGCACATGGGAAATGTTTCAATCGTCGTGCAACCGTATGCAGCCCCTCATTCCCAGCCATCTCAGCTGTTTGGTTGGAGGCGGCTAGGACAGTGGTCAGCCATGGCATGGCGAGCTACCATGCAGCCTGCGGCGAACGAACCTGGTTCTGGCAGGCAGCTTGTTTCTAGCAGGTTGCAATATGTTGCAATTGATCGTGATGCTTCTGATACGTTCTGATGCTTTCTTTTGTGCAGCTGGGTCTCGGCAACGCCTTCACATCTGCAGTTTGGGAGCTTCTGCAGCTGCCGTGCGCTCATTTTGCACTCAGTTTGTGCTCTGCCTCAAATGGATCGTGGGGGTCTTGGGATGTTTCAAGGGGTTGCGAGCTGTGCGAACATCAGGCGAAGTAGACCTGCAGCGCATTACCAGGATGTCCAGGTGCTTGTGCCGAGCTGCAAAACATCTTTTCGGAAGGACATCAAGGGCTTTCCGAATTGCAGGAGTTCGTTGTGCGTGAGTTTGAGCACCACCTGGACAAGATGCTTCTAACAAAGGCACGTGATCGAGTAGTGTGCGGGCATGATTTGAAGCACAACGAACACAATCTGCCAGGGCGTGTGGGATGCCACTGCTTTGACCTTCAGCGATGAAACGATTCGAGCGAAGGCCGCAGAAAGTTCAGGAGCTTTTACGGACTGATGTGACGGCCAGGGCGCGAGTAGGCGGTGAGGTTCCGACAAGTTTTGACATGTCCGCTCCTAGACACTTAAAAGGCCCTATGGGGAGCCCTAGGATCCTTAGGCTTTGCGAAGAGGAGGGTGGCAGGCCTTGTACCAGTGGTGCGCCAGAGCAATAAAAGCTTTCGCCGTGTCCCCCTCGACATTGCAAGAGATGAAGAGGACCATCATAGTTCTTGGACTAGCCGCTCAAAGAGCGATGCAGAAGAAGAAGAAGAGGCGGCAGAATAATGGTATAGCACTATCCAACGTTTCGCTCCACGCTTTAAGTGCAGGCGGTGTCTCGCAAGGCTACGGTTGAGATTCAGAAAGGGTTGGCCCGGAGTCAAGCGCACAGAGAGAGGAAATGTAGCGCCTGGACATCGAGTGACACTGCGCAGGTTTACAAGGCTGTCTACAACACACACCAGACAGCTTTGGATGAGCTGGCTCCTCAATGGACCTGGCCGTACTGCTTGAAAAAGAAAGCGAGGATGCATGTCTGTGACTGAGGCTTATGGACGACACGCGACCCATAGATGATGTGGCTGGGCCCAGTTTCTTCTTTTGTCAGAGAAGCAGTAGCATCTGTGAGGGCAGAGTTCCCGCGTCTGTTGGGAAATCGTTGCGGGACATTGTTTTTGCAAACGCGCGGCTTCCTTGTCTCAGGCCCGGAAGGTGGAGAAATTCACCAAGCGATGGTTGGAAGCAAGCATGCAGCGTGCATGGAGCGCAATAGAAAACGTGGAGACCATTCTCACGCCTGGGACGAGCCCTCAGCTTCAAGAGAAAAGCCTTGTCAGAGCTTTCGAGGCAAGAAGATACGACAAGATGTGATAAGAAAGTCTTAGCATTTTAACATGCCTCAACAGATGAGCGAGAGGCAGGTCACGCGGCTCTTTCAGAACTTGATGGCGCCGTTTGGAGAGGGGCACGAGTACACCTGGTGCGCCGTCTTGTCCTGTCATAGGCAAGACAGTTGCATCGCCTTCACCAACTAAGTATTAGGCACGTTGACCTTGGGGGCATTTTCTTAGCTTTCCACGTTTCTGGTTGCCTGATCGCATGAATGAACCTTTTTTTGTGCAGCTCGTTGGCGACTTCCCAAGTTGAGCTTGAGGGGTTGCCCTTCCTGCCCTAAAGTTTGCCACCTGTTCTCAGATGAGCCTGCTGTTGCACCGCTCGTTGAGTGTGCTATGGTTGATTCACAGATCGTGCGCCAGTATACCGATCGCACTCATTGAGACCATCGGTAGACCGCCTCGCAACTGGAAATTCTTGAAGATGTCCTGCCCTCGGCTACCTTAGTCACGTCGTGCTTCTTTCATTTAGTCACTTTAGTCTTCAGTTTCGTTTGCTCAGGGCCGTGCAAGACATGTTTCGCACATGGAAAGAGGCGGGCCAGGGCATGCTTGTACAAGAGTGCCGTGACTCAAGACAGATGACGCTACTCCTGTCTACCCGAGGGTTTAGGGTTAGAGGTACGGTGGGGTTTGAGGGTTCGTGCCCCTTGTTTAGGCGAGCCGCTGCAGAATTGACATCTGCGTTGTTCGCGCAGGGTGCTTCAGCCACCCAACCGGCAAAGAAGCGAAGAAAAGCGCCTGCCGAGCCCATTGCAGATGCCCTTCCTATGGAGGAGGAGGCCAGTTGTTCGGCCAAGCCGATTTGCAGATACGCAAGATGCCATGAAGAGAGCCAGCATGGCTTTAGAGCTTCTGGCTTGTGACATATTAGGGGGTCATAGGGGCAGGACTCTAAAGGCCCTCAGCGACGGGGAGTTGGGAAGAGATGCAAAAGGGGACCATCGATAAGCCTGACACAAGCACCACACCTAAATAGTTTAAGATATATTGCATCGAAGCACGCTACTGGTAGGCACCCATCCTGAATGGGACGAATGGTTCAACGAGACACGAGGCCGGGATGAAAGCACGAAGATGCCCAAGCGACCCAAGTACACCGGCACGCATCTGCCAGGAGGACGTGGAAGATCAGGTCTCAGAGCCGAAGGACTTCGAACGTGTGTCCTGTGGCCATGTGCCGTACTAAACACTCACCTGGGCCAGGAAATAGAGCCGAAAGCGGAAGAGGAGGAGGACATAGGCGCACCGACTCGCGCAATGCATCATCCATCGTTCGCTGGGGCATGCGTTCGCATTGCACACTGTGCACGCTGTGTTTTGGTCGGCACGTGCACAGCTTCGCGTAAGACATCGTGTAATCCATCGGGGATTTCGACTGGCTGCTTCGAGACAGCAGCGGTGAAGATGCTGAGTAGCTTCCCTTGTATTCGTGCATCGGCGACGTGTGCGCGCTCTACTTCCAGGCCTTCGGCCTATGCACGTTGGCACGACTGCCACAAGTGAGCTCGCGGGCATCCAATCTCAAAGCCGGACAAGCATGATATTTCAGTGTTTCCAGTTACAGCTGCTGGGAACCGAACACACGTCACAGGTGAGCCATAATCCATGGCAAGCGGACCAGGAACTCCGAAACCAAACGTTCATCCCCGTTCGGGCCGATGTACCAGGCATCAAGGATGTGCGCGCCAAGCAGCAGAAGAGCTTCAGTTGCTGGCACTAGTGCGCTCGAGAGATCCCAAAAACACATCTTCGAGAGCACCATGTGTCGGTTAATATACAGCGAGCAGCCTGTTCAGCGACTTACATAGTAGGTGCTGCCGGCCTGCATCAACATGACTGCGCATCACATGTCCCCTTCGGTCGGCACACAACAACATGTTGTGATGCATTGGGCACGGGGGGCCATTTTCTTGTTTTGTCTTGTTTTGTGTGTGTGTGTGTTACCATTGGAACCTCACAGGAACCTCTTTTGGTTTGCTGTGTTCTTAAGTTCATGGTCCGATGCAGATGTGCCAGAGATGGGCCACCCTGTTCGGAGCTCGGAGAGCCTGCACAGCGCTCTGTCCTTCTCCTGAGTTGTGAGCAGGGTACCTTGGGGCAGTTTGTTCTATCTTATGAGGAGCTGCCCCTGAGAAGTTCGAATTGCTGGTGGACCATGTTGAACCCATGGAAGAACCTGCCCAAACGGCTGATGCATGCTCTCCAACCTTCGCCTGGGCATTCTACAAAGTGGGCTGCACCATTCACTTCATACTTGCAACGGGCTCGCCAATGTGTGGAGTGCACACACACACACACCAAGGAATGCACTTCGGCAGAGGAATGCACGGGCAAACCTCATCTGTCATTGGCACGTGCCCCTGTTGGTCAGAATATGACCGTGACGCTAGTGATGAAGAGAGCGCTGATTGTGCCATCGATGTGCAGGGAGTGTGCAGCAGCTGCCATTCTGCTAGGTCAGACATCTTGTGAATGAGGATGATGCCGGAGACGTCTACTGCGAGGCCGGCGTATAAACAGGCTTTTTCTCAGACTTCGACGTGGCCTGCTCACACCACTTCAAAGCAGGCATGCTGGGCCGGATATGTCGAAGAAAATCCGGATCTCGTGGGTGTTTGGGAGGTGCTCTTTCACATGCGCGTGCTCACAGTCTGTCGATTTTGCATGTCATGCCTATGCTCGCATTGAAACTCAAACGCTGGGGGTGACACTAGCACGCTGGAATGCTGGGAAATGCAGCGCAGGATGGCGTGAATGCCGGTGAGCTCTACTCTTCTGAATCTTGGAAGCAGAGGAGGCAGAGATAAGGTTTACATGCTGGAAGGCTGGAAGTTTCTGGGCGCATGGGAAGGTACGGGGGGGCCATTGTTGAGAGTTGGGGATTCTTGAGGGCTTGCAGGGCCTAGGGCGGTTTGCTGGCTTCCAAGCCTGCATGGCCGCACTTGGGTGGGCGCAATGCACAGGGAAGGGGTTCTGCATGGTTCCGTCCCCGCCTCCCATGCTGTACTGAAAGAAAGAGCGAGTGAGTCAACGGGAGCTTACTCACAGTTGTGGTATGAACGGCCGAGGTGGTGAGTGAATCCTTTTGGGGTCTAGTCCGCTGGTCCGGGAACAGCTCCGGGGGCCAGTAAGCGAGAGTTTTAGGTGGGGTAGCCGAGCTAGCCGTACCTGACAAGTAAAGGGGGTTCGCTGAGCCCGACCGAGCAAGCAGTCTCACCTGCGTCAGGCCCGAGGAAGACCGAGTCATCGGGTTAGGTACGGGTAGTTTCTGACTAGGAGTGGGGACGAGACCACGACCCGGGGCTGGCAGAGACACAGGTACAGACGCAGATGCGAGCGTGGAAAGGGGACAAGGCGCACATGCCGGACTACGAGTAAAGGGTGAAGTGGGGGTGGGGTCGCAAGTCCTGTGCTCATCCCGAATACCGGGGCGGGCGAGAGCGCCCGGGGGCTTGCCCCCATGCCCCCAAGAAAGAAAGAAAGAAAGAAAGAGAGAGAGAGAGAGAAAGCGCACAGCCAGGTTGTTCACCCCCACGCCCCCAAGAGGGAGAGAGAGAGAGACCCGCTGCACTCTGTAACGCACGCCTTCGGGCGGTCCTCCCCAAACGGGGGGGGGTCAAGTGCGCAGAAAGGAAGAAAGAAAGAGAGAGTGAGTGAGAGAGAGCGAGTGAGAGTGAGAGAGAGAGAGAGAGAGAGAGCGAGAGAAGGGGGCGACCCCTCTTGAGGGGTTAGGCGCGATGCAGGCAAGCACGCAAGAGCGAGAGAAGACATGAGAAGACTTGCAGAGAGTTCTGTGACCTGTAAGGAAACATGACTTGCAGAGCCGCTCATCACCGCTCCACGTGGCTTGAGAACCAGGGAGACCGGGGAGTGAGCGACGTTTGCCGCGTAAGCTCAGCGCACGTGTGTGCCCTGCTGCTTGGTTTATGAGGCGCTTCTCACTTCCAGGTGGCAGGTAGCCAAGGCCAGCAAGCCGCCGAATTATGTGCCCCAGAAAAGCTTGCAAAGCGGCAAGAAGGGTGGAAATGGCGCGACACCTGGCTTGCGGCTGGTTCAATATGTTCAATGTGGCTTGACATGGCATGGTTTTTACATGGTATCCCTGCTGGATGTTTACACATTCCTAACATGAAAAAAGCTCGATCTGTCAAGTGCGAAGTGCGAGAGTTCTGATGCGATTCACGGCTCCAGGCGCCAAAGTGCCCACAACCCCGGGGCTTGCCGCGGGACTGCACAAGACCGAACTCTGACACTCGCAAACTCGCACGAAGTTCAAACCTCATTGTCATCCTAGTGGCCGGAGCCCAGACTATCTCAATCATTTTGACTAGATCCATTGCTTTAAGCTACGAACATATGTTCGGGAGATGCAGCAGTTCTTGGTAAGTCTGCTAGCTGACGTGAAAAAGAACCCGGTTTTTCGGACTCTTTCACTTCGACATTCTGATGCCGGAATTGCCTTGGACAGCGATGTGTGCCCACGTGGCCCACGTGCGGCGCTCTGACTTGGCAGTCAGGGGGTTAGAACTGACCGTCGGTGTGCTTGATTCTGTCGTGGCTGAGGAGGATGGATGTGTCCGCTGCTTACGCCAGTATATGCCATTGATGGCAACAAAATCGCCGACACATCCTTGGTTTGTTGGTTGGTGTCTACTCTGAGGCTCCTCTATCGTGGCTGCCCTTGAGGCCGCGTGGCTTGCGGGCGGCGTGTCCTGAGCCAGTCTCTGTGGGTGAGTTTCAGGCAGTGAGCCTCTGGAACCTGTTGCATGGCCATGTGCCCAGAGCAGCCCTTGCACAGTGTCGTTCCGCTGTAGCCTTTTGAAAGAGACAACCGGTTGCCGAGTCCATGTTGAGGCTGCGCAGCCGGCGCTGAAGGACTACGGCTATGAAGATCTAAAGGCCAGAGGCTCACCACAACGATTGAGATCAACAGATCTTTCCTCAACAAATCTTTATGCGGTCTGGCTTCGTGAGTTTGGCTAGATTTGCATGCGCTGTACCTGTGTTCCAACTTGAAAATGTGCCACGGCTTCTGCTCTTTTGCCCTCCTGTGGTCCGTCAGGTCATTGGTCGAGGCCAGTACGGGAAGGCTGGTTGAACAGCACGGCTGATTGTCGAGGGCGACTCATCGCTAGCGTGCGCAGTTGGTTATTCACTTTGTATATATTGCGTTCGGGTTCCTCTTTCTTGAGATCCTCGAGGCGCACTTGGTTCGCAGTGAAGGCGACGAGCAGTACTACATCGCTGCATCCCTGGCTTTTGGGAGCATGGTGACATGTGAAGACGTGTGCACTCGAAGACAGAGAGGCCAAGACAATTGACCTCACGTGCCTCTCGAGCAAGGCTTGAGTCCATGGTCCCAATGATCTTTGTCATGACATCGGGTGTCAGAGGAGCGGGAGACGGCAAAGCAGGAGGTAGCTCTTCTCAGCCGCATGGGGGCCCAGACCCAGCAGCGAACAGAGCTGTTTGCGGGGATGGGATGTCTGGTCCAAGGCCTCAATCACCCCAATATCGTGTCTTACAAAGACAACTTCTTCATGGGCGCCAACCAGGAGAGTGCTTGACTTGCTTTCAGTTCTTGCGGCCTTCTTCTTGCAAGCACTCAAAAATGTTGCTCGTTGATGCCATGAGGATACCTTGGTCATCATTATGCAGTACTGCGAAGGAGGTGATCTGGCCACTTACATCAAGGACACCCTCCCCCTCCTTCCTGGACAGCGTGGTCGCAAGTGAAAGTGCGGTCGCACAGCGTTTCGCGACACTAGCTGATAAATGCAACAAGTAAGCCTGATTCCGGTGGACGGGATGCCCCTGAAGTCCCTTGGGCGACCATGAGCAGAGAGCGGAAGGCAGAGGTGGCAGAGTCAGAGGTGCACAAGATTCGGTGCTTTTTTCAAGAACAAGCAAGCAGCCTCATGCCGGCAAGAAAACAACAAAGGACTCCCCTTCAACTCTGTTACTCTGTTGGCTGGCTGCACCCAAAACGTATGAGGATGGGGCAGCAACGAGTGCAGGGCAAGCACTACGAACCCAAGGCCTCACACCGCGATCAACGGTGATTGCGCAAGTGAGTTGGCAGCTCACCACGGTGGCGCCGAGTTTCGATTCCCAGAGGATTCCCAATTCATGCAGCCCCTTGAAATCACGACGTCGGACGGCACGAAAAATGCACGAATATCAAAGGAGCCGACATTGTCCACGTCGTACCGACGAGACAGCACAAAGAGGTTCGATGCGGTTCCAAGAGTCACGCCAGCCTTCACGCAGCAGCATGAGCTCGCATAGACAGCGCAGACCTTCAGGGATCATTTTACAGACCCCTACGCGAATTTTGGGACGATGTTGCGGGACTCCTTCAGGGGCACAACCGTCGAGGCATGAAGTAGGTCCACGCCCACGCAGCAGTCTCAGTTCATCCACGTTCTCACTTCCGGAACGTCCCCAAAAAACTCCAAGCACGCACGGTTAGTCCACACGCAGCGACCAGCGCGGCAGAAGTGGTGCAAGAGCATGAACAATTCGCACGCACTGCGACGAGTGACGAGAGTTCCCTCCCAAAACGACCATCCAAGCAATTTTTTGAGAGCGCGCTTGACCACCTGCCAGGCAGCCCCATAGATCCGTTTGCAACAAGGTCAAACTTGACATCAGCATGAGCGCCACGCACCCCAGTAAGACGCAAGGCTCCAAGGACCAAAAGTGCGCTCAACAGCAACCGCAACATGTTCATCCGTTTTTGCCTGGTGCGAGCGTCGAGAGCGTTGTTTACCCTTACCAACCCGAGAGAGAAGCAGAACGGAGCGATTCTTAATCAAAGTGCTCATTGAGAGCCTGCGCAAAAGAAGTTCTTTATCATCAGACTCCAACAGCCTAGCATCGGAGTGCAAGACGTGTACCTTCTCTCAATTGGCCACAGCTCGGGGCAAAGTCCCGCCCAGAAAACGAGCAGCTGCCACACGCCACAAATCAGGGGAGCAAAGGGGCCACCCTAGGGGATTACCAAACTTGCATGCATGGGATTGTTCCACGAAAGCCACAGCACATTGCGAGTCTACGTCTGACCAGTGCATGTGGCTTTCCAGCTACACAGCCTCAGCTTCCGCACGGCACGAGCTTCGGCTTGGCTTTCGTGGCTTGCTCGTCATCTTTGTGCAGATAAGGAGCATCAGGATGCTCAAGACAAAGAACTGAAGAACGCTGCAGATCATCAAGTGTAGGCTAGCCAACTCTTGCAAGTCTTGTGCACACCTACATCGCCAAGATTATTCACTGAAGCAGTCTGCTTGGACGTCAGATCTTCCTTTCAAGGACATTGCCCTCGGCACACAGAAAGCGCCAGCGGGTATCAACTGTACGGTGCATTTTCGGCACCATACGCGCTCAACGCCAGCAACACACAAAACAACAGCATCAGCTCAAGCACACGTGACCACAATCCGAGTTCTCATCAACATGCCCATGGGAAGCAAAGCATCGCAAACAACACTCCAAAACAGTTCACATCAACTCGCAGAACTCAGAAATCTGTTAGTCCTGGAGATACTACGCGGTTGGCAGGGCAAGTGCAATGTGACACTTTTCGACTAGGTCTTGTGGCACCCTGCGTGCTGCGTCATGCTTATGCAGCAGCACCTGTGGACCCCGTTTTATGCAAGCAAACAGATGTCAACCATCTGACTGTTTGGATGTTTTCGACGTTTCAAAGGTGCAGAAGCGACCGTTTTTTTCATATTTAGTCTGGCAGTTCGACTGGGGTGCGATGTTTTTCGTACCCTCCTGCGCGTTCGCCGATCTTCACTTATAGGTTCATTCGACAGCACCTCAGATGTCGCTAAAAAGGAGTGGAGGGAGGGTGGCGGTCGAGCATGGCGGGCACATGAGGTCATGTGTTAATTTCGTATCCGGACTGCTTCTGTTTGGCGTTTTTGGTTTACCTCACGATTGCCAGGACATGTTAAAGAAGAAGACCCGGATCGATGAGTACCAGATCATGCATTACTTCGTGCAGATTCTGCAGGCCGCGAGTCTGCGCACGTGCTCAAGAGGTGCGGTGCGTTCCTTGTTTCACTCAGGCCTTGCAGTATATCCACGGCGAACGGATTCTACACAGAGACCTGAAAACCTCCAACCTCTTCCTCATGAAGAGCAAATCTGCTGCGGACCAAATGATCCCAGAATGTGGTTGCATGAGATGTAAAGATTGCACAGCTGTTGGAGCCCACTTTGTGTCAACGGTTCCACGCAAGGTCGTGAAGCTTGGGGACTTCGGCATCTCCAGGGTCCTGGAAGGCTCCATTGAGGCCGCTGTGTGGAGATGTGTGGAGATGTGTGGAGTGTGGACATGTGGACCTTTTGGACCTTTTGGACCTTTTTCCTGGCGCGGCCCCCTTGAAGGCGGCTATCACCGTGGTTGGAACCCCGTGACCAGCCTCAGACTATCGCATGAGCTCGGCTCCTTGCGCTGCTGCTGTGAGTGCTGCCGTGTTGAGGTACTACATGTCCCCGGAGGTGTGCGAAAACAAGCCGTACACCTTCAAGAGCGATGCCGCAAGCAAAGATTGCTGTCATCAACGCGTAGTGATGCATAGTACGGCAGAGGAGCCAACCTTGAGTGCACAAGCTAGAGATTGAGATGAGTTGATGTAGGGTTTGTAGATGAAGCATGATTGAGTTACATGGGGTCACGCCAAGGTGTGGTCTCTGGGGTGCTGCCTTTACGAGCTGTGCATGCTGAAGCATGCTTTCTCTGCCGACAACCTTCTGGGGCTACAGCCTCAGTGACTCAGACGTTTTTTACAAACCCTACACCCGGACCCTGTTTTGCCGACCCTCTGCTTAATGGCATCCTATTGCACACAGGCTTGTGTACAAGATTGTGAGCGACAAGTACGAGCCTGCGGCCTCGATTTCTGGTTGTCGAACTTCCCCTCGAGCATCAATGTATCTGAGTAGAGAGGTTACTACACATGTCAACGTATATGTGAGTTTGTATGTATGAGGCATGCGGTATACATGCGTTCGTAGTGTATGCAACAACACATGCATACATAACATCGTATACGTCTATGGAGCTGAGATGTCTGGCTGCTCGAGGCCAATCCCCGAGCGCTACACGCCACAGCTCAACACTTTGATTCAGTGATGGCCCAAGTTGCCGAAGTTGGCCTCGATTGAAAAGGCGAGCAGGTGCTCTCCAGCCTCTGGGGGGTTGGTGTCAAGCATGGAACATGCCTCCATTGCTTCAAGGCGCATGTTGGAGAAGACTGCAGAGCAGCGACCAAGCGTGAGGGACCTCCTCGCCGATCCGTATGTGCAGGTGCGAGTAGTTCAGCATCAGCGCACAGAGTTCTTGCTCCATTTTCCGTCATTTCCCGTACTGGCAGTCTTTCATGAATGCGGCCGTGCAGAATCGCCACAGCCTGCGGCCCGGTGTTTCCCGAATGTTCGGAGATCCTGCAAGGGGGCTTTCATCTTGGGGCAGGCAAGTTGGCCAGTTCCCTTCCCACGATCCACTATACTGGCCCAAGTGGGCCTTTGGGTTCCATGCTTCTGGCATTCAGCTTCTCGACAAGCTTCAAAACCCATGTTTTGTTGTCGGTTGGTACCAATCATTCTTCTCGTACTCTGTGCAATGGCGTGGGCACTTGATATGACCAATTCGAGGACCATCCCGTTCACATGGCCGCCATAGCCGACATCTCTCCCGATTTTTTTGCACGAAAGCCAGGAATATAAACACGTTGAAACAGTCTGTTTGCTGGTTATACTTTGTTACCCCCCATGCACTTTTGTGTAATCTTTGGGTATACACACCTGCCGTGCTTCCGCACCTTTGGTCTTCTGTGTGCCACGCTGCATGAAGCCATCGCACAGTGGTGACTTGTCCAAGGTCAGAGTGCAACTGAAGGGCCAACTCCTTCAGGCGCAGGCGCGCGCGCGCGCCCGCCCGCTCTCGCGCACTTGAGAGCATGGCTGATGCGGGCTGTTTGGGAGAAGGATGGAGAATGTCAGGCGGCATCACCTTGCCGCGGAGCTCCGGCAGTGTACGGTCAGGCTCCGGATCTGCTCCAGCTCCAACAGCCCCCCCCAACCCCCCCAATCTGTCGAAATTTTAAGAAACGAGCCGGAGGCTCCACGTACGTCTGGGTGTCAAGTCTATGGATTGTTGCTTTTGCGAGGCTCCGATAGTTCAACTTCAGGAATCATCGTATGCCCGGCTTCGAAGGGCACTTACTGTGACGTCACAATCGATCTAGCCTTCTCAAGCCTCAAAAAACATCGCTGTAAGGCTAGGTGGGGCTTGACACCCATCACGACCACACGTATTTGGAGAATCATAGAGGCGTTCCACACCCGAATAAACCATCTTGAGATCTACGGGCTTGAGATAGATTACAGAAAGAGATCTTGCTTGGCGTCGTGGGAGCATGTTGAAAAGCATTATGCAACCCATGGACTCAGGTACATAAGGTAGATGAGTGTGTGATGGTCTCAGGAGGCGCGCCGCCTCGACCGCCCAGCTTCCCACCGGCCGAAGTGCAATGCGGCATTCGGCCCGGCCTCGGGCCCGGAGTGCCCGCAGTGTCAGCAGGGCACTAGCCGTTTCATGCAGACATTGCTGTCAGCGCAAACGATGCAAAGGACAGAAGCAAGTCCGACAGACTGGACACAACCTCAGAACAAACCGGGGCTCGGACTATTCCGTCACATTGCTGGCTTTGACTGGACGGGTTCATCACGGGTGCCCTTGTTGTACCATGTTGTACCTGGACACGCCTGCAAGATGCAGTCCAGGCAGAACTGCCGCGTCACGTGCCCATCTTAGCACAGTCACAGGATCTTCACACTTAAAGACTTAGCAGAGCTGCTGTCGTGGATGTCGGATCAGGCGCGGCTGCGCGGGCTTCAGAGACGCCCAAAGAGGCGGCGGCCCGACGTAAGCGCGAGGCGGCAGATCGCAAGGCAAGTTGCGACCAGGTTCTGGAATTACAGGGTGCATTCAAGAACGGTTTCGTTTGTTAGGGCTTAGGGAAATGTCAATCAGCTAGCTGTATTTGTACAAAAAGTGTCGGGGAAGGTCGACATTGTTAAGAGCCAGACTGTGCTTACTGTGAGGCAGAGCAAATGAAAATGGCGGCAAAGCAGTCGATGCACAACAAGACGGCCGTGAGCCCAGTGCCTGCTGTCGGGCTCTATAGAGCTCTCAGAGATTGAGAAAAGTATTCCTGCCAGTACCCCCAATCGTTGCCCAACATCCGCACGGACGTGCCCCTTCTTAAGGTTGCAAGACAGATGCGGGAAGCAGAGTTTCAGCTCGGGCCTCAGCACGCCCATCAGCTGGCCTTGTAGAAGGGCTGTTCGAAGCCGTCAGTTTTGCAGCCTTAGTTGCCCTAGCTGGTCGTGCAAGGTGTTAACTGTAGCAAATGGGCTTCACTCTTATACGGAAATCGCGTCGACCGTGGTCAAGGACAACGCTGGCCAGCGGTCTCGGCGCTGCGCTTTGGCGGCACCATTCACCGAATAGAGCTCGCATTTCTGGTAGTACATGGTGGTACATAGCTGACATAGCTGTCATACTCCAGACTTCTTCAGGAGACCGCAATTGGGGTAGTCTGAAGTGAATGCAAGTACCTTGATCCCGGATCACCGGCGAGCGAAGGCTGTGACAAGCCCAAGTCCGCCGTCCCCTCCGCCCAGTGGTTTTGGGGCTGGAGGACATGCTGCCACTAGTGCCTCAGCAGCGACAGCTCCGATCCCTTCGCATATCCCGAAGACGCTTCGTAAGACTTGCCCTAAAACTCCAAAGACTTGCGATACCTTCAGGATCGTGCAGAGTGCAGATGCAGAACAGTTGTTTTTGTGCTGGTAGGGAACATGGTAGGCGAGTATTTGGTAGGCCAGTGGCCCGCAACTGTTGACTTGGCTGCTCAAGGCGGGGTGAGTGCCAGCCCAAGCCCGACAGCCAGCCCGGCGTGGGCCCTAGCATCTTTGATTGACCACAACACGAGCACCCGTTATTTCTACATCTTTCGACTTCGGCAGCGGAAAGCGAGATCGCGTCAAGTACTTCTGAGCTGATGCTGAGATGCACTTCGACGATGATATCGACGAGGAGCCCCAACCCTGTCACGCCTCCTCCCACCAACTAGTTCAGGCATTTCGGCGAACCCACAGAAGTGCCCTGATTCCGTGTAAAGCTAGCAGCAGGAGCTTTCAGGACAGTTTCAGGAAAATAGCAGGCCTCAAAGGTCAACAAAGAAACGCAGAAGGGAAGGAAGGTTCGAATGAGGCAAACACCAGGCATGCAGTTGTGTCACGTCAATGCGAGGACGATCTGCCTCTCGAAGAAATCGACGAAAGTGACTACTCCGAAGAGTATGAGGATTTTGCGCTTTAGGATGTTCCAGGTGTTTTATAATGATATGCTGTGCCGAGTGAAGAGATGTTGACCATCATGGGGCCAATGCACGAAGTTTTGCAGGATGACTTTGAAGATGAGCCGTATTCAGAGGAGGAGCCCGTCATGTCTGACATCGAGGAGGCTGGGATTCAGCATCTGCTCCGCTGCTTGACACTGTCTCGGCATCTTTGTAAAGCTTCAGGTCTACATGGGCCCGGGTGCAGGCAAGGCTGGTAGCATGTCAGTTGCAATGTCTCCTCAAGGCCCTACCTAACCCCCCCCCCCCCCCCCCCCCCCCCCCCCCCCCCCCCCTTCTGTTGCAGGGAGGCAGCGAAAAACGAAGGCAAAAGTCTGTTCAGCTTTTTTCGATGCTGGGTCGCAGGCGATCAACTGTTGAGGCTTCGTTGAAATCACCGGGAAGAAACACCGAAATGTTGGTTGCGGCAAGCCCTAACCTGAAAAGGTGACCTTAAACAAAACTCCTGAACAGAACACGTGGCGAACCTCAACGTGCCATACTTGTGGCATTTGTGGTCCTTTTTGGAGCAGTCAAAGCACTTGAGAATCGAGTATGATGGTGGTAGAAGGTAATTTGGTTTGAATATCTTAAGCTATACACACAAAAAAACGCCTCGTGCCATGGGAGTACTGCATTGACGATGATGCAAACGATGACTTCATTCATCAATTCATCTAAACTCTTCAGTTTCCGTTCTATGTTTGTGTTTTTGGAGTTTTGCAAATGGGTTCCAATGTTGTCGCCAGTTGACAGAAACCATCTTGAACTTTTGCCTACACTCTTGAACCCCTACGTGGAGAGGTTGGATGGCGTGTAAGGAGATGTTGGGTGGCAAGCCTGTGGCTACACCGGTGTTGACAGCCCAGAAGTTTACGAGTAAGCGAAAAAAAGGTCACATATGGCTAACTACGTTTGCAGCAAGGCTCAATGTCGGGCTGAACGCGCGCGCACACAGCGCGCATTCATTCAGATGGCACAGACGGCATCCACAGTCACTCGACCTTCGGAGGTGCTTTGTCCATCGTCCGTGAAGAAGAAGATCTCTCAAGGGTGATGAACAACTATGAGCAGGACCCCATCGGCGGCAGACATTATGGTGTCTCGCACACTCCAGATTTTGGGGGTTTTGTCTCAGGATCTGGCCAGGAACTCCGGCTCCGCCTCCCCTGCTCCTTCACCGACCCTTCAGCCGCAGCTCGGCTGTCAGCCAAGGAATTTTATGCGCATTGCAGCGTGTTTCCTAATCATCCGTGCGTTCATCTAAGCTGCGTTTTTTTTAGGCGCTCGAGCATAGGTACTTTGCAGCGGACATTTTATTGTCCGCGGAAGGGGTGAAGAGGTGAACAAGATTCCGCGGAAGGTCGCGGAAGGGTCCGCGGAAGGCGGGCTCGCGGAAGGGCGGCGTGCTTGAAACTTAGATATAGTGGATGCCCAACATGCCCGGCAACCGTTTCGGAGAGCGGATCAGCGCGGAAGGCCCGCGGAAGGGTTGCGGAAGCTCCGCGGAAGGCGACGGGTCGTTTTGGAGGCCTAGAGTCCATGCCTCATCCTCATATACACATTATACACTCATTTCTGTTTCGGGCCGGGTGCGAAGGTGGAATCACGTTTTTCCGCGGAAGGCTCGCGGAAGGAACGCGGAATCCGCGGAACACGCCGCGGAAGGCCGCGGAAGGGTCCGCGGAAGGGTTATAATGTCCATCGATTCATGCTAGAGAAAAAAACACGGCTCATCTGTGTACACATATATATATATATAAATATGTTTTTTATATCTGTGTGATGATGAGTCTTCGTTGTTTTGTGTTGCTTTTTTCTTCATTGCTGCCTTCGCTCTGCCGTCGAGGCGTAGGACGGGAAGCCTCGATCGAAGTGCCGTGCTGATCTAAGAGACCCTTTTAGCCGCAGGATGTCTTGTGAAGGATGGTGTGACAGTGGGGAAGTCAGGCACCTCCGCCTGTTCCCTCTGCCATCATGGATATGCGCATCCATCTCAGCTGTCATGTTGCGTGAAACTTATGCAACAGATTTGCTGTGATTTGCTTGGCTCTTTGTTCACTTCTGTTTTGACTCAAGGCTCTCGTGCCTCACGCTTGAGAGAAGAGCCGCCACCCTAGACGACCATGCAGCAGAGGTGAGTGAGTGATGCATAAGAATAAGAATGGAGAATCATGGAGACGAAGTCATCTTCAAATGCCACCGAATTGCCGCAAAGTTCAAGGCTGATCTGCAAGATGGGCCAGGAAACTTTCGAGAAGGCACAGTGGCCTCTTGCGCAAGCAGATGCAGAATCAGTCCTCCTTGCTCTCGTTGAGTTTTGAGTGAGAGTCGGCGCTCCGGCAGATTCCCAGGCCTTCAACTTTCTCTACAGTGCCCGCATGAGAAACGCTGATCAGCGCCTCCTGGCCTGAAAGCAGGAAAGTACGAAGAGTACCCCAATGCCCTTATGGACCCTCAGAAGCTTGGCGCGCTGAGACCCAACAAGCCCTGCTTAACGCCTTGGGGCAAGTCCACCGAGGCAGCGTCAAGCGGGACCTCGAAGCACTGGTCGGGCGTCAGGTCTACAAGCCGGGCAGCCCAAGCGTGCATAAAGGGTTCGCATGAACATCTGATGCGAATGTCCTTTGCAGTCTCTGACTCTGAAATGTTTTGACTCTTGCAAGTTCTGTTGCGCATGCGTCTTTTCTTCAACCGTTCCTTCTTCCAACTTGTTTTCTGTCACAAAGCCTGAGCCTCAAATCCTATTGCTTGTCCACATGCCCCGACTTGTAGTGTGGTGTTCACACCAGTTGTGTGATCGTAGCAGCGTGGCGATATGTGGCGATTAGCCCTGGAGTCAGATTGCTTTGAGGGACTACTGCTTTGACGTGGACCAGCTCGTTTTCCAGTGCCCTGGCAGATCTCGGCACTCACCGCGAGTTGATTCGCAATTTAGGGTTTAGGCGAGATGTACCACCTCCGCACGCTATAGGGTTTAGGGTTTAGGGTTCAGGGTTTAGGGTTTAGGGTTTAGGGTTTAGGTCCATGCATTCTCAGCGACTGACGCTCTGACTCCGCCAAGGCAGTTAACATACGGTGGGACCTGAAGGGACCTGAAGTCAAAGACTCTTTGGACCGCTCTTCGATTTTCCAAGGCGCCATCATCGGCACTTAGACTTTTTGGCAAACAATCACAACAAATGTCACATTAACAGGGACAGTATGAGGAATATTCAAGCCACGACGGCACAAAAGCCTGAGCAGTACCTTGCAGACCGGTCAGCGTGGGAACTTTGCTCTTGCGGCACGAGACTCGCCCGAAGGAGCAGTGTCAGTTTTCCACCAGTTCGGCAGGAATGCGCTGACTGGAGATGCACAGGCGATTGATGCTTCAAGTAGCGAGCTTTGACAGCCTTAGTTCTAAAGTCTGGCTGGCGTTCCCTCGTGGCATGCAGGCCATGCATAGTTTCACTGTATGTTAGTGAAGAGCAAGCCAGCATCAGGCTCGCCCAGGCATGAATTGTTTCTGCAAGCAGAAAGACTGCATCAAAGAGCCGTTTCACGCGTCGCATAGACCATCGAAGCTCTTCGACATAGCCTGCAGTCTCGGGTTTTGCTCGTGGCACACGAAGCTTTTGTTAGTTGTTCAGACGGGAAGATGGGTTGGTAGCTCCTCAGCGATGCTTCCGAAATTGCCGTTCGTTGTCGTCTCCCCGCCACATGTTCTCGGTGCCGGTGTCCCTGGATACGATACTCTAGGTTTTCGTGTGCTGGCTGCATGCTTGCCTGCATGCTTGCCAGGTCAATGATACCCGCGACGAAGGCCTTTCTGTTTCTGCTTGGCCTGTTGAAGTAATAGCCTGGAGCCGTTGCAGGCGACGACTGCGGTCAGGCAGCTGCAGCTGCGGCGGCAGCAACAGCAGCTGTTCTGGAGGTGCGCAAGACATCCTCTTGACCCTGGAGGGAAAAGGGTCTCACTGTCTCGGTGGTTGATATGGAAGCTCGAGCGGTGAGGATGATGATCCCTGGATCGTGGTTCTGCACTTACCATTGTAGTAACCCTTCGCACGTATGCCAGGGTTGCAGTATGATTGCGGTGGGCAAGGTGAATGAAGACCTGACGTCGGCCTCCTTCGAGACTCCCTCGCCGAAGTCCTAAAAGACGCGTAGATGTCATCGCACCAGCGCTGCGTCAACCCCAGGCCACCACTGGAGCCGGCAGAGCCCAGCAAGTGGCTTTGGCACACCTTGTGTAAACCTTGTGTGAATTTGGCACCGTGCTCCAGCTTCCGCGTGCTTCCTCACATCCGCTTGTCGGGAGCAGCTTGCATCAAACAGAGCTGCTTCGCACAGTGCAAGCACGTGGCATAAACGGCTGCGCACTAACGCCGCGCATTCTTTTGACGCTTCTTTGCCAGGTCTCTCAGCAGTCCCTCAAGTCCCTCACTGTCCGAGTTCTACGGCCAGCCTGCTCAGTCTTGGTTTCTGCACTTGCTCGGGATCTTGACAAGTGGCAAGATGAGTCGAGGCCATCTGAATTCATTTGAGTTCGAGGACCTCAGCGGTGAAGAGGCGTGCTGCTTGGACGAGTGGGTTGGTGATTTGTGACCTGATGTGGCTTGACGTTCATAACAGATTGCGCTGGGAGGGGTTTGGGGGGCCACAGGCCCAAGCGCAGAATGCCTCACAAGCCTTTGCCTTCCGACGCTCCGCATCTTGGCCCAGGCTGTTGCAAGACATCTGATCTGCACGTGCCATTCCTCGTCTCTAGGCAATCTTCTAGGATTTTCTAGGCTTTTCCCCTCGGAATGCACTCGCATCAACCTGCAGCCTGTCAACGAGAGTCAACCTGAGTCAAGAAACTGGCTAGAAACCGGCCGGTGCCAGTTAGCAGGTAGCAGCCCCCACCCAAGACATCTGTATCCAATAGAAGAGTACGTGTCGGAGTTTAGGCCCGGGTCCAAGTGCTTGATTTCCTGCCCAGCGCGTGACCGTGCAACCTAGATGAACCTAGAGACTCCTAGAGACTCCTACAGACTAGAGTCTACTCGCTTCGGTCCGACAATCCCGGATGCCGCTCTGAGCCGACCCGCCTCGGTCGGTGCAGGCGCATGGCCTTGCGAAGCAAAGCACTTGCGAAGCAAGAGCGAAGCAAGAGCGAAGCAAGAGAATGAAATCAAGATGTGCAGGCAATGGCACTCGAATGTTTTCTGGACCGCAGAAGCAAGTCCTCCGAACGGGTGATCGTGTTCGCCAAGCCCTGAGCCGGATGAATCCGGATAGCATCTGATGGTTTTTGCGTGGAGCCACGTCGCCCTGAGGCGCACACTTCCAGAATCGCTATGGCTCAAAGAGCTCAGGTTCGGGCCCCCGTTGGGGTGCACAAGCCAAGCAACTGCTCACACCTGACCGCGCTTAGCATCACCTGACATCACCTGTCCAGCCACCGACGTCGGCACGCTGCTCCAGTTTACCACGTCGGAAGTTGAGGCTCGCTGAAGGTTCATGCATTGCTTGCGTTGTCCCTCTGTCCCTTCCCTTGCATTGCTCTGATGGTTTCATCTTCGCTGCAACAGATCCACTTCGATGATGGTGCCGTGCAGTGCGTCTCCAAGGTGCGCTGCTTTTGGCGTTGTCGACGCACCTTGAGCTTGCAGAAGCACGTCGTCAGACCTGGATCGCGGAGCGCCTGTCTGCGTGGGATCTGGATCTGGCGCAGGGGTCTCGGCATGTGACACGGTGCCGCCTCATGATTCCAGGTTGTTTTGCCTGCAAGCAGTTACATCAAGTTGCATCCCCTGGTGTTAGGCCCGGCGATATTGTTTACGCCCACTATGCTTCTGGGAAGGCCCTACAGACGGTCGGGCAAGCGTGCTCTCCTTTAGCAAGTACACCCCCACAGCGTACACCCTCCTGTTGGATCCTTCAGGGCCGCACCGTCAATACCGATCTTGGGATAGTGGTGGCCGTTCTTGATGGTGGCCGCGTCCGCATCAGGCCACGTAAGCAGCTGCTGAGTGGCACGAGTCTCAAAAAAGTACGATGCACGGCATGAGGTTTCAGGACCAGATCATGCAAACAATCCCTATGGGATGGGACGGAAGCCCAGCCTTTGTTGAATGACCGTTTTCAACTGATGAAAGTAGAGGGGCCTTCCGTTGCTGCACTTCAGGTGGATCAGGTTATGCGCTTGGAGCCGGGAGATCGAGTGCCCTTGGCGGCTGTTTGGCAGAGATCCTGGCTGCTTTACCCCTGCCTCGCTTCGAGTTTGCGGCCATGACAGGTGAATGCCTTCTTCAAGGTCAATGATGGGAGGCCGGACGTGGTCCGACTGTCAGCAATCTTATAGCCTTTTTCATGCTCAGACATGCCACTGCCAGAGCTGCTTGTTCTTAAACCTTATTGCGGGGACATGGCGGCAGGGGCGCAAAGAGCGTCAAAACCGACATGGGCTCAGTGCTCGCTGTCTCAAAGGAGGACGTGTACATAGGCTTGGTGCAGCCATGGCCAAGTGACACCTGTGGCGCGGTGCTTGCGCCACCTTTGCATCCCGATGCCAGTCTTTGACGACAACGTGGAGCAGAACGTGCCCAAGACCTGGGCGCGACTGCCAATGGATTGCTATGGGTTGCTCTTCGGTGCGGTCGTTTCTTTCGTATTTCGATGCGTTGTGTTGTGGCGTCGTGTTACGTCGTTCAAGACCAACGCCGATCAAGGCGGTAGACTTCCATTCCTGATGTGTCGCGTGCGTCCGATGCCAGGTGTGCCATCGGGCCAGGCCGTGGAACCTGCAGGCGCGTGCTCAGTCTCTCTCAGTCTCTCTCACTTTCTCTCAGTCTCTCAGTCTCTCAGTCTCTCTCTCAGTCTCTTTCTCAGTCTCTCTCGCTGTCTCTCTCAGTCTCTCTCAGTGTCTTTCGGTCTATTCACCTCTCTCTCTCTCTCTCTCTCTGTCTTTCGGTCTATTCACCTCCCGCATGGTTCGGTTCTTGCAGGTTGAAGTCGGAAGCGTTGCAGACGTTCACTTTGAGGCCGGCAGGCTTTCAAGAGAGTTCTCTGCCACTTCGGTCGAGATACAGTGTGGCAGTGTAGCACCTGTGTCTGTACGAGCTCCGAGGTGGGCGAAGACGGGCGCAGAAGTACCAGCACAGACATTGGAATCATTCTCTCTGATCCCATCGATGGACGCGTGCAAGTGCAGTTCCAGGATCTTTGGGCTGAAGCTGAGAGTTACATCGTGGCATAGATGCGCGTGGTGGCACAACGTGGCACGCCATGTTGCCAGAATGTTCCCAGGACACAATCCAGCAGACCGTTCCCTTGGGATGGATTGTGCGGCTGCGCGAGTGGGCTGTGGGCGATCGTGTCCAGGCAACCGTGTCGTTGCTTCATCAACCATGGTTGCTGTACCCGAGGCAGTGCTTGCACTGTGCAGTGCAAGCGTGACATAGCTTCAACAGCTGCCTGACGACGATCTTGATGAACTTCGGAACAGCAGTGCCCCCTTCTCTCATGAACTTGTTGCAGGCTCACTTCAAAACCGGCGGCGGGGAGAAGAGTACGGACACTGATGTTGCCACTGTCATGAGCTCTTCATTGCTCGAGGCGGCTCATAATGTGCTTCGTGCTTCGGAGGTGTTTTAAAATGTTTCGACCCCACAAGATGAATTAAACGACTGAGGTGGAATTGTACTTCGATGATGGCATTCAGCAGAATGTTTCCAAGGTGCGAGGGCTCGGGCTCATCTCATGGAATCTGAGGGCGCCTTATGGCGGAGATTCTCCGACGTCTTACACCAGGCATGGGTAACGGAGCGGATACGCGACTGGTATGCCGAGGCTGGGCAGCAACACTTGTGAATAGCCATGGCAAGGCCATGAAACCGCCCACACAAAGTTTAGACTTTTTTCTTGGACAAAATTTTCTCGAAAGTCTTTGTGTTAGTGTCGAAGGTGTTGGAGCTGGCACCTGGGGATGTGGTGGTCGCGCATTTCAAGCGCCCGGGGAACCAGCACGCACACCCAGCTACTCACCTTGGCAGCCACGCCCCAAAGTGTCGAGCTTCCGCCCAGTTGCCGGAGCGTGCAGACGGACCGTGGCATCGTGCTTACGCTTCTGCCGCGGGGTGAGGCTACTCGGATCGCAGCATTTAGTCTCGCAAATCAGGAAGGGTCGGCAAAGGGTCAGTTCAGCAATCACTTTGTTAATTCCATTATGCTGCCAAGCGATGGCTCATGACAGAATATGTGGCGCCCCCGCACCCCCCCCCCACCCCCAGCTTGTTCCTGCCATTTACATGAGATTTTTCATGGGTGCTCTGCTGATATCAGTTGCTGGTCTCCAGACCTTAGGCCTTAGGCCGTAATGGGCGTCGAAGCCAGGTGTCGGTCATGTTTCAGGACGACATTACGCAGGTGCCCGTTGTTTCACAGCTTAGATCACGGCTTGCTTTCATGCTCCTCAAGCTGGCACACAGCTGTCTTTTTGGAGGTAATTCCCAAAGGATGGATTCAGGCTCGTTGGTGCTGGGGGAGTGGACGGTGATGAGAAAGCTTGTCAACTCATGTTAGTTCTGTGTCAACCCTAAAACAAGTCTCTGGAGGCCGTGGCAACGCGCTGGTCTGGTCAAAGAGACGAGTTTGCCCGCGACAAGGCAGCCAAACCCGGTCAGAGGCTGTCAGTGAGCAGTTGTATCGTGGTAGTGTCGCATATGCCTTCCGTGAGGCAGAGATTGTCTCTTTTGAGTCCAAGCAGCGTCCGCAGCGTGGTCGTCTTGGTCCACTGGTGCATCTACATGTTGCACATGGGCTTTTGGAGCCTCGCTTGCTTTCTCGTCTGAGGCCCTGCTGTCGTTCCAGCTACCGTCACAGAGTGTGCTTTGGATGAAGCATACAGAAGCCGAGCTAGGCGTAGCCAAACGCAGCGGGAAGCGCAGCGGGGCAGCTCTGCTTGGGGTATCGAAGGTGTCATCTGCATGGACGCCAAGCGTGGGTCTAAGCCAGCATGTCCATGGGCTAGAGTCGAAATTCTGTCTCTGCGGCAGACATTGGCATGTATACATGTGGCACGTTGTGCCGCGCTTCTGTGGAACTTTCTTGGCCATGACAAAGGTGTGCAACATTGTCCCAACCGCTTTAGTGACAAAGCCTACTATAGCTTGTTGCAACTAGCTGCAACTGCCAGTGGGACCGCTCAGGCCCAACGGAGTCATCGTGCACGGGGAAACGTCACGTCCTCGGACTTTAGTTATGCGTCCAGCCATGCATTGCTTGGAAGACAAGGGGTCTGCAGCAAGGTGTCATCAGAGCACCTGCTTCACTTGTGCAAAACGCCTACAGCGGGCCGGTGATTCTTGTCCAATCTGCAGGGCTGCATGGCCGCATTGGGATAGGTTGAGCATCGATAGCTGCTGCTTGTTGCCACGCTCTGTGGACTCCCCACTTATTCGCCAAGGAAGTCATCGACCAGGTGTGCAAGCTCCATGGCGACTGAGAATGACTAAGTCACTCTCCCCCGATCCTGTCGCGTACAAAAAGCATGGTGCGCGGTGCATGTGTGCGGGGCCCCATAGACCACGTGTTTCCACATTGCACAAATGCATCAAAGGTTCAATATTTTGCGTGTTTGCGGCAGATTCCAGTAGATGCTTTAGGCACCAGAGGAATACGCGGACCAACCAGTGGACCAGCAGCAACTTGAAGCTACATTACACTTGCTAATCTAGCTTGGGCGCGGAACATCTGGCAACCCACAGTGTTGCAAGATTCGGTTGCGGAGATCGTCAGAGTGCCTTGCAGCGGCTGACCGAAGAGAGGACTTCGCACCTCGAGGCTATGGAACACCACCGAGCCTCTGACCTTGAGCACGGAAGACAGCAGGATGATCCGATGTCGACCAGGCTGAGCGAGGTCGGACACCATCAGACACCCCTTACATCCGCCACGGCACAGCCGCTGCAGGCGTCGCAGGACACTAACAGCGAACTGGGCAAAACAGTCAAACCGACAAACCTCCCTCCCTCGAGTAATCAGCAAGCGACCGACCGTTCTGCTGTCTGGCAGAAACCACTTCCAAGTCACACGCTCCCACCCACCAAAGCGCCCCCAACTGCGCAACAACAGACGTAAGGATCCTGATGAATCGCGGGGGACACCGCCGCTAGCCAACCAAGCACACGGCCACCCAAACGCCACCAACTTCATTTCTTCTACAGTTGGACAGACAAGGTCGAAGTCTTTGCTTTCCAAGAAAGCATTCATTCCACGCATCAAGGGCTGCCTCGGGTCAAGGTGTGGCTATACAGTTTGTAAGTAATCACCCACACCAGCACAGCTTGCAATCTCGACGGGGAGCTCATACCGGGGAGGCTGCGTCCATCCATGCCGGGCTGGACAAGGAGTACAATCGGCCGCAGCCTGAGCCAGAACATCACGGATCGCATGATCGCAGTCTTGCTCTGAGTGCTGCTCCTGGCCAAAGGTTCTGCCGTGTCACTATGAAGGGTCCGGAGGATTACCGCACTATCAGGACAGCGAAGCACGAGAATTGCAGGAGGTTACAGCTACTTGGTCATGGTTTTCCAGGCCCGTTTTGCGTGACCAGCTTGGCAGGCTGGATCCGAGCGCCGTCCGCTGCCAGCCGGCGGAGGCATGCTGACACGGTGCCGGTGGCCAGAAAGCAGATTTTCTTTCACCTCCCGACCCGCATCCGCATGCGCGCACCGCACTGTGCAGCCATGTGCAGCCCTGGACTTCTCTGCTGGGCAGAGCCTTTGTTGCCAGGCTTGGCATGCAGGGCGTTGGAAGCCGCCGACCGGTTCCACCTGGAGGCTCTTTCGAGAGCTCCTGGATGCTTCTGGCTTTTGGGCCATTGCCTCACTGCCTGAGTTTCTCCTTTGCGCTGGCCGTGGAGAAGTCTGTGAACTGTGTCCTGGCCACAAAGCAGCTCATCTCCGTGCAAGGATCACATAGGATCACTGCTACCCCAGACAGTACTGAGTACTGCGCCGGCACTGTGAGGGCCAGTTTGTGGATTTCTCCGAGGTTACGTCAATGTGGGCCTGGTGGAGTGGGTGGCAGCTCGCAAGGCTGCAGCATGCCGCAGTTTGCCACCGCTTGCCATTGAGCTTTGTGAGAGCACATTTTGCTTCATCTGTGTGAGGAACCAGACGACGAAGAGGCACCACCAGGGAATGAGCTACTGAACCGCTGCTGTTATGGGTTCTAGGTATACCTCGTCATGCGTAGTCATGCCTGGTTGCTTCGAGCTTGAAGCCTTAGCAAGGACACCTGCGTGACTACTGCACGAAGTCTAGCCGACATCTTGAAGGCTGGCACAACCGGATCCGTTGCCTCCGAAATGCAATGTACGTCCAGAGTGGGTTGCAGTCCTTGCAGTAGGATGCTTCCGCTGCCTTCGGCCGAGTCAGTTGAGCCAATCTTGCTTTTTGGGACTTGTGTGCAAGGTGAAATCGGATGCTGAGGACGCTTTGGGGCCAGAGGGGGTGAATCTCTCATTGTTGTCTCCGCAAGAGAAGAAGACTATGCCCGGATGCAAGTGCATCCAAGACACTTTTAATTGGATGTTCAGGACGAAGTTTCAGAAGGCTGGCTGCCGAAGCAGCACGCGCGGCTCTTGGACGGTTCTCTTTACTTGCCAGCAAAAAAACAACAGCGGTGCCCTGAGAGCGCCAGACTGAGGTGGACGAGAACCCGCGGCAAATGATGTTGGGATGCAGGCCAGGAGCAACCGCACGGCTACGAGTACAGGTGGCTGCCTCCAGATCTCCCGAACCCTACAGAGGCCCTACAGAGTCCCTTCAGAGACCCCGCGCTTTCAGAGGTAGCCTTTAGAGGAATGCGGGGCTTGTCATCTCAATCCAAGGAGTTCGGGGGTTGGGATGATCGACATGCTGCTATTTCCTGTCGCCAGGAAAGGTGTTCAGTGGTTCGGCAACGCTGCGAAATACCCCTTGTTTCAGGACATGGGGGGCCTTTTTGCTTGGCAGAGTGAGATCCTAGGAAAGGGATCAGGATTTCCCTCGCGTTGCTCAGCAGAGAATGAGGACAACATCATGGAAGGTTCTTTGTGTCCCTGGCTCGTTTGTCGTGTGTCATCGAGCAGATGTGGTCTTCACAGCTAGAGGTGGTGATTTTGGAAAGCTCGTTCAGTAGCATGTGCGGTCTGTGCATGCCTGCACGTTTCGAGTCCCAACACATCGCAAGCCGCATGCCGACATGGGGAGCTGGCAGGCTTCGGTTTCGATGCGACTATCACCTGAATCGTCATAGCGACATCGTGCAGGCAGAGCCGGCTTCGTTGTTGCATATGCTGCTCATAAGTACCTTTTACAGAGCCAATTTCGGGGAAAAAAACAAACAAAAGAAACAAAACAAAAAATCAGCACGTGGACAGCCGGAAGCACTTTTGATGGAACTCGCGGCACCTCTTGCTCCTGTTGTAGTGAGCACAAAGTTGCTGTAAGCTTCCAGTATCCTTGCGGATGCTTCCTTCGAGGTAAAGATTTGGATGCTGGCCTCGCCCATCAATTTTGAATATGGCGGCGAGCACACAGTGAAGGCCCGACTGGTAGAGCGGCTAGGGAAGTCCAGAAGGTCGGGAGATCATCATCCCTTCCTTTCTTCCAGGAGTCTGACCTCTGGTGCGAGCCCTTGGCCCAATGGTCCGGATCCCGGATCAAGCAAAGCGTTGAGCTTGTCATGCTCAAGACTTGGTCAAAGCAGCGAGAATGTACGCAGAGATACTCTGCTTGAGGAAGACTTTCCGCCAAACACATCACACCACACCACACCATTTTCGCTCAATGAGATACTTCGCCGCACTTGAGGTGGGGCCCTCGCTGGGGTAACCAGGCGGGGTCTCAGCTCGGGACGCGGAAGGGATCTTTTTGAAATGGGTTTTGCAACTTGTCCCCTTTCCAGGACAAGAAGATGCGAACTGCTTGGGTGCACCGCCAGCTGTTCCGCTACTGGTACATCTGTTCTGACATGCGACGGAGTGCGGCCGAAGGATGAAAGTCCAAGGGAGGAGACATTCCAGCCTCCGCCAGGTGCCCGCAGTGACCCTCTACACGAAGGAGGACGTGGTCACCGTGGCTTTGTCGCTTCTGTGGGGGCTGACCTCCCGTAGTTTTTCGGCCCGTCTTGGTTTCTACTGGTATCATAGTGTCATCGTCTTTTCATATCTGTTCTTTCTAGTCTAAGGATGTTTCGGGCATTACTTCGGTGAGAGTGGGGTCAGACAAGGCATCGAGAGTGAGTCTGGGGAGGGGGAAGGGGGGGGGTTCTTTGAGAAGAGATGTCCATGCCATCTGAGGTGGCATGGCAAAGCCCAGCCGTCGCCTAGGCCAGTGGGTTCGCCTGCTAAGGCAGTAAATTCGTGCGATGAGGTTGCCAGCCTCCTCACGTGTCTTAAGTTCTGAAAGCATTGGTGACAGTTGCAGCAGCATTCTATGTGAAGCGACGAGTGAACACATTCAAAGGGGAAGCACCGAGTGATTCCACACCCATCCGGCAGCAGGGACCATGCACCAGCATACAAACTTGTCACCGGATATCGTAACTCTGTCGCCTGCATCGGTTTTCCTTCGTTTGCAGTTCGTGTGTGCTGGGAAGAGACCAGGAGAGCAACTTGGAGCAGGGAGTAGAACGATCTCAAAAGAAAAAGGGATGGTGACAAGACGCTATTGGATCAGGCACTCAAAGCACCCATGAAGGCGAGAGGGCTGGAGATCCAGCAGGAGATCTATCTGAATCAGAGGTGTCCTGTGCTGTGCTACCCGTGCTTCGTTGTGTTTGTTTCTATGTGTTTCTCGACAAAGCGGAATGCCAATAGAACTTGCTGGAAGATGCCGAACAGAGTCAGCACACGGCGGGGCTAATCAAGAATCAGAGGGTTGTCGGCTAAAGAGGCCTTCCAGAATCCTCTCGTATGCCTGAGTCGATAGCAGCTCGTGCATCCCAAGAAGTCTAAACTTCAACGAAGTCCTACTGTACTTCTCTGAGTACTGATCAACTGCTTGGATGTGTCGGAGTAACTTGTATGGGATGTTGCCGAAGGTGTTGCAGCTCTGGCACCGCCTCGAGAAGATCTTCCAACCTTGCTGCTGTTTTGTCAGTTTGTGTTTCGGAAAGTTTCGGGACGTCCGCTCACTGATGGCCGGACCTGCATTGAACAATGCGGAATGGTGTTGGCGCTCGTACCAGCCTGTTACTCTCAACATCACTGCGGATGCTTAAACGCAGTCGTAGTCGTAGTCGCAAGCCGAGCCAAAGTAGCATCAGCACCTTCAAACTTGCTCTCCGCTGTGTTGTCATGCATGGCGCTGCTGCATGCTCGCCCGTGACTTGCCGAAGCTAGTTGCCGCAGGGTGGACGCTGTATTCAGAGTGATTCCAGCTGTGATGAGCATCGCAGCGGTTACATGCTTACACTGCCCGAATAAGTTCTTTACACCGGAGAATTGTTGTGGCCGATTCTCGAAGCACGCACGCACTTGCCAACCAGTTTGATGACTTTGCCTACTCCATCGCAAGGCAAGCTGCAATGTAGCGCCTAAGCAAGGCCTGTTTTCGTACACGGAATCTGCCTGGCAGCGTGCTTCCTCCAGTTGCACAGTGCTGGAGGATTTGTCGGGAAGAGGTCCGAGTTCTGTCTGCGCGAGCACAGAGGGGACCACTTGCTGAGCACAGTCCAGGAACAGTTCAAGTGCTAGGCAGCAACCACCGTACGCTGTACTTAGCCACGAGCAGCATTGTTATGACATTGGGTACTGTAGGCTATGGCTGGATGCTGACTCAGCGTGTGGGCACAGCAGCTGGAAAGCGCTACCCACTAATCAAAGAACTTCCCACTCGCTTTGGTAGGATGTAGGAGTGACTTCGCGCGTGGCTTTGCCTGCGATGCTGTGATGCAGGGAAGGAGACGAAGAGCTCCATGAAGTGTACGTGAAGCCAGCTTTGAGATGACGCTCAAGAACGCTCAAGAGCAACTTGCCTGCAAGACCGTTTCGCTGGATGTTTCTGATGTGTCTGTAACCAGCCTCGCAGGACTTGGTGCATAGCTTCGCATGCATCTTTGTGTGAGCTCGTGGTCAGTTTGGCCAATGTTTGCTGATCTGAGGCAGCGTCCCGCAGCGCCGAGCTGTCAAGACGCGATCTGGTGAGGGCAAGCATCCGGTGCATTTACGCAACACATGACAAGCAAAAGCAATGAGCTACGCAAAAAAACAATACTGGATGACGTTATTTTGATGGAAAGATGCACTGGCCGCTGACCGGATCGCGATCCCCGCCCTTGGATGAGGGAGGCAGCCAGCCGTGGTAAGAGCTGCAGCTTTTCCGCAGTTGAGGCTGCTTGAATGGTTTGCATCAAGTTGAATATGTCCATATGTATATATGTGCATAAACACATATATACACAAATCTACATATATAGATTTTCTACGAGATATGCACATGCGTGTAGATGGTGGCGTGCAAATTTAGTCATGTTTAGATTGAAATTATGTAATCGTGTGCACGAATCTGTCCGTGTGTGTGTGTGTGTGTGAGCGCGTGTCTTGCAATGCTAAGGAGCTGCCACCCCACGTGCACTGAGCCCAAAGAGCGCGTAAGCATTTGTACATATTGGGCAGTCCTTGGGCCGTGCGTGTTTCAGCGCGTGCGGCACGCGCGGCTACCTGCCCGGCTTGTTTTTTACCCGAGCCCACACATGCCTTGTATGGAACAGACAAGGAAACGTCCCCGAAATCATTCTGCAGCTGCTCTAGACCCCAGAGCCTCGAGGGAGAATTTGGCGAAACTCTGGGGCTGAGTTTCCGGCCACAAAGATGGGAGTTGATCAGTTGACTAAGATTCAAAGCCGCCAGAAGGCATCTCCCAGAGTGCGGAGCAACTTCGATCAACTACCAGTGCGATGGGGAGACTGAAGAGCCGCAACTTTGCTGAGTCGGATATGAGTTCCACTCCCTGTCCTTCAGAGCAATCTTGTGCACGTGTCATCCCGGTATCCAAAGTTGCGGGCCTCCGAAATTCTTTAAGCCAGGGGGCCGCTCCCCTCGAATCTGACCTTCACCAACCCTCACTTTTGGGATGCTGCTCCTGTGCTCCATGGATTCCAAGTCTGTGATTCGAAGGTGTATATCAAAGTAGCTCAGCGAAGGCCGGTTTCTGAGGGAGGACTGTAAATAGGTGCCCTCTGGCCTTGTACACAGTGAAGGCATGACGGTCACATTCCAGAGGTTCCTAGGCCCTCGTCAGTGAGAATCGAGCGTCATGCCTTGCAGCTCCAGACCATTCCTCTTTGCTGCTCCATGCATGGCTTTGCGGCAATGCCCAAAACAGCTTGGCGATCTTGGCGTGGTTGAGGCTTCGAACTCCTGGGTTCTGAGAGATGAGTTGCGTTCTCCCGTGGAGCAAGTTGCCCTGCCAGCACGGACCTCTGCTAAGTCGCAGACTCAAGCCAGCCCAGCACCCTCTTCACCGTGAGCGCTGGTGCATCAAAAGGACGGGGTTTTCATGCTTGTGATGTGTATCCTTTAGTTGATGAAGCAGGCGAAGGCAGGTCGACTCGGCAGCTTTCGCATGGAGAGGAGTCCCGGCAATGGTGCTCAACAGGCTGCTTGCTTCACGAATGCTGCCCAAGGCTCGCTGTGATCACCGTGGCAGGGTGCAGAAAGCTAAATCAAAGAGGTTGTTTCAGACCATGAGAGAGAAGAATCTACGCTGGGAAGTAACCACAGAATGAGGGCATGCACCGACAGCAGAGTAAACCGTGGGCACGTCTGACAGAGTCGGTGCAGGCAATGCAGCCTGCCCTCTTCGCCACCCGTGCCTCGGTTTTAGTCATTTCAGCCACTCGCACATGTCGCACATCGGTGCTGGTTGGACTTCTCAGAATGCTTAGCCTTTGAGAGAGCCCCTCGATTGGAGTTTTAGGAGTCCTTCTGTTGCTCAAGTCTCACAACTACTCGGCTCTTCTGTCGATTGCATGATGTTTGCACAGCGTGCGCTTCCCAGGTCCAGAGGCTCAGAGCTGCTTGAGGGCATCCGTGCGCCTCTCCTCGACCTCTGCCTGAGCCCTGACGCCGATTTTTTCGGTTCCTCTGTCATCCCAGATTGGTCAGAAATCTAAGTGTCTAGAGTTTAGAGTCTTGAGTCCAGCGGATTAGCCCTCTTCAGATGGTTCCGCCATCCACGCAAGCGCTGGCCCTCGGTGGACCTGCTGTACCCAAGCCGCACAAGGATCATCAGCTCAAATTCTGTGCCCAATGCAGCTGTCGAGGCATCAGCTCCTCGTGTTGGACGCCGCCCGTGGTACGCAGTCCCGCCTGCGACCCAGCATCGGGGTTTGACATGACTTGGCTGCCTCCGCTTAAGCTTTGAAGACATCGTGGACCATGTGGGATGTGAGTGGTTGACCGGATCTATGCTGTGGATTCCTCCAGGGGATGGAAGGGCAAGTACGGGTGGCTCCTGTGGCTGGTGGGCTGGACCTCCTGCGCCGGGTTCATGCAGGACTTCGCAGGCACGCAATTAGCCGCGTGTCGCACGTCTCCAATGCTCGTAACTCGTAGCTGGGCACACCTATGTTTGGTACTTCAAAGGATCTGCAACCAATTGCATCTTCAATGCTTGTTCAAATGCACCTCGCCTCCTTTCGGCGCCCGTGACAGGTCCCTACATCTTTTTCCACGAGTGAGTTGTGGTGAAAGACCTAAAGAGGCGAGTGTACCTACTTTTTTTGAACTGCCCGATGCAAATTGAGAGTTTCCACCATGTTTATGTGCTTTATGAAGTCGGTTGAACAGTTGATGCGTGTCGTTCACTGCTGCAGCAATGTGTGTAGGTGACTGTCGGACAAACATTATTGATACTGATCTTCAGTTCTGGTCAGGGAGCAGCACTGGCGTGGAAGGTCGTAGCTCGTGCCACTAAGCCACTGAGCTCTTCGAGCTCGGGCTAAGCAATCGTAGGATGCCGTAGGCAAACTCATACTTCAGCAGGCTTCTCGCAATGAGCTGCGTGCTGTTCCCTGTGGTCTAGGCAACATGTATGTCTTGAAATCTTGGCTTCTGGCTGACAAAAAAAGGTCGCCGCATAGCAAGCTTAGTTGCGAAGTTTGCTTTTCGATTTGTGATCTGGTTTGCGCTGCGCAGCTCTCAAACCAGCTGGGCTGCCCTGGTAGACGGTCGGGGCGCTTATGCCTAGCTCCTAGGTGCAGCGATACCCGCCGACAGCGTCCAAGCTGACTTGGACCTTTAACTGCCATCAGTTGGGGGCTGGATTAGCAAACGTGCTTCGAAGGGAGTTGTATGTGTTCGTACCCTGCCAATGCAGTTGTGGGCTGTGTGGGACTGGCCATGCAACAATTTCCTACGAGCGCAAGGGGCCAACAGTTTGAACAGAGTCGTAGCTTCAGATTTCACCCAGGAAGTTATGACGAAAGAGGCGGCGGACCCTTGGTGGCAGAAATTGGAAGAAGTAGCCGCAACGAGCTGCACTGTGATTCGCACGCTGTCCGCTCTCAGCTGAGACATGGAAGCACGTTCATTGCCGTGCTCTTTGGCAGGATGCAGATGTTGGGAACCTCAGCCAGAAGCCGCCCAAAATGGCGTCGCTGATGGCAAACAAGGCACCGGTGTCACACCCTGACAAGGGTTTAGAAGAGCTTACGAAGCAGAGGCGCCCTGCCACGCCGTGAGAGAGTGGAGTTGCTGGGCGTGAGCTCCACTTGCTGTTTCAGGACCATCCCCAACGCGAGCTGCTCTTCAAGGTGCGATCCAGCGAAGCAAAGCCCTGAGCAGACACGGCTGATCCTGTGCGAGGCGATCCATCCTGCGAGTTCTTTGGAGGCCTGAAAGCAGATTGAGCGATTTGAGCGCGATGTTTGTAGAAGTCTGTGCAACACTTGCAAGTGGGAGTATGCATGCCGCACCGTGCCGTGCACACCTTCGACCGCATGTTCCCACGTGGCTGAACAAGACACAGCAAAGTTTGATTTTCCCGTTGGCTGGCTCGCGCTGCTTGCCGAAGAGGGTCTGACATTCCGAGCTGCTTTGGAAGTGGACGACTGGTGGAACTGAACGAAGCAATGTTGTCAGGTGTGCGTTTTCTGTTTCTGAGGGCTTCGTGCCGATGCTTTTTTCGTGCTGAGAGGCGTGGATGGAGAAAGGACTGCACCGCGTTGAAGATGATGAGGACGAGTGGCTGGAGGGCTTCGCAGCGGCACGGGCATGATTTCAACGCTCTTGCCCGTAATTTCAGAGACGTTATCTATCCAAGTGCACAAGCTTTCACCTATGTGTGGACAAGCCGCGCAAGTCAGCTTGCCAGGTCTTGCCAACTGCATACAAAGGCTGCGACAAGGCCTCCAAGCGCAAATCCGTTTGTTGCATGGTGCTCGTAAGATCGTAGTGCCCCTCCCTTGGACGCGCTTTTGCCTCAGCTTGAAAGATGACAGGACACTTTGCTCGTTCACGCGCCTGGACCACAGACGCAGGCCGCCCTGTTCCCAAAAAATCGGTATGGCCATGTAGCGCCCTACCCGGCATACGTCAAGAGAGATCGCTTTCCGAGCTTGACTGCGTCCATCACATAAAGCACCTGAAAGTGCACGGCCACCCACTGCCAGCTGCAAGAGGTCTACCCGGTGCCCTTAGAGATCGCTGACAACGAGGGACTGAAGACGCCAGCCCGACATGTAGGGCAGGAGACATTCATGTTCCTTTCCTTGCCTTGCGCTGAATGGAAGAAGCCTCAAAGCGTAGCGTTCGCTGGATGTTCTTTAGACGTTTTCAGCTTTGACCCAGCATGCATTTTCCTCACTCAAGCAGGATCAGTGTCTGAATGTGCGTTTAGGTTCTGCATTCACCTTCTAGCATAAATTTACGAATGCATGTTTTGCTCGGAAGTCCCTAAACCAGTGATGTTGCGCATGCACGGCTGGCATGGATGACCACCGCCGCAGCTTCCCCGAAGGCGTGCAGCACGGCAGAAGTGCCTGCAAGCACATCCTTGGTTGAGCGCTCCGAGACGTTGTTCACTTGGTTCTGGCAAGATGCAGACTCGAATTGGGTTCCTTTTCGGCAGCATGATCAGAAGAAACTTGAAGAGGCGGAAGCTGACTCAAGTAGTGTCGTGAATGTTGAGGGTGGGCGGTGGCAAGTTGATCTGAAGGAGCGTGTTGTGAATGATCGATATGGCAGTGATCCTCCGCGCAAGCAGGGCAAGGTGCGACGATCCCTTTGGTTTCAGCAAGCGGCGACCTTGATCCCGTACGACGAGGAGACCGCGAAAAACATTGAAGCAGCCCACGAACGCGTGTGGCTCCGTGCCAAAGAGGCCCTCCCCAAGGAGGACTTGGAAATTGCGGAGAGTTTGACGCTGGACTCGGGAAGACAGATCACTCTGAAGCTGAAGTACGAGCAGAAGTCTAAATCCTGGAAGTTGTCAGCCAAGGAGCGGACTCAGGCCGGAACCTCCTGGATGGAGTATGCACAAGCATCCCTACTAGGCAAAACCTACCAATTGCAGCGGGGCTTTGGCCCTGTCGCCCCACAACCGGGAGAGGAGGAGGAGAGAGTTTTGGGAAATGATGTGGGCAATCTCATTATCCTGGTGCATGGCGTGGGTGAGAAGATGTGGAGTGAGGAAGGTTCCCAGATGCATCCATAATCCCATATAATCCCCCGCATGTCGTGGCCGGAGTTCTTGCTTGCCCGTGCTGGGCGGTACCTGTAGGGACATCATGACCGACATGAGGTTGCGGGCTGGCTTTCTCTTCCGGAGTGTTCCGCCAGAACACTCATGTGCCTGGGCTTTTGGACATAAGGTCTTAAATTTCAAGAGCTGTCCGGTAATTAATGTCATTGGGTTTTCTGCATTCGTGTGATTTGGACACCAGCCCTAGGTCAAGCAGTTGCAATCTGCCGGCTTTGTGCAGAAGGGCTCCGGTTGGGAGTAACTCAGAGACAGTTTTTTGTTGACCATGCTTCTTGCCTTGTCAATACTCAATTTACAGCTGGTGTGCAATGCAAGAGGTATTCTGGGGAAGCACCGCCACCCACCTTGCGAAAGGACGAGGTTCTGGAGGCATCCTGGTGGGAGACGATACACACAGACGAGATGGACGCGCGGCTCGCGCGGATCAGCTTGCCATCCATGAAGCAGGTGCGGCAAATCGCCAACTTTGCGGTGGTCGACGCGTTGTATTACATGCAACTTGGCCGGAAGGAGGCAATCGTAGCGGCTGTCGCGCGCTCGGTCGAGGCGGCTCTGGCACGCTTCTTGAAGCACCACCCCCAGCATTCCGGCAGTATCGTCCTGGCGGGACATTCTCTTGGAGGTGCAATTCTCTTTGAGCTTTTGCGTAGCCAATCTCCTAAGCTGAGCTTCAAGCCACAGGCCTTATTCACAATGGGCAGCCCTACGGGCTTGTTTCTGCATATCGAAGACAAGGTACCTGAGGAGTCCTGGGCTCTGCCCGGAGGTACCCGCTTTTTCAACATCTTTCACCCGCTTGATCCGGTGGCCTACCGCATTGAGCCCCTGATCAAAGAGGGCCTGGCCAATCTGGACCCTGCCAAAGTTGCAGTGGAGGGTGGAATCGGCGGAATGAAGGCGCACTACGGATTGCAGAAGATGATGAATTGGGCCACGGGCGAGGCCTACCAGGGGTTGACATAGGACATTGCAAGTAGCGACAGTAGCGAAGAAGACCCGCAACAAGTCAGGAGACGCGATCCCCAAGTACGTATGTATCTAATCGTGTAATGACGCATGTTCCCGCGCCATGTCATGTTGCCCGTGGCGCCCTGCCACGCCCCAGGAGAAGCGACAGGCCGAGTTCAACGACCTCTGCCAGTCTGTCCAGCTCAACGCTGGGGACCGCATTGACTGGTCCTTGCAGGAAGATCTCAGCATCATGACTGTTGCTGGCGTTGCAGGTGAATTGTGGCTCGTTCCAATCCAGCAGCAAGGTTTTTTTCTTTGGAGTTTTGCTGTGGCGAGTAATTAGTTTGGGCTGGCGCTTTGTTTATGATGTCAGGCAAAACATTGTTGCCAACGCACAGCCTTGAAACTAGCCGCTAGCCGGCTCGCCATATTTCTTCACTGCATTGCTTGATATTGACGGTGATGGAGCATGCAAGCTACAACTCAGGATGCAAGCACTCCCGAGCCATGCGTGCTACATGAAGTCTGCAGATGTGGCGGCCTTCGTACAGAGCCGCACGCATGCCCTGGCGCTGGTGCAGCGTGTCTAGCTCGCAGACAGTGTCAAAAATCCGGCAGCCTTTGGCCAGGAAAGTGCAGTGTAGCACGCTTGTGTGCATCATGACATTCTTAGGAAATCTAACGACTGATGTTGTTAAGCACCGAGCCACCATGTGCTGAGGCATTGCACCCAAGACGGAGACCGCATCTGTAACGGATCCCAACAGGTGTTAGACAAGGATTTGCGTATCATTGGGTCCAGAGTGCAAAGCACACTCAGCGCCTGGTGCCAGAAGGTCATAAAGGCCATAGAATTGTTGCAAAAAGCTGGGTGGCAGCATTGTGTAGCAACAAGCTTTGTGCATGGCCTCAAGTCACGTTCGGTTGCTTTTCGGCCGATTTTGCCAGGAAACTGCTCTTCCACTACACGCACAGGGAGTCCTTTGAGAGCTTTGTCCGGACTCACGCCTTCCCATCGCTGTCAGTCAGTTCAATTTCGATCACCCACCGTTTTGGGCGCAGCACACTCGCTTTGAGCCCTGAGTTTTCAATGCTCGCCGTGGTGCAGGATCTTTTCATCCGGGGACGAGATGATGTCTGAGGAGGACACTTCTTGCGTCTCCAAGCTTGGCTCCGCATTCCTGCTGGGGATGCATGAAAGAGTGACTTTGAAGGAGGATGCGGGCCCCGACAGAGCCGCCTCCTCAAACATCTCCTCTTTTCCTGTTTGTGTTTTTACCGCTCCAGTTTCACTCGGGACGTACCATCGGCCATCAACACAATGCCCTCCGGTTTTTGTGTCTTGCCTGGCGTAACTGGGCATGACATCTCAGGAGGAGGAAAAGGCATCTTCGGCAGGGAGCCGAGTAGAGCACATGAAGAGTATTGCTGCAACATGTTGCAAAGTTGGAGGACGATGTCCTGTGGCTTGATTGTTAAATGTCGTTATCGGAACGCGTGTGGCCTTGCATCGGCGTGACGTGGCGCTATGCTAGTGCTGGGGTGAGCCTCTGTGATTTCCAAAGCATGGCCGCTACTTGATCTGATTTGCCAGGGTCACTGCTGGCTTGTGCTGAGGTGCATGTTCGGATCATGGACCAGATCCAGGACAATGTCGACGTGCACTGGAAACGCACTAGGGTACTCTAGAGGATGTACGCAGGCACTTGGCCGATGAACTGGGTCCAACCTTGCGATTATCAGTGTCGCTTGCCATCCTGTGCTACACTTGTTCAGGGAACCCTAAACCCTAAACCCTGAACCCGGAACCCTAAACCCTTACTAAACCCTAAACCCTAAACCCTAAACCCTAAACCCTAAGCCCTAAGCCTTAAGCCTTAAGCCCTAAGCCCTAAGCCCTAAGCCCTAAGCCCTAAGCCCTAAGCCCTAAGCCCTAAGCCCTAAGCACCCTAAACCCTGAAGGATTTCAGTAGGTTTGAAGCTGGCGCAGGCTGACTGGGACGACCGCAATCCTCCTGCGCAAGGGAGCAGCAGGACATTCCTCTGCTTGAGAGCCTCTTTCACCGCGCCAGTGAAGCATGTTAGGCGCCCAAGATGGCCATGAGAGTCATGTGGCTGACAGGAGGAACAACCCCGAGCTCCTGATCCGTGAGCCTGGGAAGTTTGCCTCTCGACAGGCCATCGACATTGAAGTGGCTCAACGAGACCCCCTTTGATTCTCAGGGTTGTACCTCGAGCCATCTCATACCTCATGCCTCTCAAGCTGTGGTATCCTTTATGGTTTAGGGACCACATTCACCACGACTTGCCTGGCGTCCAGGCCTTGAACCAGGCACTCTTCGGCATCCCCAGGCGATTTGACGCGGCATGATTTTGACTTGGGTGGCTGCAAAGTTCGCGAAGTTGCTGTGCAGGCCAGGGGGCACAACAACCTCTGGCGAAGAGCTTAGCCCTTCTGCTCCGAGTCTTCTTGAGTTTTTCCTGTCCTAGCCGAGCCTTTGTGCAACCACATGCGCGATTTTGCCCGCTCTCGTTGCCATCGTGCTTCGTGCTTTCTGGCGTGCTTTCTGGATGTTTCATGCAGCTGTGAGTGCTGTGTGGGGTGCTGGGTTGGCATCTTCCAGGCCACAAGCTTGCAGAGGTCGGGAATTACTGCGTGGCAGTGCTGGTTCCTGGTTGGGGCCTCACTCACTGGAACACGCAGCCACCTCACGGGATCCCCTGTGTGATATCCTTATCCTCATCATGGCTCCTTTATGATTGCAAATCGGACTTTTGTAGAGGCCATGTGGCGGTGGTCAGTCGCACATCCAACACACATGGCATCGCCATGCAGATTGACAGGCTTGGATATGTAGGTAGGTCGTCATATGGTTGAAGATGTCTATCGCAACTGCCGATCAGGGACGCTCTTCGGAGTGTGCACCATCAAGCAGAGCTTCGCAAGCAAAATTTGGCAAAGCAGGTGACGGCCCTAAAACGAATCGACGTCACTTTTCTTTGCAGACATGCAAAGAAGCAACCACTTCAGGCCGAGGCTGAACAGCGAGCGGCCGAAGAGGCTCGGTAGGGCCCTCGGAGCTACGAATGCACACGTCATAGCACAAGGGTTTATAGGGTTTAGGGTTTAGGGTAACACTCTTTACGTCCTCTCAGTGTCCTCTTGCTTTCACGAGCTCAGGCGTGCAAGAAGGTCCTGCTTGGGGCGGCTGTGCGGAGGCTTTGTTTTTTCCCAGAATTTTCAACTCTCCCAACATTTCTAGCCATGTCATGGTCCTTGATATATGACTACGCCGACCTTACATGCAGTGGCCTGCCCTGTCTCGTGCAACAATGTGCCTGTCCAGGGGGCAGAGATACGCCCCAATACTGGGACGAGGAGGCCAAGGACGAGGAGCACGTGCAAGGTTGAGAACAGGCTAATTAGTCACAACTAGTGCCATGCGCTGCTGTTTTGTGTGGACTGTCCATAATACGCCCGCATCAGGCCAATCATCCTTCAAGTTGTTTATTGCAGGGATTGTCGCATCCTAGCATTTCTGGGGTACACCACCCGTCTTCAGTGGCGAATGAAGTGACGATTTCGAAGTGCATTCGGAGTGAGCAGCTGTTTGTCACATCCGATCGCATCCGCACGAACTGCTGGCAGGATCAAGCCGAGGCGCGTGCCCACAGAACGTGAGTAACCTCTCGCTATTTGCCGGGTCGGACAATCGTCCAAGTCCAAGCAGTTCGATCACGCAGATCGGTCGTCAGGTTTGTTTGACATGAAAGCATGGTCTGCACATGCACTACAGCCACTTTGCACCTGCTGCACGAGCCCATGTAGAGCGGCTTGTGTTATTTGTGCATTTCCTTCAGCATTGGATGCAGCAGGAAGGAGGACGAACCAACAGAAAGCGACGTGAGGCACGTCGTTTGTGCAGCCGCGGACAGTCACGGTATTTCAGGTAATCTATGTGTATGTTGACTTCGCACGCTTTGCATCGCCCAAGGCACTTTAGAGAGTTTGAGCGGCCCTGTACGATGTTAAACAAGTTCCATAGTTGTGCCAGTACCTACCGCCCAGACAGTATCACAACCTCAAGCGACAGCTCCTGAAGCTTCCAACTAAGAAATCCTGAACCGAAGCAGCAACCCTGGACTTGTCGCCACAATGGCACGTTGGCACGGTGCCTCCCATATCTTCAAGTTGATGTTGATGGGACTTTTGGCTGGGGGACTCTGCGGATCTAACGGATACAGTGCAAACGTGGTTCCCGCTGAGCTGCGACAGGTTGACAAAGCCAAAGCCGAGAAGATCAAGACATGGACAAAGGAGACTTCGAGCTGGACTTCCGGTATTTTTTAGTTTTTGAAATTCACGAGACTGCAATTTGTGGCCCAGGAGCACTTTGTCGCCATCAAGGATCTCAGGCGGCGTGAGCTCGAGGTTGGCGGACTAAGAAGCATTGTCCAAAGTGCGAGATTTGCAGGTTGCGGTGTGCAGGCATTAACAGCAAGTTATTTTAAGGGGCTGCGCCCATGGGCGGGCAGCGCACGCAGAAGCCCGGGGCGAGCAGTTTCTAAGCATGTTGAGGCCACTAAACTCCCTTAAAATCTCTAAGCGTTAAGTTTCTAAGCATTTTCAGGCCCCTAAACTCCCTTCAAATCTCTAAGCGTTTGAGGCTCCTAGACTCCCTTAACGTTTCTAAGCACTTTATAAGGCCCCTAAACTCCCTTTTTCCTAGCCCCGGGCTTAGACACGTCGCTTATGCCCGCCCTTTGGGGGGCATCATGCTCCTGATGCGCCCCCGGGGTCCCGCCCCGGGAGCCGCTGATGCTCCTGATGCGCGCCTGGGGGTCCCGGGCTGGACCCGCTGATGCTCATGATGCGCGCCCTCTGGGGGCCTCCGTGGCGACGCAAAAAACCACGAAAAAAAAACCGTTCACCGGCGGCACGCGGGGGTCGGCGGCACTGGCGTCCGGCCTAATTCTGCTTCGCAGAAGGCCAGAGGCCAGCAAGGCTATTCCCGGGACGACCCGGGCTAAAAGGTCCGCATTTGCTCGGTCCTTTGGGGACCTCGCGCTGCCCGATTTAATGGCTACCGCCAGTGCCGCCGACCCCAGACCCAAGACAGTCGCATTGGGGCGGAAGGCAGGGTGGAGCGCGGGCAGGCGGGGGGGGCGGGGGCGGGGGGGGTGGGGGTGGGTGGGGGTGGAAAGGGGTGGGGGGTGTGGGGGGTGACGGTAGAGGGTTGGTGTCGGATTAGGGAGTTGGGGGCGGAAGGCAGGGGTGGACTGGGGGGCATAGAGATGAAGAAGCGATGAGAGCGGTGAGAGCGGGGGGGCGGTCGGATGGTGCACGATGGTGGGAGGGGGTAATGATGAGGGCTGGGGAGGGTTGGTGGGAGGGTTAGGGAGTGGGAGTGGGAGAGGGTGGGGGCGGCTGGCGGAAAGGGGGGCCTGACTCATTTGACCAGCTCTGGTGAGAGGGTTGGGGCGGAAGGCAGGGTGGAGCTGGACAGGGGAGGTGACCGTAGAGGGTTGGTGGAGTTGGGGGCGGAAGGCAGGGCTAGAGATTTGTCAGGGGCTGGGGGGGAAGGGGCCTAGGAGGGAAGGGATGGGGGGGGTCGGGGGGTGGGGGAGGGGGGGGCAGGGGGGCAAGCCTAGTGGGGGGGGGGGGGGGGGAGGGGGATTAGGGAAGGGATGGGGGGGGTGGGGGGGTGGGGGAGGGGGCGGAGTTGGTGTCAGGCAGGGGTGGACTGGGGGGCATAGGGAGGGGGAGTGATGAGAGCGGTGAGAGCGGTGCAGGGCGGGCATGGACTGGTAGTGAAATATTATGGCTAGGGGCCTACATTCTCACAGAACAGGTTTGGGCCACTCATGCTGCCAAGATATCTCGAGTTGTGCGTGTCATCCTTGTGCATGGGCCATTTGGCCGTAGCACCTCGAAACACGATCACCCCTCCTCGTTGCTGGGCCCGCGTATTCGGGCACAGTAACGTCGAGGTGTAGCGGAGCCTGGTTCCAGGGCACTCCTGACATGCATAGTCGCAGGTGTCTGCCTTACACCTTGGTTGACTTGTGAAACATTGACGCTTCCACAACCAAGAAGCCCATGCTTTTCATGTGCTTCTCAAGAGTTCCATGCGACACACTCTTCGTAAGTATGTCCGAGCAGTTGTCGTCTGTATGGATCTTTACGATCTGTAAATGCTTGCATCGAACGCGTTCTTGAAGCCAAAGATAACGAGTCATGACATGCCGCTGCTTGCCTAAACCTCTGCGCGAAGCAAAAGCTCGAGCGGCATTTGAATCGCTTTGAATGACCACGTCCATCTCGAGCCCCAGATCAGCGAAATAGGAGCGCAAGCCTAAACCATGCGCGGCCCCGTGGACGAGCGCATAGTATTCAGCCTCTGAAACATTCAATCCCACCGATGTCTGGAGATTAGATGTGGACTTGATGGTGTGAGCACCGATACGAACCACCATGCCCGTAGTTGACTTGCGAGTTATTCTATCTGCAGCGTGGTCTGAATCCACCATACAAGTGATAGTAGGGCAGAACGCTTGCTGCCAAAATCTGACTGCAACAGTGGGGCGATGCAACAAGAATCGCCCTAAGCGCTTCAAAGCTTGCAGGTGTGCACGAGTGGGCGCTGCCATGCCTTGAGCGAGGGCTTTCACGGACTCACCCAGATCAGCACGATCCTGGCTCAGGAAACTGGCTCTCATGACACACGACCGGTACAGTGACGTCTCACTTGCAGACAGCTTGGGGCCATGCTGAAACTGTGCAGCTTCAGCATCCGAGGGCTTGACAGACGGTGTAGTTACACTTTTCGTGTTGCTCTTGTCTAACCCTAGCGAAGACACGATGAGCTCAACATGACGCTTGTCCGGCTCGATCTGGACATAGCGCCTGCCATTGAGTTCTCCCAAGCTCACGACCCTGTTCAAGATTGTAGCATGCCGCGTGCAACCTTCGCCGAAGCCAAGCCTGTGGCTCTCACGCACTGAGTAGCGGGACTTCAAAGCTACAGCCATACGATCGACTGCACTAACCGTTCCCAGAACATAAAAGTCGTCGCCGTGAACTGCTCCACGACTCGACAGTGCCTGATTCCAGAACAGTGCAGGATTAGCAACTCCAATCTTGTAGCCCTCTTCTTGAAGCAAGTCTTGCCAGTCCTCCATCCAGTTGTGCGAAGCATCCCGGAAACCATACATGCTACGATTCAGTCTGCCTATAAGGTTCTCTTCGCCGGGACCTCTGTCTTCATCCGGGATTTCCACGTACAGCTCTCGAGTTGCAGGAGCCATAAAATGGGCCCGACTGATGTCAAACACGCCTAGAACCAAGGACTCGGAAGAAACGCCATCACTGACCAGAAGCGAAAGGAGTGACTTGACCATTTCCCATGGCGGCATGGCGCTAAACAATTCGTGAGCTAGCAAAGCATGCTTAGTCTTAGCCTTCAACTCCTTTCCCACAAGACGACTGCGAACATTGTAGTTCGCACGGTCGCCTTTGTTGACATCCACCCATCGTATGGGCAGAGGTCTGATGCCTCTGCTCTCTGCTTCCGCTCTTGGGACCTTGTCATAGAGATTGATCGAACGAACCCATGAGATCTCTTCCTGTCTTGCTTTCGTCACCAGATCTGGGGGCAACTCCTCGCCACTGATGTTGTCAAAGAACTTGCTGTAATCTTCCTGGAGAGCCTCATTGTCAGCCTCAAAGGTAGGCTGCGAGGGAACCGGACCCCCGTACTTGAAATCCAAGTCGCTGAGGTGTCCATCCTGCCGCATTTGCTCCCGCAGACCTGTGAGCACTGTACACACCATCTTGGGATGGCCGGACATGCTGAGGCCCACAAGGCCTTCAGCAAACTCCAGCTGTCTTTGCCACGGCACCTCAAGTGAATCACAGCAAGCTCGCTTCAAAGCCTCGGCTAAGCAACGGGAGTTCGTGACGAACTTGGTCTTGGATCTGGAGATGCCGCAAAAACGATTCTTCTTTGTGAGGCTGCCAAACTGAGAGGCTCCAGGCTTGCATGAGCGATTCCAGTAGCACGTCGGCCCTTCCACTGTGTACACGCCTGGCAGACTTTGCAACGCCAACATGTCTTGATCCTGCCAGCTTGTTGCGCCAGCCGGATGCTCGTGCAAGAAGGACCTCTGCTCTTCATGCTGCTTCCGGTAAAACTTCACACAAGCCCTGAACTGCTTCTGCGCCTTATCTGTCCTCAATGCAGCCTGCTCTTGCCCTACTGCGTTCTGTCGCACGCCAAGTAGCCGAGACAGATCATGCCTAGAACTGCCTGTGAGCAGCGCAGGGCACTCATCCGAGATCAACTGCTGCAGCTCTGCTGCATCCTCATCCTTGTCCAAGCACCACTGTTTGCCCGCGTTGGGTCCTCCAAC